CATCAGGACATAAAGTATTGATTGAAAGGGATTTACCTGTAGCAAGATACAGAAAACAAACACAGGAGCAAAAACAATTAAGACTTGCGAAACTGCTTGAGACATAACTCCAACAATGCCTAAGAGCTGTAGGCCTGAGAACGCTACGCCCCCAAGCCTGTAAGGCACATTTAAGTCAAGAGCACTTTGGTCTGTAGAGGCCTGAGAAGGAAAAGCATAAGCTGGATGAAAAACTTCAAACTTTAAGTTACAATACGTACCCGGCTGAGAATTCTACCAGTTGGAGTAGAATCAAAAAACGACATTGGCGAATGAAAAATGCAATGTAGCATGTCAAAGAAGAACTTCTGAGCCGTCGCGAGGCCGATGACATTGAGAAGCAGCACCCTGAGAAGCACGAACAGCGATGCTCCAAACGAAAATCCTCCATACCCGATGATCAACCGAGCAGGATCAAACTCTGGAGCTACAGCCGTCGCTGGAGTTTCGCGAGCCATCCACCAGTTTGACGCGATTTGAAAGAGTAGAAATAACAGCTGTGTCGCCAATATGCATGGAATCAAGCCGCCCTTGTACACCGCCGTGCAGTAGTTCCAGTAAACTTGCAAACCAACACTGCCTTTCTCGCGTTCTTCTTCCTGTACCAGTTGTTCTGCCTTTCCGGCCTTTGCCTGCGCTTCATGCTCGTCCGACTTCTGCACTTCTTTCTTTTCTTCATTATCCAGGATACCTTCCACGGTATTGTCTACGCTATCTAAGGTCTTGTCAGCCTGATTCATGACTTCCATAGCCTTGTTGTGTGCTCCAACAAGCACACTGAAGTCAGTTTTTGCTTGTAAAAGCTGAGTGTATGTTCCTGACTGCGTTATACGACCATCGTTTAGAACCTGAATCAAATTAGCTCGTCAACGTAGTGGTCTTTAGAACTTATGAAAAAAGTTTCTTACCAAAATGAGGTCAGCCACAGGTAAGAACTCCACTTGATGCGTCACTAGAATGACAGTCTTTGATGCCAGTGCGTTAAGAACACATTCCTGCATAAGATTTATGAGTGAGATCACAGGGCCAAACAGAGACATGCGCTTACCTTGAATATTTGAGTACCAGTTTCCACGTCCACGGCACTGAAAGGATCGTCAAGTAGGTAGATATCAGCATCCTGATACAATGCACGAGCAAGTTGTATCCTTTGCTTCTGGCCGCCGCTCAAGTTGATGCCCCTCTCGCCTATTTCTGTCTGATCTCCGAATGGAAGAACTTCCAGATCTCTTTTGAGTTGACACATCTCCAACACGCGATCGTATTTACTTCTGTCCATAAGAGAGCCAAAAAGGACATTGTCCTCGATCTTTCCACTTTGTATCCAGGCAGTTTGACCCACGTACGATGTTCTTCCAGTTACTTGCACCTGTACAAGCAGATGTAAGGCAAGAACCAGAGAACGACAGAATGCGCACCTTGCCAGAAAGCCTTGGGATTTCTCCCAGAAGGCACGAGAGCAAGCTCGATTTCCCGGAACCAACCTTTCCGCAAACCGCAACTGTCATCCCTGTTTTGACCTCCAGATTAACTCTAGACAACGAGAGCTTCTCAGGAGATTCATCCCAGCTGAAATCTGCTGCTTCCACCAGAATTACTGTAGGATCTTGGTCATTTGTCCGAGAAACAGCATCCGCCTGAAGCTCTGGCTCGTGAAGAAACTTACTCAGCCGATCCAGCGAAACTCTTGTTTGAGACAGAGCTGAAATACAGTCGGGTAGAGTTATGAGCGCCTCCTGTAAAACTCTAAAGGTGGCCAGCGTTGAAAGAACTTTCCCAGTGGTCAGAGGTATCTTCAGCACCACACAAGTACCAAAGGTGACCACTCCAATGATCATGGGACTTGTCCAGAAGAGGAAAATTATAGCTGCCTGCGTCAAGAACGATTTCTTCAGCCAGCCATACTCCACACCTCTCAAGGCTTCCAGTTTCTGCAGGTAAGCCTTCTCCCAAGCTTGCGCCTTGAGAATCCTCATGCTCTTTAAGCACTCCGACGTTGCTCGCATTCGGGCGTCCTTGGCCTCCATGATCTTGTCCTGGTACTTGTCTTGCAATGAGCTAAACGGAGTGTTGACAGCCACCGAAGCCAGCGTCGCAACCAAGGTAGCAATCGCAGCAACCCCGACTTTCTGGTATAGAATAAGAAGTGCCAGCGCCACCTGAAGCGGTAAAATCCAGATATCGTGCAGATACCACGAGAAGTCAAGAACCCTCTGGATATCCACTGCCATATGGTTGACAATCTCTCCGCTGGTGTATTTCTGCCGCGACAAGTTAGAAAGCCGCAAGCCTTTCCTGTAGACGCAACTTGTGAGCGTCGCGCGGGCCTTTATCGCCAAGAACTGGATCTTGAGAAACCAATGCCTTTGAGAGAAGTTCTCCAGAAACTTAGTGACGAGGAACACCGTCACCAGGATCAAGCCTTCGTGAGGAAACCGGTAAACCCCGCTCAAGTAGCTCACGAAGTCGTCGATCAAGTATGGTCCCACGTATGACGCGAGCGAATTCACTACCACCAGGAATCCAACCGCCACTGCCTCCTTCCAATAACATGCCACTAGAGTCCTTGTCACAGATGGTGGCCTGCTGGACGATTTTTCGGAATCCTGCTTTGATCTTTCCCATTTGTCCTGGAAAAACTCATAGGCTGTGGATGCTCGGTGTTCTTGTGCTACCTGCGGCAAATCCTCAGGCTCCAAAGTCCTCTTCCCCCCGAGAGCCAGTACAGGGTTGACCCATGATATGAATAGCAGGCTTAGATTCCCAGCTCTGGTGTATGGAGTAACGTTGTCTTCGCCCTTGTCCGCTACCTGCGTGTCCTCTTCTTCTAAAAGAGGCTCACCGAGACTGCCGCTCATAACTTTGATCCCTGTTCTTCCCCTCACCGATGCAACTAGCAGAACCAAGCTAGCAGGAATCCAAGCCAAGCTTGAATATGCATTCGAGGACTTGTGCTTAAACTTGGACGCAAGAAGATCATCCACACACAGCACGAACTCAGGAAGGCCAGCACAGAACGAGGCAATCCACCACACCCTCAATGCCGCTGGGATTTTTTCTTCTCCTCTCTTGCGCGATGCTACCAATGCTAGCGATGCAACAAGCCAAGCAGCAGCTAGCACCAATTCCTCCGCAAGACACAGCACGCTCCGTGATTGATGAAGAAATGCGAAGCAAGCACTGGCAGCGCTCAAAACCAGCAGATAAAAGCAGCAAAAGAAGAAAATCTTGAACGGGAATGCGGTCGTGAGCTTGCTAGTCGGCCGGGACTTTGTAGACAAGAAGAAACTCACAAGCCAGGAGAGAATGAAGATCGCGGCGATGGCGATCGTTCCAACGCAGCTCCCAAAGCGGATTTCGTCGTCGAATCGGTGGAGAAAGCTCTCCGCTGCAGCGAAACATCGATATTTTGATCAGAGGAAACCTAGAAAATCCAAGAGCAGCAAAGCTTTCGCGCCTTACCGATGATCATCGCTGATTTCGGCGCTAGAAAAATGCGTTGCTGGGAGAAGAAAGAGGCCGGCCGTGGCGAAAACAAAGCCCTAGAAAACGGCATTATATACCATTTTGTGACTTGCCTCCGAAGAAAAAACTTTCTCGCCAGTCAAGGTCTCCTTTCGTCGCTCGTGACGCGCATATTCGGATCTACCACGGCTGGCTAAACAATTGTAAAGACAATTGTAAGCTGATCATCGGTTATTCGACGCCGAAATCCGAGTGCCACGCTCCTGGCTTGTGAGTTTCTTTGCAAGATCCCGAGCTGTCAAGAATCTAGCATTAGCATCGCTAGTATCGTACAAGTATCCTATACCAGCTGCATTTGGGTGTGGTGGATTGCCTCGTTTGCTGGTCTTCCCAAGTTTGTGCTCTCTGTGCATGACCTTCCAAGGTTAAACACAAATCCTGGAGTGCCTGGCCTGGATGCTTGGGGACGAAGAGGGATCACAGTTCTGGTTAGTGGACAAGGGTGAAGACAACGTTACTCTGTACGCCAGAGCAGCCAAGAAGACTTTGGACGAACATTTGCTACAGGTAGCACAGGAAAAAGAGCATCAGCAGCTTACGAGCTTTCTTTTTCTCACAAAAAGTGGGAAAGTTCGAGCAGGCTTCCGAGAAGAACAATCCCGCCTTCTTCTATGGATGGTGATTTCCTCGTCGTGATTAGCTCGCTGGCGATGACAGACGAGTTAGGGACTTGTGTGGTGCCGAAGATACCTCTGACTACTGGGAAAGTTCTTTTGGCCCAGGAGTTATTTACAATTCTCCCAGACTTAATCACACTGTCGCAAACAAAATCTCGCTAGATCGGGTGAACAACTTTCTTCACGACTGCATATGCCTGCCAACAGGATGCTGGTATCCACCTACTTGACGATCCTTCAACGTGTTTGGCAGAAATATTGCCAGAGAACTTTCTGGACTTCAAGGTCTTCAAAGAGCTGCAATCATACATCACTTTGGCGAGTCAATAGCAGCGAACGAGAATCTGCTATAATCTCGACCCCCTTGGACAGTTCTCAGATCCAGAAATCTGGGAGATAAGTTCTGTCATTCTTCTATTTCCTAAGAGGCCATGTTGTTAGGCCTTGGACGAGTGATGCTAAAACAAGGCCGTGTTTTGGCACCCAGACGAGCCCACCGCGTCCGTGGACAGTGCTACCGATGGAATGATCCATCCACCATCGCGACAAAGTTGACAGCGACTACGTTCTGGCCCTACACGTTGGTTGGAAATCTTACTCTCTTTTTTTTCAAGTTTATCTTTTTCCAGGACGCATAGCTAAATACGACGAGCTGGGGAAGAAGAGGAGCTCGTATTTCTTCAAGCGTTTTCCAAGATATCTTTTGGATCCTCCGAATCATGCAGTAAAAAGGATAGTTTCTCAAACTTGGTATGTATAAAGGTGACCGAAAACATTGAATATTCTAACTTAGCGATGGCAATGGCAAAGCTTCTCAATCCCAAGAACACGGACGCCATCCCTCTTGTAATTACGCCTGGTATGTTCCTGCATTCTCTTCTCGATCTGTATGCTCCGTGTTTGGGCTCTTGTGCAGGAGCTTCCAGTGGAGACTCCGGCAATGATCTCGCAATTGGGATCTGGAAGGTCAACTCTTTGGGAGCCCTGGCGCGATTTTGTTCCGGGGATTCGGCGTGTCAAATGCGGAGGAATTTGCTCGAGTGGTGGAAGCGTTTGGATATGAGAGCATGGGTCACAGAGCTGGAGCTGCGAGGAGGAAGCACATTGTCGGGCCTGTCTACACAAACAATGCCCTCGACGCTGAAACCGAGCTTGGATTTCACAATGAAATGAGCTACGTAAGGTTTTCCCATTTTTCATTCTAAGACTTCTTGTTTCTTGAATCTTTGCCACAGCTTGCGGATTATCCCGACTTGGTCGTGTTTTTCTGCGAGGTTGCTCCACCGCCAAGCGCCGGCGGTGCCACCGGGATCGTCCAAGGCAAAGCCACCATTTTGTGACTTGCCTCTGAAGAAAATGTCGCCAGTCAAGGTCGTGGTCTAAGGATATTGGACACATATTTACACGCGACAATGGGAATCTAAGCTTGCTATGCTGGCTCTCGGAGCAAAGAGGACTTTGGAGCCAGAGGACTTGCCCGGCAGCCCACGGGTTTTTTTCACGAAAGTTCAAAGCAAGCTTCCGAGCCTCTCGCCTTCTTTGACAGCGGTTCCTTGTCGTGAGGCGTGTTTGTTTTTGCTGTAGTTCTGTGATTGGAGTAGTCACTATGGCTGGCTGAAGAAATCGTTCATGACGCAGCTCGCAATAATTTGGACGACTAGAATGGTCACCTTAGCTACTTTGTGGCTGACTTCAGCGAGTTTTTGTTTGCGACAGTGTTGCCAGAATGTAAAACTCTGTAGACTTCACGAGGCAGGAACGAACGTGATATTTAATCTGAAGGAATTGAGTCTGAATTTTTTCTTGTGAGTTTCTTCTTGTCTACAAAGTCCCGGCGGACTAGCAAGCTCAAGACCGTCAAAATTCCCCCTTCCGCTGCTTCTCTGTGTCTCATTTCTTCATGGATCACGTCCTGCGGAGGAGTTCTCCTGCCTGGCTTGTTGTTGGTAGCATCGCGCAAGAGAGGAAGCAATCCGGCCTCGTGACGCTGAGACATTTTCTTCTCGTTCTGTGCTAGCCTTGGATGATCTTGTCGCGTCCAATTAGTTTACGCACAAATCGTATTTACCCGCTTCAGGTGACTTCTTATTCTATACCAGCAAGTCGGAGCTGCTGCGATTGCTACTGTGGTTGCTACGCTGATTTCGGCGGCTATAAACACTCCGTTTAGCTCCTGCAAGACAAGTACCAGGGCAAGATCATGGAGGCCAAGGACGCCCGAATGCGAGCAACGACGGAGTGCTTAAAGAGCATGAGGATTCTCACTTACCTGCAGAAACTGGAAGCCTTGAGAGGTGTGGAGTATGGCTGGCTGAAGAAATCGTTCTTTCCTCTTCTGGACAAATGATCATTGGAGTGGTCACTTTTGGTACTTGTGTGGTGCTGAAGATACCTCTAACCACTTTTCAGCGCTGGCCACCTTTAGAATTTTACAGGAGGCTAGCAGACTGTATTTCAACTCTGTCTCAAACAAGATCGCTGGATCGGCTGAGTAAGTTTCTTCACGAGCCAGAGCTTCAGGCTGATGCTGTTTCTTGGACAAATGACCAAGATCCTACAGTAATTCTGGTGGAAGCAGCAGACGTCAGATGTCCTGAGCTAGAGTTAATCTGGATGTCAAAAAAGGGATGACAGTTGCGGTTTGCGGAAAATTGAGCTTGCTCTCGGAGAAATCCCAAGGCTATGGTATGCATTTTTGTATTCTACCATTCTCCTTACATCTGCTTTTGCAGGTCCAGGTAACTGGAAGAACATCGTATGTGGGCCAGACTGCTTGGGTACAAAGTGGAATGGTCGAGAATAATGTTTGTTTTATGGACAGAAGTAATACGATCGCGTGCTGGAGATGTGTCAACTCAAAAGAGATATGGAAGTTCTTCCATTCGGAGATCAGACAGAAATAAGCGAGAGGGGCATCAATTTAAGCGGGGTTAGATAGCCGTGAAAGAAAGACAGAAAAAGAAAATGGAGGCCATGGCCGGGCGGCCAGAAGCAAAGGATACAACTTGCTCGTGCACTGTATCAGGATGGTGATACCTACCTACTTGATGATACTTTCGGTGCCATGGACGTGGAAACTGGTACTCAAATCTTCAAGGTAAGCATGTCTCTGTTTGGCTCTGTGATCTCTCACTCATAAATTTTACGCAAAATGTGTTCTTAATTCACTTAATTCATTATTGGTAACAATATAAAATAAAGTACACGTTGACGAGCTAAATGTAGGTAAAAGATGGGCGATCTGGACCTTACTCTCAGCTTTTCCAAGCGAGTTAAACCTCTTGTTCTTGAGTGCCAATCTCTACATAAATTTCCCAAAGAGTGCTTGTTGGAGCACACAACAAGGCTATGGAGGTATCCAAATAATGAAGTAAAAAACAGAAGTGCAGAAGTCGAATGAGCCCAAGGCAGAACAACTGGTACAAAAAGAAGAACACGAGAAAGGTAGTTTTGGTTTGCAAGTTTACTGATACTACTGCATGGCAGTTTACAAGGGCGTATATTGGTGAGTATGCTACTGTTTCAAATCTTGCGTCAGACTGGTGGATGGCTCATCGACGGCGTGTTTGATCCCATTCGGTTGATCATCGGATACAGAGGATTTTTTGCTTGGAGCATCGCTGTGAACACTGGTAGGAATTCCGTTTGGAGCATCGCTGTTCGTGCTTCTCAGGGTGCTACATCATGTCATCAGCCTCGCGACATCTCAGAAGTTCTTCTTTGACATACTCCACTCATTTGCCAATTGATGTGGTTTTTTTATTTAACTCCAAGGTAGAATTCTCAGCCGGGTACGTCTGTTTACATTTGAAGTTTTTAAATCTCAGGCTTCTACAGACCAAAGTGCTCTCGACTTAAATGTGCCTTGCAGGCTTGGGGGCCTTGCGTTCTCAGGAGTACAGCTTTTATATATTGTGGGAGTTATGTCTCAAGCAGTTTGGAGTCTTAATCGTTTTTGCTCCTGTGTTTGTTTTCTGTATCTTGCTACAGGTAAATCTCTTTTTCAATCAATACCTCTGTCCTAATTAGAGTTGAATCTATTTGCAAAGGTCTTATATACCGTCAGGCAGGGAGCTTTCCAGGCTTCAAGGAGTCACCACTTTGCGGAATCTATTGCAGGAGCTCCGACAGTACGAGGTTTTTGCCAGGAAGAGCGTTTCATGCACAGGATCGACACGTCTGCTCGAGTCTATCTCTACTCGGCTGCAGCCATGGAGTGGGCCTCTATGAGGCTAGAACTCCTCACCAACGTTGTCTTTGGTTTCTGTTTTCTTCAATAAGGTTATCTCCCTCCCCTCGCATTCCCAGCGAGGCACCATGGGAGATTGAAGAGTCTAAGCTTCCGGAAAGCTGGCCTGCCACAGGAAACGTAGGTAGGAATTTCTAAAACTTCGATAATGGCTTTGGAACTTGAACAACATTTCTACGTGACATAGGTCCGCTATAACTCCAACTCACCGCTCCTGTTTCACAACAATAACTGTGTATTTCCCGGAGTCAAGAGGATTGGAGTCGTGGGCCGGACTGGCAGTGGAAAATCCACGCTCATCCATGCCATATTCTGAGCCAGCCGGTGGAAAGAGCGTGATCGACGGCGTGGACATAACGAAGATGATCTCCGATCCAGGCTCAGCACCATTCCACAGATCCAACGCTGTTCGAAGGCACCATTCGCTATAAAACTTGGTATTTAAACAAATGTGAGTGGAGACTCATCCTTTCTAAGTTTCTTCAAAACCCTTGGATAAATGACTTGGAAACCTCGTGCGTGTATGTGTAAAAGTTTTCTTCCTTTTCTCTGAGGATCAAAGCTGCTTATAAAGCTCTCACAGACAAGGAAGGCAAGCCCATCCCTTGCAAGTGCTAGAGACAGCCTACCTTCTCGGTGACTTTTGCTGTCTGAAAATGGTGAAAACTGGAGCATGGGACAGAGACAATTGTTTTGCCTTGGACGAGTTATGCTAAAACAAGCCCGTGTATTGATACTGGACGAGGCCACCACATCCGTGGACAGTGCCACCGATGGAGTGATTTCCAGGGATGCACTGTTATCACCATCGCTCGCCTACTGTGGTGGACAGCGACTAAGTCCTAAACGATGGTATTGTTTTGTTTTGGTGACATTTGCATACGACGAGCTGGGCAAGCTTTTAATGACGAGCAGCTCACATTTCTTCTATTCCAAGAGATCTTCTGGATTATCAACTCAAGTCTTTACAATTTTAGAGCCTTTTTAGTTCGGTTGGCTCGTGTCGGAGGCTACAGCGGCAAAGCGGGCAAGTGGGTTGCCTGAAGAGCCACGACGAGAGACAGTCGCGATGGTAGAAGTGCTTGCACTTGGGCAACACAGTCACCTCTTGCCCGTCGCCAAACTCCCCAAGGCAAATCGGGCACTCCTCTCTCCCTCGCTCCCTCACGCTGTAGAGCTCCAGGGGAAGTACCACCGAATCCATGCCATTCTCAAATTCCTTCTCGGCCTCGCCATCCCTGGTGGAAGCTCCAGCGCCATACTCCGCGTCACCAAAGCTGCAATCTCCATCTTTGAAGCACAACCAGCAGCTCCAACCCGCAAACCACGCGCCACCCAACAAGCAACAGATTTCAGACATCGCCCACTATAATCGGTGTGATAGGGTTTGTCCTTTCACCTCTTTGGGGCTCTTTTATACCAGTCCGCCACCTTTTCCGATCGCGGGCACCGTATGCCATTTACCGTACGCTCCGTACAGCTCATTGTCCGCTATAAACCGGCGGCTCCCATTGCAATCCAGGCATGGCACCAAGCTCGCTCCTCCACACCCCTTGCAAGCCATGGCGGTGTCTGTCCGCAAATATCCGCTGCTTATCATGCAAGAGCTTGCGAAGCTGGCCCTTGTTTTTTCGTTTAGCCGCTCCACGCCACCAATGTACCTGACGAAGAGAACAAACGAGGACGGCGATGGATTAATTCCCTGACTGTGATGGATCGAAACTTATATAGTTTCGAGATCGTGGGGCTGGGGACGTACCTTCCATCGATTGGAACTCGATTGTCCATCGCCCAACTCCGGCTCCATCGTGGAGACTCCTTTGCTCTCGAACGCAATGCCGTGGATCGCTGTGGTGGTGCTGCATTCCTCGTCGTGTGGTTTGAACGGAAGCGTGAGCCTGTCCCTGGGAGGTTCTTTGATCGTCGAGCTCGAGACGGACAAATGACCAAGATCCTACAGTAATTCTGGTGGAAGCAGCAGACATCAGTGAGTTCTAAGCTCTCGTTATCTGGAGTTAATATGGATGTCTAAAAGGGACGACAGTTGCGGTTTGCGGAATGGTTGGTTCCGGTAAATCGAGCTTGCTCTCGTGCTGGCATGGTACGCATTTTACCATTCTCTCTTTCTTTCCTTACATCTGCTTTTACAGGTCCAGGTAACTGGAAGAACATCATACGTGGGCCAGACTGTTGGGTACAAAGTGGAATGATCGAGAATAATGTAATAATAATACCGGAACCAACCATTCCGCTTCTTTCACCGGACTCATCGTTTTCAATCAACACCTCTGTCCTAATGAGGTTGCATTTATTTGCAGAGGTATTACATATCGTCAGGCAGGGAGCTTTCCAGGCTTTAAGGCATCCAGAAGGATTCACCTTGCGGAATCTATTGCAGGAGCTCCGACAGTACGAGGCTTTTGCCAGGAAGAGCGTTTCAAGCACAGGATCAATACGTCTGCTCGAGCCTATCTCTACTCGGCTGCAGTCATGGAGTGGGCTTCTATGACTAGAACTCCACCACCAACGTTGTCTTTGGTTTCTGTTTGATTCTAATCGGCTATCTCCCTCCCGGCAGCAATATTCTCGCATTCCCAGCAATGCGATTGAAGAGTCTAAGCTTCCGGAAAGCTGACCTGCCACAGGAAGCGCTGAGCTAGGAGCTTAAGGTAGGAATTTCTAAAACTTCTATAATGGCTTTGGAAATTTAACAACAAAAACGTTTCTATGTGATATAGCATTCAGGCCATATTCCGAGCCAGCCAGTGGAAAGAGCGTGATTGACAGCATAGACATAATGAAGATGATCTCCGATCCAAACTCAGCATCATTCCATAGGATCCAGCGCTGTTCGAAGGCATCATCCGCTAGATCAGTTAAAACTAGTTATTCTTGTAGGTGCTAAGTGCACCCTTGGATAAATGACTCGGAGACCTCGTGCGTGCCAAGGAAGAAAAGCTGGACAGGCAATAAATGTGTAAAAGTTTTCTTATGTTTTGAAAATGGTGAGAACTGGAGCATGGGATAGAGACAATTGTTTTGCCTATGCGAAAACAAGCCCCTGTTTTGGTACTGGACGAAGCCACCACATCCGTGGACAGCGCTACTGTTATCAACATTGCTCACCTACTGTGGTGGACAGCGACTAAGTAGTAAACCTAAACGATGGTATTGTTTTTGTTTTGGTGACATTTGCATAACAATCTTTCTCGGTAGCTGTTTAATGAAGAGCAACTCACATTTCTTCTATTCCAAGAGATCTTCTAAACAATTTTAGAGCCTTTTAAGTTCGGTTGGCCCGTGTCGGACGCTACAGCGGCAAAGCGGGCAAGTGGGTTGCCTGAAGAGCCACGACGAGAGACAGTCGCGATGGTAGAAGTGCTTGCACTTGGGCAACACAGTCACCTCTTGCCCGTCGCCAAACTCCCCAAGGCAAATCGGGCACTCCTCTCTCCCTCGCTCCCTCACGCTGTAGAGCTCCAGGGGAAGTACCACCGAATCCATGCCATTCTCAAGTTTCTTCTCGGCCTCGCCATCCCTGGTGGAAGCTCCAGTGCCATACCCCGCGTCACCAAAGCTGCAATCTCCATCTTTGATGCACAACCAGCAGCTCCAACCCGCAAACCAGGCGCCACCCAACAAGCAACAGATTTCAGACATCGCCCACTATAGTCGGTGTGATAGGGTTTTTCCTTTCACCTCTTTGGGGCTCTTTTATACCAGCCACCTTTTCAGCGGTTGGAGTGGTTGGCTGAAGAAATCGTTCTTGACGCAGCTCGCAATAATTTGGACGACTAGAATGGCCACCTTAGCTACTTTGTGGCTGACTTCAGGGAGTTTTTGTTTGCGACAGCGTTGGTATAAAATCTGCCAGAATGTAAAACTCTGTAGAGGCAGGAACGAACGTGATATTTAATCTGAAGGAGTTGAGTCTGAATTTTTTCTTGTGAGTTTCTTCTTGTCTACAAAGTCCCGGCGGACTAGAAAGCTCAAGACCATCAAGATTCCCCCTTTCGCTGCTTCTCTGTGTCGCATTTCTTCATGGATCACGTCTTGCCGAGGAGTTCTCCTGCCTGGCTTGTTGTTGGTAGCATCGCGCAAGAGAGGAGGCAATCCAGCCTCGTGACGCTGAGACATTTTCTTCTCGTTCTGTGCTAGCCTTGGATGATCTTGTCGCGTCCAATTAGTTTACGCACAAATCGTATTTACCCGCTTCAGGTGACTTCTTATTCTATACCAGCAAGTCGGGGCTGCTGCGATTGCTACTGTGGTTGCTACGCTGATTTCGGCGGCTATGAACACTCCGTTTAGCTCCTGCAAGACAAGTACCAGGGCAAGATCATGGAGGCCAAGGACGCCCTACGACGGAGTGCTTAAAGAGCATGAGGATTCTCACTTACCTGCAGAAACTGGAAGCCTTGAGAGGTGTGGAGTATGGCTGGCTGAAGAAATCGTTTCTTTCCGCTTCTGGACAGATGATCACTGGAGTGGTCACTTTTGGTACTTGTGTGGTGCTGAAGATACCTCTGACCACTGGGAAAGTTCTTTCAGCGGTGGCCACCTTTAGAATTTTACAGGAGGCTAGCAGACTGTATTTCAACTCTGTCTCAAACAAGAGTTTCGCTGGATCGGCTGAGTAAGTTTCTTCACGAGCCAGAGCTTCAGGCTGTTTCTCGGACAAATGACCAAGATCCTACAGTAATTCTGGTGGAAGCAGCAGACGTCAGATGTCCTGAGCTAGAGTTAATCTGGATGTCAAAAAAGGGATGACAGTTGCGGTTTGCGGAAAATTGAGCTTGCTCTCGTGCCTTCTGGGAGAAATCCCAAAACTATGGTACGCATTTTTGTATTCTACCATTCTCCTTCCATCTGCTTTTGCAGGTCCAGGTAACTGGAAGAACATCGTACGTGGGCCAGACTGCTTGGGTACAAAGTGGACCGATCGAGAATAATGTTTGTTTTGGCTCGCCTATGGACAGAAGTAAATACGATCGCGTGCTGGAGATGTGTCAACTCAAAAGAGATCTGGAAGTTCTTCCATTCGGAAATCAGATAGAAATAGGCGAGAGGGGCGTCAATTTAAGCGGGGTTAGATAGCCGTGAAAGAAAGACAGAAAAAGAAAATGGAGGGCGGCCAGAAGCAAAGGATACAACTTGCTCGTGCACTGTATCAGGATGGTGATACCTGCCTACTTGATGATACTTTCGGTGCCATGGACGTGGAAACTGGTATGTCTCTGTTTGGCTCTGTGATCTCACTCATAAATCATACACAGAATGTGTTCTTAATTCAACAATATAAAATAAAGTCCACGTTGACGAGCTAAATGTAGGTTAAAGATGGGCGATCTGGAACTTACTCTCAGCTTTTCCAAGCGAGCTAAACCTCTTGTTCTTGAGTGCCAATCTCTACATAAATTTCCCAAAGAGTGCTTGTTGGAGCACACAACAAGGCTATGGAGGTATCCAAATAATGAAGTAAAAAACAGAAGTGCAGAAGTCGAACGAGCCCAAGGCAGAACAACTGGTACAAAAAGAAGAACGCGAGAAAGGTAGTTTGGTTTGCAACTTTATGGATACTACTGCACGGCAGTTTACAAGGGCGTATGTTGGTGAGTATGCTACTGTTTCAAATCTTGCGTCAGACAGGTGGATGGCTCAGCGACGGCTGTTTGATCCTATTCGGTTGATCATCGGATACAGAGGATTTTTCGCTTGGAGCATCGCTGTGAACACCAGTAGGAATTCATTTGGTGAATTCTATTTGGAGCATCGCTGTTCGTGCTTCTCAGGGTGCTACATCATGTCATCAGCCTCGCAACATCTCAGAAGTTCTTCTTTGACATACTCCACTCATTTGCCAATTGATGTGGTTTTTTTATTCGACTCCAACTAGTAGAATTCTCAGCCGGGTACATCCGCTTACGTTTGAAGTTTTTAATCTCAGGCTTCTACAGACCAAAGTGCTCTCGACTTAAATGTGCCTTACAGGCTTGGGGGCCTTGCGTTCTCAGGAGTACAGCTTGTATACATTGTGGGAGTTATGTCTCAAGCAGTTTGGAGTTTTAGTCGTTTTTGCTCCTGTGTTTGTTTTCTGTATCTTGCTACAGGTACATCTCTTTTTCAATCAATACCTCTGTTCTAATTAGAGTTGAATCTATTTGCAAAGGTGTTATATACCGTCAGGCAGGCAGATGGATTCACCACTTTGCGGAATCTATTGCAGGAGCTCCGACAGTACGAGGCTTTTGCCAGGAAGAGCGTTTCATGCACAGGATCGACACGTCTGCTCGAGTCTATCTCTACTCGGCTGCAGCCATGGAGTGGGCCTCTATGAGGCTAGAACTCCTCACCAACGTTGTCTTTGGTTTCTGTTTGCTTCGATAAGGTTATCTCCCTCCCCTCGCATTCCCAGCGAGGCACCATGGGAGATTGAAGAGTCTAAGCTTCCGGAAAGCTGGCCTGCCACATGAAACGTTGAGCTAGTGGAGCTTAAGGTAGGAATTTCTAAAACTTCTATAATGGCTTTGGAACTTGAACAACATTTCTATGTGACATAGGTCCGCTACAACTCCAACTCACCGCTTGTTTCAACAATAACTGTGTATTTCCCGGAGTCGAGAGGATTGGAGTCGTGGGCCGGACTGGCAGTGAAAAATCCATGTTCATCCAGGCCATATTCTGAGCCAGCCGGTGGAAAGATCGTGATCGACGGCATGGACATAACGAAGATGATCTCCGATCCAGGCTCAGCATCATTCCACAGGATCCAACGCTGTTCGAAAGCATCCTTTCTAAGTTTCTTAAAAACCCTTGGATAAATGACTCGGAAACCTCGTGCGTGTATGTGTAAAAGGTGAGGACGGACAGAGACAATTGTTTTGCCTTGGACGAGTTATGCTAAAACAAGCCCGTGTTTTGATACTGGACGAGGCCACCACATCCGTGGACAGTGCCACCAATGGAGTGATTTCCAGGGATGCACTGTTATCACCATCGCTCGCCTACTGTGGTGGACAGCGACTAAGTCCTAAACGATGGTATTGTTTTGTTTTGGTGACATTTGCATACGACGAGCCGGGCAAGCTTTTAATGAAGAGCAGCTCACATTTCTTCTATTCCAAGAGATCTTCTGGATTATCAACTCAAGTCTTTACAATTTTAGAGCCTTTTTAGTTCGGTTGGCTCGTGTCGGAGGCTACAGCGGCAAAGCGGGCAAGTGTGTTGCTTGAAGAGCCACAACGAGATACAGTCGCGATGGTAAAAGTGCTTGCACTTGGGCAACACACACACCTCTTGCCCGTCGCCAAACTCCCCAAGGCAAATGGGGCACTCCTCTCTCCCTCGCTCCCTCACGCTGTAGAGCTCCAGGGGAAGTACCACCGAATCCATGCCATTCTCAAGTTTCTTCTCGGCCTCGCCATCCCTGGTGGAAGCTCCAGTGCCATACCCCGCGTCACCAAAGCTGCAATCTCCATCTTTAATGCACAACCAGCAGCTCCAACCCGCAAACCACGCGCCACCCAACAAGCAACAGATTTCAGACATCGCCCACTATAGTCTGTGTGATAGGTTTTTCCTTTCAGTTCTTTGGGGCTCTTTTATACCAGTCCACCACCTTTTCCGATCGCCAGCTAAGTGCACAGCGGGCACCGTTTGCCATTCACCGTACACTCCGTACAGCCCATTGTCGTTCCCATTGCAATCCAGGCATGGCACCAAGCTCGCTCCTCCACACCCCTTGCAAGCCATGGCGGTGTCTGTCCGCAAATCTCCACTGCTTATCATGCAAGAGCTTGCGAAGCTGGCCCTTGTTTTTTCGTTTAGCCGCTCCACGCCACGAATGTACCTGAGGAAGAGAACAAACGAGGACGGCGATGGATTAATTCCCTGACTGTGATGGATCGAAACTTATATAGTTTCGAGATCGTGGGGTACCTTCGATCGATGAACAGCGCTGGAAGTCGACTGTAGCACTCCTTTGCTCTCGAACGCAATGCCGTGGATCGCTGTGGTGGTGCTGCATTCCTCGTCGTGTGGTTTGAACGGGAGCGTGAGCCTGTTCCTGGGAGGTTCTTTCATCGTCGAGCTCGAGACCTCCGAGATCCAGTGGTCGTTGCGGGTTTGCTCCATCATGGACACGAAAGTGGAGAGGAGATCACAGTCATCGTTTGCGGCGTTGTCTCTCGTGGAAGAAGTAGTCACGCATTGGATGGCCAACCTGTGCTTGAAGTCACGAGATTCGTTGAGTTTCTTCTTGTCTACAAAGTCCCGGCCGACTAGTAAGCGATAAAGGCCCGCGCGACGCTCACAAATTACGTATATAGGAAAGGCTTGCGACTTTCTAACTTGTCGCAGCAGAAATACACCAGCGGAGAGATTGTCAACCATATGGCAGTGGATATCCAGAGGGTTCTCGACTTCTTGTATATGCACGACATCTGGATTTTACTGCTTCAGGTGGCGTTGGCACTTCTTATTCTATACCAGAAAGTCGGGGTTGCTGCGATAGCTAACGTGGTTGCGACGCTGGCTTCGGTGGCTATCAACACTCCGTTTACCTCCTTGCGAGACAAGTACAAGGACAAGATCATGGAGGCCAAGGACGCCCGATTGCGACCTACAACGGAGTGCTTAAAGAGCATGAGGATTCTCAAGGTGCAAGCTTGGGAGAAGGCCTACCTGCAGAAACTGGAAGCCTTGAGATGGCTGGTTGAAGAAACCGTTCTTGACGCAGGCAGCTATAATTTTCCTCTTCTGGACAAATCCCAGTGGTCACTTTTGGTACTTGTGTAAAAATACCTCTGATCACTGGGAAAGTTCTTTCAGCGCTGGCCACCTTTAGAGTTTTACAGGAGGCGCTCACAGCTCTACCTGACTGTATTTCAACTCTGTCTCGAACAAGAGTTTCGCTGGATCGGCTGAGTAAGTTTCTTCACGAGCCAGAGCTTCAGGCGGATGCTGTTTCTCGGACAAATGACCAAGATCCTACAGTAATTCTGGTGGAAGCAGCAGACATCAGTGAGTGGATGTCTAGAAGGGACGACAGTTTCGGTTTGCGGAATGGTTGGTTCCGGTAAATCGAGCTTGCTCTTGTTCTGGCATGGTACGCATTTTACCATTCTCTCTTTCTTTCCTTACATCTGCTTTTACAGGTCCAGGTAACTGGAAGAACATCGTACGTGGGCCAGACTGTTGGGTACAATGATCGAGAATAGTGTTTGTTTTGGCTCGCCTATGAACAGAAGTAAATACTATCGTGTGCTGGAGATGTGTCAACTCAAAAGAGATCTGGAAATTCTTCCATTCGGAGATCAGACAGAAATAGGTGAGAGGGGCGTCAACTTGAGTGGCGGCCAGAAGCAAAGGATGCAACTTGTTCGTGCACTGTATCAGGATGGTGATATCTACCTACTTCACGATCCTTTTGGTGCTGTGGACGTGGAAACTGGTACTCAAATATTCAGGGTAAGCATGTCTGTTTAGCTGTGTGATCTCACTCATATACGCAGGAGTGTGTTCTTCAAATTCATTCTTAATGCAAAGACTGACATTTTAGTGACGCATCAAGTGACCTCATTTTGGTATGCTTTATTTACGTTGACGAGCTAAAACTCACTAGCGAAAGCTGACTCAGTGAAGGTTGAAGAGGCTAAACCTCTTGTTCTTGAGTGCCAATCTCTACAAGGAGGAGCACACAACAAGGCTATGGTGCAATAATGAAGAAAAAAAGAAGTGCAGAAGTTGAACCAGCCACCAAAGGAAGAACTGGTACAAAAAGAAGAACGTGAGAAATGTAGTTTTGGTTTGCAAGTTTACTGGAACTACTGCACGGCAGTTTACAAGGGCGTATATTGGTGAGTATGCTGCTGTTTCAAATCTTTCAAATTGCGTCAGACTGGTGAATGGCTCAGCGACGGCTGTATCTCCACAGTTTGATCCTATTCGGTTGATCATCGGATACGGAGGATTTTTTGCTTGGAGCATCGCTGTGAGTCCGGTGAATTCCAGTGAATTCCGTTTGGAGCATCACTGTTCGTGCTTCTCAGGGTGCTACATCAGCAACATCTCAGAAGGTCTTCTTTGACATATTGCACTGCATTTTTCATTTGCGGATGTGGTTTTTTTATTCGACTCCTACTGGTAGAATTCTCAGCCGGGTACGTTTTTAACTTACGTTTTGAAGTTTTTAAACCAGCTTGTGCAGCGCTTTTACTTTTCAGGCTTCTACAGACCAAAGTGCTCTCGACTTAAATGTGCCTTACAGGCTTGGGGGCCTTGCGTTCTCAGGAGTATAGCTTTTCTACATTGTGGGAGTTATGTCTCAAGCAGTTTGGAGTCTTAATCGTTTTTGCTCCTGTGTTTGTTTGCTGTATCTTGCTACGGGTAAATCTCGTTTTCAATCAACACCTCTGTCCTAATGAGGTTGTATTTATTTGCAGAGATATTACATATCGTCAGGCAGGGAGCTTTCCAGGCTTTAAGGCATCCAGAAGGATTCACCACTTTGCGGAATCTATTGGACAGTACGAGGCTTTTGCCAGGAAGAGCGTTTCAAGCACAGGATCAACACGTCTGCTTGAGTCTATCTCTACTCGACTGCAGCCATGGAGTGGGCTTCTATGAGGCTAGAACTCCACCACCAACATTGTCTTTGGTTTCTGTTTGCTTCTAATCGGCCGGAAAGCTGACCTGCGCTGAGCTGGGAGCTTAAGGTAGGAATTTCTAAAACTTTATAATGGCTTTGGAAATTTAACAACAAAAACGTTTCTATGTGATATAGCATTCAGATATTCCGAGCCAGCCAGTGGAAAGAGCGTGATTGACCGCGTGGACAATCTCCGATCCAAGCTCAGCATCATTCCACAAGATCTAGCGCTGTTCGAAGGCATCATCAGCTAGATCAGTTAAAACTAGTTATTCTTGTAGGTGCTAAGTGCACCCTTGGATAAATGACTCGGAGACCTCGTGCGTGCCAAGGAAGAAAAGCTTGACAAGCAATAAATGTGTAAAAGTTTTCTTCCTTATGTCTGAAAATGGTGAGAACTGGAGCATGGGACAGAGACAATTGTTTTGCCTATGCGAAAACAAGCCCCTGTTTTGGTACTGGACGAGGCCACCACATCCGTGGATAGTGCCACTGTTATCAACATCGCTCACCTACTGTGGTGAAGTAGTAAACCTAAACGATGGTATTGTTTTTGTTTTGGTGACATTTGCATAACAATCTTTCTCGGTAGGACGCATAGCTGTTTAATGAAGAGCAATTCACATTTCTTCTATTCCAAGAGATCCTCTAAACAATTCTAGAGCCTTTTAAGTTCGGTTGGCCCGTGTCGGACGCTACAGCGGCAAAGCGGGCAAGTGGGTTGCCTGAAGAGCCACGACGAGAGACAGTCGCGATGGTAGAAGTGCTTGCACTTGGGCAACACAGTCACCTCTTGCCCGTCGCCAAACGCCCCAAGGCAAATCGGGCACTCCTCTCTCCCTCGCTCCCTCACGCTGTAGAGCTCCAGGGGAAGTACCACCGAATCCATGCCATTCTCAAATTCCTTCTCGGCCTCGCCATCCCTGGTGGAAGCTCCAGTGCCATACTCCGCGTCACCAAAGCTGCAATCTCCATCTTTGAAGCACAACCAGCAGCTCCAACCCGCAAACCACGCGCCACCCAACAAGCAACAGATTTCAGACATCGCCCACTATAATCGGTGTGATAGGGTTTGTCCTTTCACCTCTTTGGGGCTCTTTTATACCAGTCCGCCACCTTTTCCGATCGCCAGCTAACTACACAGCGGGCACCGTACCATTCCATTCACCGTACACTCCGTACAGCCCTCCGGCAGCCCATTGTCCGCTATAAACCGGCGGCTCCCATTGCAATCCAGGCATGGCACCAAGCTCGCTCCTCCACACCCCTTGCAAGCCATGGCGGTGTCTCTCCACAAATCTCCGCCGCTTGGATCATGCAAGAGCTTGCGAAGTTGGCACTTGCTTTTCAATTCGTTTAGCCGCTCCACGCCACCAATGTACCTGAGAAAGGGAACAAACGAGGACGGCGGTGGATTAATTCCCTGACGGTGATGGATCCAAACTTATATAGTTTCGAGATCGTGGGGGTGGGGACGTACCTTCCATCGACGAACAGCGCTGGAACTCGACTGTAGCCATCGCCCAACTCCGGCTCCGAGGCGACGTCTTTGCTGTCGAATGCAATGCCATGAATCGCTGTGGTGGTGCAGCATTCCTGTGGTTTGAGCTGGAGCGTGAGCCTGTCCCTGGGAGGTTCTTCGATCGTCGAGCTCGAGACCTCCGAGATCCAGTGGTCGTTGCGAATTTGCTCCATCATGGACTCGAATGTGGAGAGAAGATCACTGTCATCGTTTGCGGCGTTGTCTCTGGTGGAAGAAGTCACGCATTGGATGGCTAACCTGTGCTTGAAGTCACGAGATCCGTCGTTGCACAAAAGTGGAGAGGTGGAGTCGAGGATGACTTTCGGCGTGGAGGCCTGATCAACGCACGACCGGAGGTTGAAGGAAAAATTCCTGGCCACCACGATGTCTGGCGTGTTGTCCCCACACCTTGTCAATCCCTTCATGAGACTGCGCTGTGAATGCGAATGCGGTCCTCCAAACACCAGTGGACTCCGGGGGCTCTTCGGACTTCCACAGTGATTCCGGCTAGACTCCGGTGATGATGCCTCGCAGAGAGAGGAGATCTCGTCCTGGTCAGTCCACGACTCTGGCGTTGCCTGCCCGTCACTCCTCGCCTCCGGCATTGTCACACACGCTGCTTTCTCGTCTTGCTCTTCCAGCCCCTCCATGAGTGCCACCACGTCAATCACCTCGACTGCCTCCATCGCCTCAAAACCATCTTCTTTCTCCTCCTGGCGAGCTCTGACTTTCTCTGCGATTGGCAGCGGCTCAGGAGCGTGCTTGGCTCTGTGGTTCCTGCTATGGAGGAAAACCTCCACAATTGGAATGAGCAGGCGCTTCTTCCAAGACCGAGAGTGTCCTAGCCTCTTGGGCGATCTAGCCGTCGCTACTTCCTTAGAATTCGCACAGCCCATTTGCGAGTGTTTTCTTGCTATGGATTTCCCTGTTTAGTAGCCAAATACCGGAAAACTCCGCTGCAGCAAAAAGTCAAAGGAACCGATGAGACAAGCTAGAAAACAGAGCAAAAGAGCGAGCTAAAGCAATCACTCGCAGCAATTGCCCACCTTCCAGCGTTGAATTCCAATAGCCTCACCGACAGCATTTGTCTAGATGGTAGAGAGAAAAATTCGAGCGTCCTTTCGATCAGAGCGCCGCGCGGGGACCACGCTAGCCTGGGGGGAGGGACCCTTCACGCATAAATGGAGAGAGTGATTAGAATCAGCATAGAAAACCGAAAGTACTACTCGAATTCCAAGAAAATTCACCCTATAGAACGCAAGAAAACCATGAAAAAGAAGCAAGTGATCTATCTAGCGTTTTCGATCGATGCAAATGCAAGGTACGTACCAGGAAGATCTCCACAAATGTATCTCTTGACCACAGCTCCAATTTCCAGAAAATCTAACCAATGAGATCGGCTGCCGCCGAGAGAGGCGAATTCTCTCCCAAAGATCCAAGAACTAGCTTCTTGGAATCCAAAATCCGGGACGAAAATCTTCCATATGCGCCGCCTTCGCTCATGTAGCGCCTCTTCTTGACCATCGCTAGCGGAAAAGAAAGAACTCTTATCCTGTCTCTTAAAAGATACTTCCTCTCCACGCGCTAGAAGGAATCGAACCCGAGACCTGCTGTTCTTCCAAGAACCATATTAATGCGATCGTCTCTACCTGTTTTTCGCATGGAGAATGGGATTTCCCTCTTCCTGCGAGCTCATCGAGCTCATAAAATCCTGCGCTCGCTCCAGAGACCTCTCTCGATGCCGGCAGCTCCACGAGCGCATTCTCCGCGAGGGAACCTGCGGCCAGAGCGTCTTCACGGCCCTGATCGACATGTATTCCAAGTGCGGCAGCGTCGACGACGCCAGATCCACATTCCTGTCCCTGCGCGATCCGGATTCTTACTCCTGGAACACGTTCCTGGCGGCGCTGGCGAGCCACGGGCATCTCCGCGAGGCGCACGACGCATTCGATCGAGTGCCGCAGCGAAATATCGTGTCGTGGAGCGCGATCTTGAACGGCCATGCGATCATCGGAGAGATGCGCAAGGCGCTAGCGATTTTCGATCGAATGCCGATGAGGAACGCGGTGCCCTGGAATGCCCTGATCAAAGCGTATGCCCTAGATGGGAATCTGGTAGATGCGCGGCATCTATTCGAAACCATGCCCGCCAAGACGGCCGTGACGTGGAACCTCTTGATCACCAGCTATGCCCAGCTAGGGCATCTGGAGGAATGCTGGAGTTTCTTCAATTCCATGGCTGATCGCGACATTGTGACCTGGACAACGATCATCCAGGTCTTTGCCGACGCCGGCGACATCGAATCGACACAGATTTTCTTTAATCGCGTGCCTTTTCGCAACATCTACACCTGGAACACGCTCCTCGCGGGCTATGCCCAATTAGGGCATCTTGATCGAGCGCTAGACCACTTCCGGGAGATGCCCGAGCGCGATGTGATCTCCTGGAACGCCCTAATTGTTGCCCACGGCGAGAAGGGCTTTGTAGACCAAGCCAGGCGAGCATTCGATCTGATGCCCGAGCAAGACGTGGTGTCCTGGACGGCCATAGCACAGGCATATTCCCGGAATGGCCACCTGGCCGGCGCGCTCGGAATGTTCCAGGCGATGCCGCAGAAGAGCCCATTCGCCTGGACGGCCACGATCTCGGGATATGCCGACAACGGGCAAATGCGCGAGGCGGAATCTACCTTCCACGCCATGGAGCACAAGGGGGTGGTGGCGTGGAACGCGCTGCTCCAGGGACACGTGGATAACTCCAGCGCCGTCGAGAAGGTGCGGTCGGGATTCGATCTCATGCCCGCGAGGAATCTCGTGGGCTGGAACTGCATGCTAGCGGCATATGCCCACGCGCGGCATCTTGACGAGGTGCGGGGGATATTCCACGCAATGCCGCAAAGGAACGCCTCCTCTTGGACCTCGCTGCTGGTGGCCACTGGCCACAAATGCCCGCCCCGTACAGCCGAGCTCGTGTACGGCAGAATGCCCCAGTGGAGCGTTCCCGCCACGACGAGCTTGCTCCTCGCGCTGGCCCAGGGCGGTGAGCATTCGCGCGCGAAGGAGCTCTTCGATTCCATGCCGCAACGCAGCGCGATCTCCTGGGCGGCGCTGCTCCAATCCAGCGCGCTGGACGCGAGCTCGGCGATGGAGGTCTTCGCGCGATCGCCGTGCCACAACCTCGCCGGGTGGACGGGGATGATCCAGTCGCTGGCGCTGGCGGGACGGATCGACGCCGCGCGGGATCTCTTTGCGGCAATGCCCGAGCACGACACCAAGTCCGACACAGCGATGATCCAAGCGTACGCCGAGGCCGGGCATTTGCCGGAGGCGCTAGAGGTCTTCGCGTCCATCCCCTCGCCCGACGCATTCTCTTGGAATACCGTCTTGCAAGCCTGCGCTGTTCATGGCGATCTCGCGAAGCTCCGCAAGCTCCTCCACAAGATGGGCAACCCAAACGCCGTGTCGTGGACGATCTTGATAGTGGCGTATGCCCAGAGGGGGCATCTGGCGCTCGCGCGGGAGATCTTCGCCGGGATGGCCTCGCAGGACTTCGTAGCTTGGAGCGCGATGATCCTCGCCTACGCAAACACTGGCGCTTACGCCGCGGCGCTGGATCTCTTCCGGCAGATGGTTCTTCACGGCTTCCAGCCCAGCGACATCACCTTCGTGGGTCTTCTCGCGGCTTTCGGCCATGCCGGGAGGCTCCGCGAGGGCGTCGAGTGCTTTACGGCCATGCAGGACGGCTTCTTCGTGCCACCCACGCTCGTCCACTTCCACTGCATGATCAATGTTCTCGGCCGCTCCAAGCATCTGGGAGACGCCGAGGAGCTCGTCGAGACGATGCCGTTTCTGGCGGACGAGGTGGCGTGGATCACGCTGCTGGCAGCGTGTAAGATGCACGGCGACGTCAAGCGGGCCGAGAGGATCCTGGAGCGAGTGAAAGAGCCCACTGCGTATGTTCTCGTAGCGAACGCGCTGCGAGAGCCATCACTGGGCTTCGCTTCTGCAAAGTAGCAAGCGGGAAAGTTTTTAGAACCGACAAAAGTTTTGGAGAGGTCATACCTGTGACCGCCATTCTTTGATAGATAACTGGAAGATCTGGAACCATCATTCGAAGTCAGAGAGAAAGAACCAAACCGGAAGTTAAACTGAAAGATCTATAACAAGATCAAGCGGGACATCAAACAAGTTATACAAAGCCTTGATAGTTAGTTGGGTATCAAGTCTGACTGTCATCGCTACCTAGAACTGGAGCTCGAAATCAGATAAAAAGAGTTAGCAGAGAAATATGTCTGCCTTTTTACCTTGGTGATGAAGTGCAGGATCCCTTGAGAAGGGAAGCCACGGCGTGGGTGACGTCTTTCCGAATTGCCTTCTTGACATCTCCCCTCTTTGGAGACGAGGAAGTAGAGCCCCGACGACTGAAGGAAGCATCGTTTCCCATTTCTCTCCTTGCTTCTTTCTCACCAAGCAACCTCTTTATCTCCCCTTCGATTCCACCAATGATGATAGCTTGATACCGTTCTGCATTATCTCCATTGCTCGAATATAGTCTGATCGGCACAGGAAGGAAAAAAAAAGAAAATAATGAGATAAAGCTTTCGAAAGTTTTTGAAACATACCTGGAGTTACTGAAACGAGCTTTTACTTGACGTTAAAACTGCGTGACCGGACGTTGGAGAGCATTGCTAGAGCGGAGCCCGAGTGACACTCATCGTCCATTGTCAAAACTTTATCGGCAGCTCGCTCGGCACGCTTCACATCTTCGTGATTCGTGCACGCCCCCAGGAACGCCGTCCACAGCACCACACTCGGCGCCACCGGCATCTCGCTCGCCAGCTCTTCGGCTTCGTCGAGCCGGCCTTTACGTCCCAGGAGATCAACCACGCATCCGAAGTGCTGGACAGTCGGAGAAACTCCAAAGTCTTGTTCCATGGACGAGAAGAGAGCTTGAGCCTGTTGGAGAAGCCCCCTGTGGCTGCAAGAGCTTAGCACGTTAATGAAAGTGACCGAGTTTGGTACCTGGCCTTGGAGCTGCATGAGCCGGAACAGCGCGAAGCACGAATCTCCACCACTGGCCTGAGCAAAACATCCCAGTAGCGAGTTCCACGAGACCACGTCCTGTTTTTCCATGAGCCGAAACACCAGAGCAGCTTCATCCAAGTCCCCAAACTTGGCGTACATGTTAATGAGTGAATTCCCAACACCAACGTCGTAATGATCGAGCTTCCTCTCTGCAACCAGCACATGAATTTTCCTGCCCTGGCTCGGACTTCGGGATGAGTCGATGGCAATGATAACAGCAGCTTTGCTCGGCCTGACACCTTCCAGTTGCATTTCGCAGAATAGCTTGAGTGACTTGTCGACATGGCCATTCTGAGCGTACTGTCCAGCAAGTGTCTTCCACAAAAGCGGTTCCCGACGAGAGCTCAGAGCTCTAAAGACCTGTGTGGCTTGGCCAAGCTCCCCGCATTGTCCATAAAAGTTAACTAGTGAGGTACCAATCTCCGGCTCGTCTTGAATCTTAACGCCTGTGTTGATGATCTGTTCGTGAATCTCCCGGCCCGTTTTGTAGTCCCCCAGCACACCACAGGCATCCAAAACAACCGAAAACGTGACTGCGTTCGGTGCCAAGTCCATCTGTCTAAAGAGCTCCACCGCCTCTTTCGTTTCGTCGCGTAGAACATACGCCGAGATGATGCTGTTCCAGGAAACGATATCCCGGATCACCATGCTGTCGAAAATCCTCCTGGCTTCTTGCAAGCAGTTGCATCTGGAATACAGAACTATAAGAACGTTGGCCGATTTAGTATTGACAAACTCCATACCAGCCTCTTTCAAGAGCTCGTGTGCCAGCTTCAACGACTTTAAATCCCAGCATGCGTTAATGAAGGCAACGAGCGATATCTCGTCGCACTTGACACCTTCCAGCTGCATTCTCCAGAAAAGAGCCGCTGCTTCTCTATTTCTACCTCGCTGCGAAAACGCCTCGATAGCTCCTGTCCAGTGAAAAGCATTAGTCGAGTGATGGTTTAAAAACTCTAGCAATAACTTACGAGCTACCTCAAGCTCGCCACAACGGCCATACAAGTTGGTGAGTGTGGCACCGACGATCTCGTCCATTACCAGGCCCGCTTCTACGATCAAGCCATGAATCCAGGTGGCGTGCTTCAATCCCCACGATGTTCTCGAGCTGCCAAGATCACTACACGCCGTTAGAACAGTGGTGAATGTAACCTTGTCAACTTTGATACCTTCTACCAGCATTGCGTGGAAGAGCTCCAGCGCTCTGGCTCCATCGTTCTTTGCCACTGCTCTAATGATCGACGTCCAGCTGACCGTGTTCTTGAGCGGCAACGCATGAAACATCCTCACTGCCTGGCCGGTATCACCACACCGCTCATACATGCTGAGCAGCGCGTTTCCCACAACAACATCCCGCTCCAAGAATCCTTCTCGGACGATGCATTCCCCGATGATCTTTCCCGTGCCAAGAGCCTCGGGGCCGCCGCAAGACCCGAGGAGAACCACAAAGATTACGCCGTCGGGCCTCACATTCTCGCCCAGCATTCGCCTCAGGAGCTGCAGTGCGGTGCCGTGATGCCCCCGCTGGGCATACGCCGCGACGATCGCCGTCCAGGAGAAGAGATTCCTCACCTCCATATCCTCGAAGACCTGGCGCGCGCTGGAAATGCTGCCGCAGCCGCCATACATCGCGATGAGGTGATTGACGAGGACGGGATCGAGCGCGCCGCCATGCGCCATGATCCAATGCGCCCGCCGCCCCTCCGCCAGCGCGCCGCCATGCGCCATGATCCAATGCGCCCGCCGCCCCTCCGCCAGCGCCCCGTGCCGCTGACATTGCTCGAGGAGCTCAACCCTAAACCTGTGACTGCAACGCTCCCCCTCGACAAGAAGGCGCTGGATCATCCAAGCGATATGGCTGCGCGCCATAGGGCCCAAGTGGCCATACGTTTATACTTTATTAATAGTAACAGTAATAAACGCGCGAAGATACCACTGCATTAAAAAAGGTGAGAAAAAAAATCGCGTGTGTGAAAGGACACACAAGAGGAACATGATGGGGACGTTGCTAGGGGGCAGGGTGGCAGCGGGGAATCGAACCCCTGACCTCCTTGCGTGTGTGAGACCATCATCCAGCTGTGTTTGTGCGTGCTCTCTCTCCTTTGTCGTGCGTGCGTTTGCGGCACCACCAAGCGCGAGCTAGCTACAATCAAACCAAACCAAACCCTAATTTTGTGGAGGAGGGAGGAGAGCTCGGCTATGGCGGCAGCGAGGGCTTTTTCTCCTCCTCCTAGCTTGCGGCGGCGCAGCGCCACGGCAGCGAGCGGCCGCTCGGATTCCAAGCTCGTCTCATCGGGATCCGCGTAAAATCCTCGCCGCTCGGTGGAATCTTGCTCGCCGCCGGGAATGTGTTCTTGTTTGCTTCTCTCAGCAGGAGATTTCCACTTTTCCTCGCAATCTAGGTTCTCGTCGGCAGCGGTGTAGCAATTACGAGCTAATTGCTCGTTGGATTTTTCCTCCCATCCACCTCGGTTTCTTCGATCCAAGCAAGCCCTTTTCTCTTCATAGAACACTCTGGTGCAGCTCCTTGTCTTGTTCCTCCCCCCCGTCGCTGCAGTGTCTCCGTTCGCTTTCGTGATATTGGTAGGAGAGATCGAAATCGATCTGCATGGAAGAAATATCCACCTAGAGGTATCTAGCTAGAACTTTCAAAGTTTATGACATGCCGTCCTCTTGTGGCACGAGTCGCTGTTCTTCCCCATGCCTTGCTTCTCTGGACTGCATCTCCTCGCCAAAAAGGATCGCCAATGGGTGGACTCGGTGGATCCAGGAGCAAAGCTCGCAAGTTGCTCCTGGTTTATGAATTGGGTTCCTGGAAGGAGTCCTGGGCGACGTACACGGCAGGCAGGCAGGCAGGCAGGCATTTGCTTTCACGGTACTCGCTCTCACTCATGATGCTGGGCTTGATCTTCCTTCAGTGAGAGCAGGGGCTAAAGGTGTGTGTGGTCAGATCAGCTACCCGGTGATTTGCAGAAGAAGAAGCTCCATCTGCAGTCTTCGATGGTGATGGTGAGGGGGCTCTTGTTTCTTGGCTGACGAGTTTCTCGGTTTCCATCTCCTCGATTAAAGCTAAAGCTATACAGTGTTGGAGGTATGCAGTGATCTTCCGCCGCGCCGGTGTCTTGGTCGTCGTCCTTGTGGGTGGCTCATGCTCCGGGAATGCGCATTCGAAGGCAGCAGCAGCAGCAGCAGCAGCAGCGGATGGAGAGCTTGAGTGCTACTGTTCTTCCTGCAACTCTGCTGCAAGAGAGAGACTCAAAGTCGTCGTGCTCGGAGGCCATCCCTGGCAGTTTGTCCAGATCCAGGAGGTCGACCAACTGGCTGGACAAGCTCCGGGCCTCGAAGGGGTTCTCGCCGGAGCCCAAAGTCGAGATTGAGGAGTTTGTGAGGAGCCTCCATGGGAATTCTTCCGGAGATTCCAAGAGCAGCGGCGTCACAGCGACCGCTCCTTTGCGCTCATCGGCTGGGAATGTAGTCGACTGCAATGCCGCCAGCGGCAGCGGCAGCGGCACCACCTCAGAGGAGAAGCTTTGTGCTGTGGAAGACAAGGTTGGATTTCCAGCAGGGGATTGCAAGGTGGAGGATGACAGACGTGGTGAAGCAGAGGTTGCTGTAGTGGGTACAATGGATTTGGTACAATTTGAGCAGTGTGATTCTTTTGACCCGGACGGTTCGAAGGCCAAGCCCAGCAGCAGCAGTGGCCAGTGCATGAAGCTGTCGAATTCTTCCGAAGGGCTCTCGCAAGTTTGTCCAAGTGAAGGCTCTTCGCCGGAGGAGAACGGGAAAGGCAAGTCTTTAAGCCCGGGAATCAGTAATGCAGATAATGGTAACGCCATTGCTCCGGCCAAAGCTTGTGGGGACTACGACGTCTACGCGTTTGGATTGCCTCGGGAAGACTTCGAGCCGTCCCAAGGGTGTGTGACGACGGTGAAGCAGCAGCAGCGGCAGCAGCAGCGCAAGAGGAAGCAGCAGAGGCCGAGGAGCTGCCCGAAAACAAGCACCTTTTCTCCCGGGCAGGAGGTAACTGGACCTTTACTGCAACGAAGGAACTTGGAGCTCCTGCGGCTGGGGAGCTACTATGTGCAGGAGAGGGGGAGTCCAGAGTCAGAGAAGGCGAATCCCGTGTGCCGGACTCAACTGGCATTGCGGCAAGAGTATCTGACTGCGACACCGTTGAATTGCAGTGATGAGAAGAAGAGAAGTTGCGCGAGCTTGACAACCAGCTGCATGGAGAAGATGCGCGCCTTCAGCCTGCGGAGCCAGTCCTCTACAGAGTCGGACGGAAACGGGAGCGATAGTACGTCCGACTCGTTGACCCTTCGCAGGCGAGGGATGAAGCAGTCAAAGGATCTACAGGGTGCTATTTGCTCCAAGAGGAGAAAGTTGTATGCTGCTGGAGCTCCTGTTACTGTAAGCCGTGTTTGTTGCACATTAGCTGTGGTCGTTAACAACTTGGATTTGCAGCCATTCCAGGTGGAGCGAACATTGTCTTTGCAGAAAGATGACCACTTGCAGGCACGGAGGAGGTATGTAGTTCTCAGCCCACTGCTGCAAAGCTCGTGTTCTTATTTGACTCTTTCCAGGACACCGCAAACGAATGGCTTTTTCGGTAAGGACGTGGCTATCCTGATAGCTACAGTACTAATTGGACTTTATTTCTTTGTGTTCTTTGAGCAACAGATATTGCTTCGTCCATGCTTAGAGCACCACTCGGTGTCTCGAAAACTTTGCCTCCTCCTGACGATCCTCCCGACCACCCGGCGAGCCAACCGAAGGACACACTCGCCTCCTCAGTCTACCAGGTATTCATGAAGGCTGGCAAGAACGGCTTGACAACACGGGAGGCCGTCTCCAAGATCATCGAGGAAAAGCTTCCGGGGCTCGGGGAATGCAGCGTGGTGGCGAGGGTGGAAGTGGGGAAGATCGTGCGCACGTCTCCTTACTTCATGGAGCTGGAGGAATCAAGGTTTGTACTGTGCAGTGCAATAACCGGCATAGAAGACAAAGCAAGCAACAAAGGCCCAGGGGCGGAAAAGGTAAAGGAACAGGTGTACGAGCTCCAGAACTGGGCCGCTCTTGCAGTTAGACGGGCGCGGACAGGCAAAACGAGAAGGAAACCAATCCGTGACAGGAGTGGTCTGGCAGTGTCAGTAGTGGGAAAACCAGGTAGCGAGGAGAATAGTAAAGCAGCAGCACCAGCAACAGCACTCCAGCAGAAGCAGCCCCAGCAGCATCAGCAGCAGCAGCAGCAGCAGCGTGAACAGGAACCGCCCCGGAAGCGACGACTGAAGTCTGTACAACAGGATAGTACAGGTCTCGGGAACCGCTGCAACCGGTCTGATGGCAAAGGCTGGCATTGCCCGCTGCTAGCACAGGTCGGGTACTTGCTTTGCGACCACCATCTGGACAGGTTGCGAGCAAAGTCAGGCTCCAAGGCGAGGAGGCCCAACAAAAACCGAGCCGAGAAGCGGGCCAACAACAACACCACCACCAAGAACAGTGCTGGAAACCACGCCACCGCCGCCACCAACAGAAATAGCAACAAAGGCAACAACAACGTCACCACCACCAACACTGGTAGGGGTAAGCAGGGAAAGGCTAGTCACAGGAATGGATTTAAAGCTCCGGCGCCGCCGCCGACGACGAATCCAAGTGGGAGGGAGGCGTGGGGGTCTCGCCAGTCTTTGGGTGTAGCGAGAGTAGGACGGGGTAGCGAGAAGCGGCAGAAGAAGGCCGAGGAGCTGCAGGACGAGTCCGGTGGAGAGGAGGTGACGACGTTTGGGTTGAGGTTCTAGATAGGAGGAACAGGAGGAGTGGCAATCCCAATCTCAATCCCAGCGGTGATGAGATTGATGATCACTGAAGAAGAGCCGGGGTGCTTGGATCATAAAAGGTGGAACTTGGAAGAAGAGTGGTGGTGGTGGAGGAGAAGAGCGAAGAGGAGGTGACAGACGTTGGGGTTGAGATTCTAGACAGGAACAGGGAGCGGATCGCTTGGTCCATCAAAGTTGGAACATGGAAGAACAGTGGTGGAGGAGAAGAGCGAACGTTTGGGTTGAGGTTCTAGATAGGAACAGGAGGAGGAGGATTTGGTGGCGATCCCAATCTCAATCCCAGCGTTTGATGATCGCTGATGGAGAACTTGGAAGAACAGTGGTGGAGGAGACGAGAGCAAAAGACGCTGGCGGCGATGATGAGGTGGTAATAACCCACGCACTTTGATTGGAGAGATTTTTTGGAGAATGGTAAGTTAGGTGGAGGGGAACATTGATTGATTTGATTTGATTTGATGGAAGCGGCGCACAACAGTGGCAGTGGCAGCGGCAGCATCGCAATTGGTTTGTTGCAGCGGCGACGCAAAAAAGAGGAGAAGAACAAAAAAAAAGAAAAGAAAAAGAGAGCCAAAAGCGACGATCGATCAAAGTTTGTACAGGAAAGAACCATTCATTCTTTTAAAGAAGGGGAAAAAAAAGGGCACAGTAAAAGTAAGAAAAGGTGTTTTGTTTGGTAGGAAGTGAGGTACTCTTACCCCTTCGTGGAGTGAAAGCGAGACAAGGAATCTTTTTTTTAAATGCCCGTGCTTGCCTCCCTCTCGCTGGGACTCCGAGGGTTTAGGGTTTTCTCTCGCTTTGGCTTTTGGGCGAGGAGGGGATGGCGGATGATGCCGCCTACTTGGCGCTCGTGGAGCGCTTCAAAGCTGTGCTCGGCGGCCCCGATCTCGCGGGACACGCGAGCGCTGGCGGCGATCTGGCGGTTGAATCGGTGAGTTTTTGCCTTTTTCGTGAGGATTTTTGGCGAGAATCGTCCCGGGCACGGCATTGATCCTGGGATTCTGCGTTTCTAGGTTGGCGAGAAGCGGAATCGGGTCGGCGAGGGCGAGGGGGAGGAGAGGAACAAGCCGAGCAAGAAAGGACGCGGGGCGAGCGAATGGTTTCTGGTGTACACGCAGTCGAGCATTATGAGGAAGCAGAGGTTTGTTGGTTTGTTTGTTTTGCTTATTTGTTTGCTTTCTCGGAGTGGCATGGAATGTAATGAACTTCCTTTGCGTATCTCAGCTCATTGATGGTTTCCTTGGAAGCATTTTTCTTTTCCTCCTGTTTTCTGGGAGCGGTCAGTTTGATTTCATTCTTTGATGATTTTCTTGACTTACATTAGCTTTTTTCATTCTCTAGCAGTGTTTTGCTTCATTCCATTGGCTTTTTCTTCTTTTTTTTGTCTCTTGTGTTGCATTTGCTATTGCTTTTTTAAGCTCCTTTTCCTGTTTTCGTTGATAATTTCGTGTCTATAGATACATGTACAATGTTGCAGACGCCCGGGTAGCGCAGTACGTCGAAAAAGGACTTTCGGATAATCTCTTCATCAGCGACGTCTCGTCGTCGTCGAATCTATGGGCTCTCATTTTGGACGCTTCAACCGGCTTCACGGCGCAAGAGTACTTGATCTCTTCCGTGTTTCTCAACAAGGTACCGAACGTATGTTTCTTTTCGATGTCACGGCTCATGCTTTGTACGCAAAGGAATGGATCGTGGAACACTGGAACAAAAACTACTTCATTACCGCGGTAGCGGGTGCTAGCAATGGACATTCACTACTCGTCATGTCCAAAGGTACGTGTCTGGGAATCATTTAAAGTTATAAATTGGTTTCTCTTGCCAGGACCACCTTACACTCAGCAGTCGTATAAGATATCCAGGAAGTTCCCGTTCACCTGGATAAAGAAGAAGTGGCGTCAAGGCTTTTTCGTGACCAATCTCACCGCCACTGGCAAGCGCTGGGCAGCGGTAATGTCAAAGACAACGTTTTTTAATGATCAGGTTCGCCTCGCTTGCACAAATTTCTAAGTCATTTGCTTTTTCAATATTTCCAGTACGTAGAACTTGACTGCACTTACACCCGGGATAGACTTAATCGGCTCCGTGGCCGGGGCTTCCAAATCACTGCTGTTGGCAATACTCCGGAGCACGCAGCAGTGGTTCTTAGTTCCTTCTCTGGAGAAAATGGACATGGCCGTTTTCCAGCTGCTGAGCAACAAGCATCGATCTCGGGATCATTTCCCAGCAACCAAGTCAAGGTATGTTTTTCACTTTCTCAGGCCTCTCTTTCTTCTTCTTCTAGTTTCTTTCAGCTTGCTGAAATCTATTTCTTCCTCTTCATCTTCTTCGTCTGTGCTTGTAAGTTTGGATTTTAGAATTGAAGAAGAGTTAATCGCTTACAAGCATTGCAGGAGAATTGGACAAGGCGACTATACATCTCGCAAATGAGCTATGGACGCACAAACCATTTCGAAGGAAAGGCTGTGAAGCTCGCGATTGGCAGGCCGGTAACTAACAGCGGTGAAGTAACAATGGCGCTGTAAGAAAAAAATTGATTTTGCCTTGTACAAAGTAAAAGCGCTTTTTGTTCTTAGTTTAGTCTCCTCGTGGTCAACCTAACTAGGGTTTCTCGCGATTCAGCTGGCGATCTCCAATGCGGGAGCTGGAGAGATCGCAGATCCAGGCCCGTTGGGAGGATTCGCGTCGAGATTACAGGTAGCGCTGGAGGATGGGTGGGATTTTGCGAGAGGATTCGGGAATGTAGCCAGCGGCCCGGTGGATTTTGTAAATCGCGCGTGCTCGCTCGCCCGCGGCCACCATGATGATGGCTTATGGATGGCCGAGGCTCTTCCCGCTGTCAGCTTCGTCGCGGCAATTCGTCATCTATCTGAAGGTCTTGGAGGATTTGCTGCTTGTTGTGACCAAGAGCGAGATAGAAATATGGAGCTTCGCACAGGTAGCGTACTGTTTTCTCTCTTTGATCGATTTGCGGGAGCGCTTTTAACATTGGGTGTTCTTCCAGCATAGAATAAAGCTCGGGCATTGCGTTAGAGAAGCGTCATCTTTGGACAAGGAAGGGCCAAATGCGTTTGCGGTCTGGAAAGCCGATGGAAAATCTCTTGCTGTCATTGTAAGTTCTTTCTCTTCCTTTTTTTTCCATAGTTTCTGATGCTATGTCGCTTTGTTCTCTCTTTTTTTCTTATGAATTCTTCAGACTGCTGGCTTTTTTTTCTCTGTCTATGAGATTGCCATCTCTGGCAAGAAGCTTGCCGATGCAAACCATGCGGTCGACTTACTCCATTTCAAATGTGGCTTCAACACTAGACTGTCTCAAAGAGTGACAGCGTAAGGCAGGTCTCTGGTTTGCTCGTTTTGATGTTCTCTCTTTTACAGACTTACGAGTGACGATGCGTCGATCCTCCTCGGCTTGTCAGATGGTTCCTTGACAGTGATGTCTTGGACGGGAGAGGTAGCTGTTCCTTTCTTAGCTAAACTCTCTAGTTATAACTGGATCATTACAGGAAGTGGGGAACGTCAAACTTCGCGGCGGCTTTGTTCCGTTAGTCGGCATCCTGCCTCTTTCCGTGGAAAATGGAAATTTGGAATCATCTGGCCTGGGAGTTGTTCAACTTGAAACGTCAACTGTCTTGCAAATGCTGGTGGTGGTTTTTATCGATGGTCGTGTCCTTCAGTGCTCGATCGACCGTAGGAGCCCAGCTGATATCAAGCCGGAAAAATGGGCCTCTATATTTGATGCTGTTTGCACATCCATCGGCCAGCAACTCCAGTTGCTAGCAGTCGGCTCAAGACGTGGAACAGTCGAGCTCTTAAACTTGGCTGATAACCTCTCTCATATTCGGACCATTTCGCTCTTGGACTGGGGGTAAGCATCCATTTCGTCCTAGTCGTTTCGGGTTTTCTGAGTTTATGTTTTGCAGGTATTCCGTAGAGGACACTGGCTCCGTCGCGTCCATGAGCTGGACACCTGATAACTCTTCGCTTGCTGTTGGATGGAAGAACAGGGGGATTTCTGTGTGGTCTGTCTCGGGCTGTCGACTTATGTGCTCCATCCGCCAAGGGAGTGTAAGTAATGCATTTTCTCCTGCTTCATCTGGAGTTGACGCATCGAGACATGAGCCTTTGGCAAATGGTGCAGCACATTTGGCTTGGGGACCGCATGGCTTCAGCTTAATAGCTGCCGGGCCAAGAAACGTTAAGGGGCTTCTGGAGTTTTCTTTCGCCAAAAGTTCTCTAAAACGATGTGTATCCGGGAGTTCTCATATCCTGGATGTACTTTATGGAGAAGACAGATTGCTCCTTGTTGAGTTTGACGAGGAAGACGAGCTTAAGTTACGGCATCTGATGATTCCGGTATGTTATGGGCAATTTCATTCGTCAACTATTTTGCTTGTCTTCTTTGCTTTTCCAGAAAACTTACATAAGTGAAGGCTGGCCGGTGAGGCATGTGGCTATTAACGAAGACGGAAGCTATTTGGCAATAGCTGGCAAGCAGGGTGTGATTCTTTACGACGTTTTGATGAAGAGGTGGCGTGTCTTTGGCGACATAACGCAAGAGCGGCAGATTCGCTGCTTCCAGTTGATCTGGCTTGACAAAATCATAGTTCTACTCAATTATCGTGAGGCGACTGATTCGTAAGCTATTTCGTATTCTTGACCCGTATTTTATACATTGCGCTTGACAGGTATGAATTAAGTCTGTATCCAAGGTTTCATCTTGATGAGAGCTCGCTGTTGTGCCGCAAGATGCTGCCTGGGAATCCTATAACGATGGACATCTGGCAGCAGTACATCCTCGTTGCATTTGCTCCTTTTGATCTGAGGATTTTTCGTGTCACCATGGATGGGAATGTAACTCCTTTCAAGGTTCCAGTTGTCCAGGTACATATTCACCTTCGGTTTTTCTTTTCTTGTTGTGCTAAAATGTTTATGTTCATGCCAGCTAGACACAGTACGAGAGCTGTCAATTGTTAGTGTCAAAAGGGCTCCTGTGGCACTGCAGTTAGTACCACCACAAAGAAGCCCGGAATCATCTCAGCAACCTGGCAGGTACATTTTTGTTAATCATCTTGTTCTGAAAGTCTCAAGCTAAGTATTTGAGCTATAGGTGCGTGGTTTTGCGTAACGATGGAGAGCTATCAATACTTGACCTTGACAAAGGCAGTGAACGAAGCCTTGCAACTGGTATCGAGAGATACTGGCTGACGTCCGGCAATGCACATATCAAGGGTCTAGCGGAAGAAATATCCTGGTGGGCGTATGGTCACCAGGGAATGCAGGTACTTTCATTGAATGTGCCAGCTATGTTACGTACGTTCTCACACGAAACTCCAGGTCTGGTACCCGTCGTCTTTGTCGGCTGATAAAACGTCACAGGTAAGCCTTGCACAGCACAAGTAGCTTCTTTACGAGACTCGTGACCTTGTTTATCCAGCTGGACCCTGAAATTGGGTTCGATAGAGAAGTTTATCCGTTGGCTCTTTGCCCTTCTGCTGGTGTTCTTGTCGGGGTCTCACAACGCTTGTCGGTATCAACATGCAGCGAGATGCCGTGTTTTGAGCCAATTCCTCAAGCCGAAACTATTCTTCCTTGTTTGCTTCATCATTTACTTCAGGTATGTGTAAACTTTTTGTGAAAGAGATGTTTAACGTCCTCTGCTGTTCTGACAGCGTAACAAGCAAGACGAGGCGTTGCAGCTCGCAAAGCTGTCTGCAAGAAATCCACACTTTTCTCACTCTTTGGAATGGCTGCTCTTCAGAGTCTTTGACGGTGCAATATTCAGGTATGCTGCTTGCGCGTAAAAGTTTTGGTTTAGCCGTTTATGTTATTGTTCACAGACAGAATCCCAAATCCAACCTGGAAGTCTCGACAAAAAAGACTAGTCTCCTCGAGCAAGTATGCGACCTGATACGCAATTTTCCAGAATATCCAGATGTAGTTGTCAGCGTCGCTAGGAAAACAGATGGTCGTCACTGGCCTCTACTTTTTGCCGCCGCAGGAGACTCTACAAAGTAAGTTGCTATGCTTGTTTCTACATTGTACTGATGATAATGATCGCAGACTTTTTGAGGAATGCTTTGAAAGAAAGAGTTACCATACCGCAACGTGTTACATCTTGGTATTTATTATAGATGCGTGCGTCTTACTCTCTAATCGGTGAATGGTCGTTTGAAGGTGATTGCTAAACTGGAAGGTCCGTCCGTAAGCCAACGGGGAGCTCTTCGTTTGCTACAGGTGTGGAACGTTCTCCACTTCTCTTAATAAGAAATTTCTGTTCCTGCAGGCAACACTAGATGAATTTATGTATGAACTTGCTGGAGAATTGGTACGCTTTTCATTATAACTCGTGGTCCTATTTAATAACCGTGAAAACATGCAGGTTCAGTTTCTGTTGAGAATCGGGCGTGAGTACGAAAATTCTGATAAGGAGCTCGGTAGAAGTAACAGTAATACATTGACCACATTCTTTCTTAGATTGCCGTCGTCGACCAGACGGTAGTTACCGTGAGCTAATTCGTGTTTTTTTTCTGATTTGTCTCTTTTCTATTTCTTTTCAGGGCGTCATTGAGTGAGACAGATCTTCTCACGTCCACAGTTAGAAAGATTTTGGAGGATCATGCCGTGGGTTTGATGTCAAGGAGAGCTCTGTCCGATCTTGTTGCATTTGTCAAGGAAACTCAGTTCAATCTCACGGTAGGCTTCTGAAGAGAAAGCTGGCTAGCTTTTGTTAACTCAAGGAATCTCTTCTGTAGAAATTTCTGCAGGCCGAAAGAGATAAGTCAGCGAGATTAGATGACTTCGCCTCCGCTCTTCGATCAATGAGTGAAAAGGTAAGTGCTCGCCGACTCTAGGCTCTGCTAAAGTATGTGATGTCTTGTCTTTGCAGCTTTGCATGGACGTCCTCCAGAACAGGCTTGATGCCGAGTTTTTGCTGGCACACATGTGTACCGTCGGGTTCCGAGAATGGATTGTGGTGCTTTCGACGCTTTTGAGGCGCGTCGAGGTTGGCCTGGAATGCTTGATTCCGTTAACGTTCTCTAACGTGTCTCGTCCTGTCAGCTTCTGGTGGAGATCTTCCGTGGTGACGTCCGCCTGTGGCAAGCGTATAGCAGAACACTTAAAGTACGTAATGGTGATGCTCATCCTGTGTTATTAGACTGATAAGTTTGCCTGCAGTCGCATCGAGATTTTGTCGAGTACCAGGACCTCCTTGTAGAGCTGGAGAGCTCCTTGGCATAAAATGGTAAGGACATTCTCTATTCCTCTTCTAAAGTCATTCTCGTTATGGTTGTCTGCTGTGCAGGACACTGTAAATTTTTGCTACTTGTTTATGTCTTCCAACCAGAGACCTTTTGTCGAGTGTGTGCGAAAGTGGTAGACGAAAAAGAAGAGAAGCAAGGCGGTACAGGACACGGGGAAACACAAGAGTAAGATTGCTATTATTCCCGAGAGTGATGACAGCGCAGCAGTGATTCCATAGCGCAAGTTGAGTTGTCACGACCGGCAACAAAGGTGTCAAAGAAAGAAGGCGAGCTGTGCTCAAAGCGCTGGATCTCTAGACAACCCCGGCGCTGTTGGCACTGGCGTGGATGGAGGAGGGATGATCGATCATAAAGCGAAAGTGAAACAAGCAGTGCAAAAAAAAAACTCCAGTAAGATTCCTGTCGCGAAGCAAAGCAGGGAATCATTCAGTGTTCTTCGCCGCCCGCGCAAACTTTTTTCTCGTGTAGTTTGGGCTTTGTTTCCCATGCGAATGGTTTGGCGCATCACGAAATAATCGTAGGAGCAAACAGCGCAGCCATCAAGCGCACATTGACCACTCTGGCCACCATACAGATAGTAATGGGGGCGTTTTGTTCTTGTCCTACTATACAATGGAATATAAGAATTTCTCGTGGTTCTGATGAAGAAGCTTCCATGCAACCTTTTCCATTTCTTTAATAATTTCTTCTTCTTATTCTTCTACTTCTTCTTCTTTTCTGGAGTTTATATTCATTTTAAAATACAAATATAATATGTGAATTAAAAGTGTGAGTCTTTTAAGAAGCTGCCAAGCCCTCAAGTGTGCTTACTATATGTCTATCCAGCCAGCTTTGTAGCAGCAAGCCAAGTGTCCCCCCCTTTGGGAGAGTTCAAAGGCGTGAGGGAGTGTTTGTGTTTGACTCGGGACAAGTTATGGAGGGTCTTGCAACGCCCAATGGGGTTCCATTGATTCCACGCCGCGCATAGCTTTCTCAAAGCTTTCTTTCTTTTGCGAAACGTGAGCGTGCAAAGCCTTGTCCCACGCCCGGGAGACCTCACCCCCATTTTCTAATCACCCAAAGCTTATGATACCATATGATTACGATGCCCATTTGGGGATCCCTCTCCTTACCACCCATGGTTGTTCCATGGTTCACATACATACATATATATATTTACCACCTATAATTTCTTGCTAATATTTTAAAATAGTATAGTTTTATGCTTTTGCTTGGGCCTTAAACAATCCAAACATGACTATGTATGTATTGATGTTAACAGTAGTGTGGACTTTGAAGCAACAGCAATATACTATTATTTTAAAATCTTATCATGCGCAACTAATAAGCACAAGATCAACTATACCAACAAGAACAATAACAAGTAATAATTGAGAATTGACCCTTAGCGCGACTGTTTCCGTACAAAGCGTAACTAAGACCACCGACGTTGAAATATTTTAAATCAGATTTTTAAAAGCCTGTGCTGCAGGTCTGCTCCTGAAATCCAATCTAAAACGAGAGCAAAGCGAGCCTTTTGTCGAATGTAGAAAGTATAATACGTCCTTCCCGTTTGTGAGGGTTACTATTTCCGGTAATGTGACAACTTAGGATACAGTAAGGTGGTCTTGTTCATATCTGGGCTAATGTACTTGCTGCGCTATAAAATAATTCCCCTCGAGGAGCCTTTTGCCTCATTTGCGAGTGTATGTGTGTTTTCTCTGTGTGTGTGTGCCAAAAGAGAACACCAAAGAGAGAGGACGAGAAATTTCTGGTCGAGGAGAGCATTCACTCGCTGCTAAGTTCGAGAAGGAAGCATAGAAATCTTTCATAAGATCGCGAGCGAGAGAGAGAGAGAGATTGTGTGTGTGTGTGTGTGCTATAATAGAGCTTTGTTTTTGTGTGCTTTTGTTTTGAACGCTATCTCTCTCTCTTTCTCTCTCTCTCTCTCTCTCGCTTTTATTTGTAACGCTCAGAGAGGTCTCGGCTTTGGCCGGGGCTTTGATCGCACTGCCGCGGTGCTGTCACTCAATATCGGTGCTGTGTGCCTCACATAAATTCGCTCGCTTCTCAAGGAAAAACCTTGTGTCACTTCCTCGATGGATCAACAGCAGGTTTTGCGTCTCCTCCCTGATACTCTCTCCACACTTTTGGGAAGATACATCCCGTTTGAGCGAGAGAGATTGCAAGTGGCTTGAATCTCCGTTATCTCCCGTGACTCAATCAAGTTGCTCTGGATGGCTTTGTTTGTCAGTGGTTTCGTTCGTTCATCACTTTCAGTAGCTTCTTGCGAAGATTGCGATGTTTGCGTTTGGATTTTGTTTCTGTGGATGATTGCTCGGATTCGGCAAGTGTATTTGGAGGGACAAATTTTTGGTGCTGGCTTGCTTGAATTTCTCTTGTGGCTTGCGGAAGATTGCGACCTGTGTTGAAATGCATCACAAAGTTTGTGTCTGTTTTCTGTTCTCTTGTGGCTGTACTACGGCTGTACTGCTGAATGCAACTGGGAAGGTGCATGAAAATCTGGGGAAGATAGAACACACAAATAAATATGAAAAAAGGAAAAAAAGAAGGAAAAAAAAAAGAAAAGAGGAGAAGAAAACTGCATTGCATTTGGCCTGCTGTAGAAATAAAAATGTGCACAGAATCCACGACATACTGCATGCTGATTAGAATCTGTTTGCAATGTGCAGCAGCAGGACCAGAAGAAGAAGGGATCTTCAAACAATAACAGCAATAGCAACACGTAAGTCCTCCTCCCACTCCCTTGCAAAACATCTCCAATTTCCTTCACAAGCGCTGCCGAGGGGAAACCAAAACAAAACCTTCGCTTTTTGCTCGTACTGACATCCTCGAAAATTTCCAACACATAAAAACACTCACTTTCTTTCTTATAGTTGCTTTTCTTCTTCCCCATTATTTAATTTAATTTGTCCTTTTTCTTGTGTTTTTGTTCTTGGGTGCAGCTCTGGGGGCGGGGGCAGTGGCAGTAACAATGCGGCGCAGCAAAAATCTAAATCGGTGAGCTTCCTCTCTCCAAGTTACGTGCGTGAGTTGTCTGGAATTGTGGTGTGATCTCCTTTCCTTCTTTTTGGAATATGCGAGCTTGCAGAGACAAGAAGATAAAGGGCGGGCCGGCCTTTGCTTTTGGGTAATGCGCGCGAGAGTAGTGCCATATCTCTCACTCGCCAGGAGTGAATATTTGATCGATTATAGCCTCCCTCCTGGCAGTAGAGTGGACTCTTCTCTCTTTCCTTTTTTTTTTTTTTTCTTTCTCCTGATATTTTACTATTCATAAAAGAAAATTCCCTCCATGATCTGTGGACTAATTATTGGTTTCTTGGTTCCTTAAGAATTCCAAGCGCTCCATCGCGGAGACTGTGAACCTCGCCGCCCAGAAGTTCCTGGCAGACTCCTCAAAGAAGTGAAAAAAAAAAAAACGAGACGATCCAATCCAGCATTGCGATATATGGTTGGGCTTTGCTATACTTGAACTATAGATATTATCTCTTCTAAATATTACAATGTGTGTAAAAATCATAGAAATGGTGTTTTGCCATGTGTACCGCGAAAAGTGCCTCCCCAAGGCTTTTGCTAAGATCTTAAAGTGGTACTCATATACTCAATGAAAATAATGGAAAAATTCCCTCCAATAATTGATATTAACACTCAATTTGAAATAATATTCCAAAGGGAGATTCTAAGGTTCGAATATGGCGCCAAAAATTGTAGGGAGGAGCACAGAGATTCGCCCGTTTACGTGGCGGGGGCGGTGTCCCTGCCAAGGTCCCTGTGTAAAGGGCGGCATTATATTGCCACTTAGGGCAGTGCTTTAACTTGAGCGCCATGGCGTGGTCGGTGACACAGGCTCCTGCTGGTAGGGCGTCTTGCATTTGCCCTAGAGGGATTGGCGGTAGTGGCGGCATTGGCGCGGCGGCATCCTCGTCCCAGGCGCTGCATTCCTCGGCTCGGCGGAGGAAGAGAGTGGCGCTTTGCTGTGGATCGCCGCTCCTCGGTCAGTATTTCGATTCTACTTAGATCCTTAGCTTAGGCGCTCCTAGAGATTGGGTTGGAGAGTCGGATTTCCTTCCTCTGTGGAAAATGTGGAAAATCTCTGTCCTGAGCGTTTCTTGCTTCTTTGTGTGGCAGGAAGAGCGTTATCGTTGAGCTGCCACGTTCACGGGAAACACTATTCACGACCGTCAAGTTAAAAAGTTTTTTTTTTAAATGGTAGTCTCACTCCTTTATTTCTCAGCGAGGGTGTCTTGCGCGGATCCTGGTTCTCCGGCAGAATCCACAACGGCCTCGACGGCAACCGCTTCGAAGGATTTACTGGAGCCTAATAGCAAGGCAGATCACAGCATGGAAGAGCAGACCATGGAGATTGCCAAGCAAATCCAGGTATGGACAATGTTTCGCCCGTCAAGCGAGTATAGATTTTAATGTATGGCGTCGGGTAGATGTTGTGGGCGTGCAAACTCAGATTGCTCCTTGCCTATTTTACCCGCGAGCGAACTAGTTTTTCCTCCGTGGTTCGTATACGTCCTGCACAACTGACGCTTTAGCACCTTTCTGTTTCGTGCTTGCTTAACTAACAGTGGAGACTTAGAGGGACTGTGGTGTATCTGATTTATTTCGCTCTCTCTCGTTTTGCAAATCATGTTTTACTTATTCTGTTTAACTTCAGGCTTTTAGAGATGGAAGTTTGAAGTTGAAAGAACAGGATGCCGCGCTTCCCAAAGTTGTTCCTCCCCCGGGTGACGGCCAGCGTATCTACGAAATCGATCCGTACCTTAAAAACTACCGAGATCATCTAGAGTACAGGTAATTGCAAAAGTTTTATGTGGTGAAATGTGTCTTAAAGCTGGCTGGCGGTTTTAGGTACTCACAGTACAAGGCGAAAGTTGATGCGATCAACAAGCACGAAGGAGGCCTAGAGGCTTTTTCGAGGGGCTATGAGAAGTTCGGCTTTAATCGAACGTATGCTTCAAAGCATCTTTAATGGTGTGATTGACTAGGATATTTGTCCGGATATTTTATTCATGCTGTCTTTGCAGTGCCGCTGGTATCACGTATCGCGAGTGGGCACCCGCAGCGAAATCAGCATCTCTCATGGGGGATTTTAACAACTGGAATCCAAATGCAGACATGATGAAAAAGGTGCGACAAAACGCTTTAGTTTTGCTGCTCATACCTTGGCCGAGTTCTTACAGAACGAGTACGGAGTATGGGAGCTTTTCCTACCCAACAATGCAGATGGTTCTGCTGCGATTCCTCATGGGTCCAGAGTGAAGGTATGGCATTTTCTCTCTTAGTATTTGTCGACTGTGTAGTGTATCTATCCTACAGATTCACATGGAAACTGCATCTGGTGTTAAAGATGCTATTCCAGCATGGATCAAGTTTGCAGTTCAAGCACCGGGCGAAATTCCCTACAATGGAATTTATTATGATCCTCCACCTGAGGTTTACTTTCTGTTTTATCCCGCGTCCGATGTTGTGACTCTGCCCTACCACAGGAACGATATGAGTTCAAGCATCCACGTCCTAAACGGCCCAATTCCTTGCGAGTATATGAAGCTCATGTTGGAATGAGCAGTACGGTTTGTATCTCTGACTTAAAAAATAAAGTCCTTTAGAAGCATGGATCTCTCTGTTTGCAGGAGCCGAAAGTAAACTCTTACTCTGCGTTTAGAGATGATGTGCTACCTCGAATCAAAGGGCTCGGATACAATGCCGTGCAGCTCATGGCGGTTATGGAGCACGCGTACTATGGGAGTTTCGGGTAAATTTCGACAGTGGAAGGCATTGTTGTGGCTAACGTCGTGTCATTTGTTGCAGGTATCACGTCACAAACTTTTTCGCTGTGAGCAGCAGATGTGGAACTCCTGACGAGTTGAAGAGTTTAATAGACAAGGCTCACGAGCTTGGGCTTTTTGTGTTGATGGACGTTGTTCACAGGCAAGTGACGGTTCTCTTTACTTTATTTTGACTGACACGTTGGAGACAACAGCCACTGCTCAAACAATGTGCTCGACGGGCTAAATATGTTCGACGGAACTGACTCGCAGTATTTTCATTCTGGAGCTCGTGGATATCATTGGATGTGGGATTCGCGGTTATTTGATTACAGTAGCTGGGAGGTACGCACTACATAATGGACATAGTACAGGCGTGCCTTTTTATTCTTGTCTCTTTTAGGTGTTAAGGTTCTTACTTTCTAATCTTCGATGGTGGATGGAAGAGTACAAATTTGATGGATTCAGATTTGATGGCATCACTTCAATGATGTATACACATCATGGATTGCAGGTTAGTGTTCTGTCATATCTCGACAGTTTCGATTCATTTTTTCTTTTTTCTTTTGTATCAGATGACTTTTACCGGACAGTACTCAGAATATTTTGGAATGACTACCGATGTGGATGCCGTGGTTTGCCTTATGCTTGCCAACGATTTGCTTCACGCATTGTACCCGCAGACGATAACCGTTGCAGAAGATGTAACTTTTATTTTTTCTTTTTCCCCTGTTGTACTAATGCACTTTTTGGTATGTATATCAGGTGAGTGGAATGCCGACATTATGTATTCCAGTTGCCGATGGTGGCATAGGTTTCGATTATCGGCTCCAAATGGCTATTGCTGACAAATGGATAGACATATTGGAGAAGTAAGATTCCTTGCAACTTGATTGGGGTGATTTACACTTTCTGTGTTTTCTTTTTCTTTTCTTTTTTTTTCAGATTAAAAGACGAAGAATGGAACATGGGGAACATCGTGTTTACATTAACCAATCGTCGATGGATGGAAAAATGTATTTCGTATGCTGAAAGTCACGACCAAGCACTCGTTGGGGACAAAACTTTGGCTTTTTGGCTGATGGACAAGGTAAATGCTAGATTCATGTTTGCTGTCACCAATGCACTTGATGAACAGGATATGTACGATCATATGGCTCTCGATCGTCCCTCCACTCCTCGGATCGATCGTGGAATAGCTCTTCATAAGATGATTCGATTGATTACCATGGCTTTAGGAGGAGAAGGTTATCTTAACTTTATGGGGAATGAATTTGGACACCCAGGTAATCGTGGATGCTACTGTAATTTGTTTCTTTGTTTTTAACTCTTTCTCGCTGTGTACAGAGTGGATTGATTTTCCACGGTCTGATCAAAAGCTTCCTAATGGGAAGTTTGTGCCGGGGAACAAGAACAGTTTTGATAAGTGTCGCAGACGTTTCGATCTGGTACGTATCGTATTAATTGAAATAGGAGTTTCTTACGCGCTTGTTGTGGACGTTGCAGGGTGATGCGGACTACCTAAGGTATCGAGGCCTTCAGGAATTTGATCGCGCGATGCAACAACTCGAGGCAAAATACGAGGTACCGAAAGCGGATCAAATGAACTAGACCTATATTGCCTTTCTTGTGACCAGTTTATGGTAGCACCTCACGAGTACGTCTCCCGGCAGAACGAAGGCGACAAGATCATTGTGTTTGAGAAGGGAGACCTGGTGTTCGTGTTTAACTTCCACTGGCAGAAAAGCTACACAGACTACCGTGTCGGGTGTCTCAAGCCGGGGAACTACAAGGTATGCCGCTTCCAGCTTGTTTGGTCTTCCTCATTCTCGTTTTGGTTAGGTTGTGTTGGACACTGACGAGCGACTATTTGGTGGATTTGGAAGGCTAGATCATTCGGCGGTCTTCCACACAAATGTGAGTCCAAAACAACTCAACTCGATAGAGGCTGATCTTTTGGATTTGATCAAACAGGAGGGATGGTATGACGATCGACCACAATCGTTCCAAGTTTACTCTCCCTGTCGCACTGCTGTTGTCTACGCGCCGGTAGTTCCCGAGAGTCAATCCGTCGATGAACCGCTGGAGGCGCAAACCAGCATTCCCATTCATAACTTGTGACTTCGCGCCTAAAATTTGTATTTCAAAAAGATTCTTGGTATATTACTTTTGCTTGTCGGAATCGAACCTCGACCCAGTTGTGTTTTAGGGTTTATCGCAGAGAGTAGCGATGGCGGATTCTTCGTGGGACGATGCCGCTCTTATCACCGCTTTCAACTCCGCGGTCGGGAAATATCAGGTGAGAAGCCGATGCTCCACCTCGATCAATGCGGATCTTATCGATTATTTCTTGCCAGGAGAGGCATAGCTCGAAGGAGTCTGATGGAAAATCTTCGTAAGTTATTCCAGTGTGCGATCGTTTGATCCTTGTTTCTTGCGTTTCTCTAGACGCGAGGAGAAGAAGATCGAGAGCGGGAGCCAGCAAGATCAAGCGGCGGCGGAGGGATCGTCCCAGCACGCGGATTCTTCGTTCGTGGATCCTTCTTCATACTATCCATATCCATTTCCACAGCCTCATCCCTCATATCCATACCCGGCATTTGTGTATCCAGTCCCTGCCTATGCTTGCGCTCCTCCGCCAAGCCATTGCTGCCACCACTCGTGCTGTCACTCGAGCTCTACTCAATCCTCTCGCTCGGATGATCCATCTTTCGAGACGCTCAAGCTCGCAATTCTACAATCTCTCTCGCAGCTACCACCAGGTACAATTTTCCCATTTGTTCTTAGCTTTTCTTGCGATTCTTCCAGTCGTTCTAGATTCATTCTCACGAATTCTCACGAATTCTCACGAATTCTCACGAATTCTCACTCGTTTTATTGTTTTGTTTCTTAGACAAACAACTATCGCTCGAAGACAATGCCGAAGTTCTCATCGCTTGGTTCAATGCAGGATTTCGCACTGCAAGGTATGGAAAGCTCAAAAGGATTTCTGGTTTCCTCACTTCGCGATCTTTTCCGTGCAGCCACTTGTACAAACAAGCATAGGTTAATTCAAAGATTATCTATAAGATTTGCGAAAATCGAAAACCATGATCCGTGGATCCGACGCGGCAAGCATCCAACGGTGATGTGGTTGCTCGTTATTTTTCTCTCTTTTCCGTGGCTTTCTCTCTCACAGATCGCCATCACGGGTAGTACCCATTTCTCTTTTTCTAATTTATTGGGCCGAGCGTTGGTTGGATCAGGGCTTTCTTCCTAGGGTTCGTGGCGAGAGAGCGCGGAAGTGGATGATCACAACGACGCTGATCCTCCAAAATGGTACTCCTTTCCTTTTTCTTTTGCCTACATTTACTCCAAATCTCTTAATGCTGCAGACCAGCGAGTCGAAAAAGGAGGCTTTCAGGAAATATTTGGAGGCGAGTGGAGTGCTCGATTCGCTAACAAAAGGTCTGTTTGTTTTTCCTCTCTTCCCTTGGTCTGATCAAGCTAGTGTGTGTGGCAGTTCTTGTCGCTCTGTATGAAGAGAATGATAAGCCTCCTCTAGCGATAGAGTAAGTCTTTCATTGCTTTTCCTTTCTCACATTACTCTGATCCTCTGCGTTTTCTCATTCCAGTTTCATTCAGCATAACTTAGGCGGTTACACGAATGAGGAATACACCAAGCTGAAGGGTGAGAGGGACGAGCTCCAGCTTAAATACAATGAGCTAGTCGCGGCGCACGAAGAGCTTGGTAGAAAGGTAGAACTCGCCTACGGATTATCAAATCGTGACTCATATGCTTCCTTTGGATCCACAGTTTGAGGAGCTCCAATTGCAGCTTCCTCCTCCCGAGGAAGCACCCCCAGTTGGAGAAGCTCCACCAGCATAGGAGATCAAAATCACAGGGTCACTAGTTCTTTTGAATCATAACACGCTCTAATACATTTGGATGGAGAAGCTTAAAACCTTTTGTGTATATCATCTTGGAAAGAATCTAACTTGAAAATCTAAGCTCGCAATGGCTGTGACGAGCTTCCTTCCACCAAACTTAAATACTCGGCAATAGCATTGCCTTCTAGAGTTACTTCTAGATCATACTCCTCGTAAGCATCTCCTGTCACGTTCCCTGCCATCTCATCTTCCATTTCTACATCGCGAACTTGTGCTTGATCCTCCTCGGCAGCAGCCCCGTGTTCTTGTGCTTGTTCTTGTTGTTCTTCATCTTCTTGTCCTTCACCCATCACTGCCGCTTCATTGCTACTGTTTCCCTCCGCAATAAGCTTTTCCAAGGCCTGGGCCACACCACCCGATGACTGAAGAGCAGCGGTGGCTGTAACACACGACATGAAAAACTCTGTAAAGTCCACCACTCGTTCATGGATTTACCTCTCTCCCTGGAGAAGCCCATTTGCATCAAGGCCGACACGTCGGCGTGGCTAACCCCCCTCCGCGTCGTGGAGGAAGAAAGCGCCGACTGCAGAGCTTCCAGATGCGCTGGATTGGTAAGAATGTCGATCGCCAGGCCGGTGTTATTGTCAGTTTGCTTGAGCGCTTCAGCAATCAGAAGCTTGTCATATCTGACGAGAACAAAAAGAAAACAAAAGCTCAGCTTTAGAAGTCACCAAGAGCGTACCCAAGGGGGACTAGTTCATTTAGCTGCTTCAAATCCACTGCCTTGCCCGATCTGGTTTTCCCGTAACGCCTTTGCTCGCTTTGACGCATGATTAGAACGAGTGTTAGTTAATAATGCCACGAATTCTCACTCTGCTCACCGCAAGTTCTTTCTGTGTTGTTCGTCTTCGGCACGTTTCCGTTTCTCGATATCCCTTTGCTCCATGACAAACTCCACAGCACGGTCCACATCTTGCCCCGACACTCTCAAGCCCCGCTTCGCTTCCTTCGTAGTGAATCCCATATCAGCTAGTATTACCAAAGATTCATCAGGTACTTGCAGCTGTATAAAAGATTAAACTTTCAAGGGTCACAAGTGACAGGAAAATCGTACCTTGATAAACTTTTGCTGGGCGGCTTCAAGCGACGCGCGTGCAGCGTCGACGAGTCCACTGTGGAAGGCCACAACGCCTTCTAGCAGCTCCAGCCGAACATATCTACGAAAGCAAAGAGAAGAAAGATATCAGATCATGGGTCTAAAAGCCAAGACACGAATCCGAAAGTAAAAGATAATGAGGCACCAGAAAGAAAAAAGAAAAAAAAAACACGAAGGACTTTTGCACGCGACCAGTCTGACTCCAAAGGCCATACATAGCGAGCTCTGGACAGAATCCTCCTTGTAAAACACGCAAGCGCTCCAGATTTGCGCCGTGCGCACGTTTGAGTCCTCTCCGTGCTTCGGCCAGTCGCTCTTTAGCAACACCGAGTCCTCCAATGTCACGCAACATGAACAAGCACCACACCATGTCAATTTGTAAGAATGGCAGATTGTCGACATGCTGAAAAGAAGTGTAAAGTCTCTAGGCGAAGGAAGAAGTAAACAGTTGGGGTATTACCTCGATCATACTCCTGTCGCACAATAAAAACGATTCCTGTGGAAAGAGAGTGAGAGAATTATCTCAAGCATTGCTAATCCTTACCTCTGCAAATGCCAGGACTTCCAATGCTTCCCTGTACTGGCTTGCTTCGATGAGCTTCCGGGCCTTTGCATGAAGTATCAGACCCATCACGAGAGCCCTGAGAAAACAAATTCATACGAACACAAAGGTGGTCAGTGCTTGCATGATCCAACTCAAGCCCACCTTCTATCACTGTCACTTTTGAAATGCAAAGCTTCGCCATTTTGATTGAAAAGAGAGAGATCGTAGTCACCCATCGATGAGAAATCTTCGTTGCTTCTGCTGGCCATAGCCTCCGCAGCAGCTCTGCCAGAGCACGAAACCACGCTTTCAAAGAACCGATCGATGCAAAAGGAATTTTTTCCCACCTGATCCTTGCGAGCCGCTCGGCTTTCTCACACTCGCGAATCACCGGCGCCGCTTGCTCCCTCCCAATCCGGGTCATCAGCAGCTTGGAATTCGCATGTAGGCCCAGATCGCGCAGATTATCGGCGTCCCTGAGATTCCTGCCCGCGCTGATAAGATTGATCGACTGGACATCGAAACCTGACACCCGGGACGCCTCTGCGCGCAATTCCGCGACGCTCCACCTCTGGATCGGGACGCGGAGGATGCCGGACCAAGCACCAGCCACGCGCAGCGCCGATTCCTCGCCATCGCCAGCACTAGCACCATCACCCCCCATCTTCCAATAAACCCTAATCGCCAAAGCCCTATTACTTAAGATAGCAAACTCTTTACTCATGGGTAAAGACAAAAACACCGGGTAAAATTTCTGTCCCATGTACCACACATTCACAGAACATTGCTGTATCTCAGGGAGGCACATCAATGTAGCTTCTTTATAGACAATCTATCTCATAGATAGCCTTTAGAGGCTTCCTTTAGAAACTCTATTAGACTAGAACACTCTTTTGTAAGAGAAAACTAAGAGAATGTGATCCTTCCTCTCTATTTTCTTCAAATGTACATTAGCTACATCGCCTCGGATTTCTCAAACTAGATTCTTTCCCTCGTCTAGAAACACAGTTACGGTTAGAGCACATACTTATTAAAATATCTCATCTCAATCTATGATTTCTATGATCGATGAAGAAAACGAAGAAGGGAGTAGTAATATAGCAGTAGTAGCATAGTAGCAGTAGCGATTCACGGATTGAACAGCTTGTTGCCACACTTGCACCTCCAGCCCTCGGGTTTGTAGTTGGAGTACTCAACACTGACCTGTTGGTGATGTTGGTGGTGTTCTTGGTGTTGTTCTTGTTGGTGTTCGTGTTCTTGGCGGTGTTCTCGGCGATGTTCTCGCTTCCGTGGTACGACCGGGGATTTGCGCTCGATGGGCGTGGGGACTTGCACTGCCTGGCACGGGATGCATCGGTTGCATTTGTTCTGGCAGCTCGGAGGCCGAGATCCGATGTTGCTGCTCATCTCGGCCAGGCTTTGCTGGCTCGCCTGGACGGCCTGGCATGGAGTGCACGAGTCACACTTGTTGATGCAGCTCGGGGGCCGCGATCCGATCCTCGATGCTGCTGTTCTTCGCGCTGCTGCTTGCTGCTGAGAAACCAACGGAAACAGGAAAAGAAACGGGGAAAAACAAAGTAAGTTTTTCGATCCACAGAGTTTTTGAAAGGTTGTTTCACTCACTTGATTTCTTACTTGCAGTGAGGAGGTGTCATGAGGTCCTACAAATCCATTCTCCCAAGCTACAAGAACCAGAAAGAGGAAGAGGTTTTGTCCGAAAGTTTTCAAGGAGGAGAATTTTTTTACCTGGCCTGCCCGTTGTCTCGCAGCAGCTGACCAAAAAAATGAAGAGAATTGTGCTCAACTTCACCAACATGCTACACTGGCATCCTTGTTATTAATGAGAGAAGGAGAAAAAAGAATCAATCTCTCCTGTTTTCTTTTTCTTCCTTCCCTGTTCAAGATGCTATTTGTCTGCCCTGCCTCCTGCTCCTGTTTGTTCCCTTCTGCTGCTGATTTCTACCCAAGAGATCATGCATATATGGAATGAGCTCCAAAAACAATTACTGCCTACAACAGAAGAGGACACACCATACAGAGAAAGACAGAAAAAAACTCCCAAACTCTCAAGAAACGCTATGATCTCCCCTTGAAGTCATAATAACTGGCACATCCAACCTTTCTTCTCCTCCTTCCAAGCCCCGTTCCTCCTTGCTGCCAGTCTTTGCATCATGTCTCCCTCTTGGGCTGCCTTGCCACATTGAACAAACAAAAGAACACAGACTTTAATCAACACCAATCTGATGACAAATGGTTACCAGCTACTAAACCATCTTTCCTGGATCCTAATATCACTGCTGAGCCTCCTTTCTTGCACCTGTGCCTTCACATTGTTACACCATGATGCAATGCAGTGTGTGTGCTGAGTCCAGACAATCCACTTGGGCTCCCTAAAGCTACAAATTTTAACAAACTTCACCTGATCATCTCTCTCTCCTTTCTTTCCTCCTTCTTTATACACTTTTAATCTAGTTTTTTTCCCTCCTCACCAACACCCAGTCTCTGATTGATTGATTGATATGTGTTGTATGAATCTGTCTCTGGGGGAGCTGCCCTTTTCTCATCTGACTCAACCTAGAGGTTAGCCACTGGGCCACCTATTCCATAGGCTCCTCTAGTGTGTACCTCTCCTTTTCACATGTTTTATCTTATTGCTTCTTCCCAAATCTGTGTATAAAAAGAGCTCATGGTATAAGATACACACCAGCAATCTTGCTCTACATAGCCGCTGCAGCTGCTTGTGTATAAATAGAGAGAGCATATATGGCTGTGAATGGGACATGCTACTGGTGGGAAACTTGAGCCTCAACAAAGCACACTTTCAGACACATTCAGATTGCAGGCCAACACAACATTGAAATTCGTGCCCCTCTTCTTCTATATTCTGTGAATCTCGAGCCCTACAATTTGTACCTAAAGACAGAGCAGAAGAAATCGAAATCGATTTATCCTGAGCACCAGAATCTGTTCACACTTCCAAAATTTAACTGCCAGCCGTCCCATGTACCACAGATGCGGTGCCTTTAGGGTTGCCACCTTTTTTGTTACCATAAAAAGCAGATAAGATACACATTGATTTTACTTTTCACACTGGAAGTGCTCTCCTTTTATACGCTTGCATTAGAAAGAGAAAGCTGTCGCCGTTAGCACCAGAGGTAGATTCCGACCACCACACTGTTAAACAGCATATATAAAAATGCCTACGCGCTTACGCTGTAATTGCGAGCGAGCGAGAGAGAGAGAGGAGAGATGGCGAGCCACAAGGTTGTGCTATGCACCCTCCCCATCCTTTAAATTACGAGACGGTGCGTCCATAGCTCACAGCCGCGATGTAGAGGTTCTTGGACCACTTCTCCTGCGAGGAACAATGGCGTGCGTCAGTAAGATCCCAGAAGAGAAAACAATTAAGGCAGTGTTGTGGACCTTCACATGCGTGCTAGGAAAGGCCGATGTTCTCAGTGTCTCCTGTGTCTCGTCGGCAGGCTTTCTCCGCGGCACGCTCAATACGAATGCTGCTTGATCCCAAGTTGCCGCAGTGGCGGTGATGCGATATCCACAATCCCACCGCCGGTGGATGCCTTCGCTGGGATAGAGGAAATCCAGCTCCACTACCTGTGTCATGCATAGCGCTGTCAAACAAGTGTGCGAAGCCCGAATGGATTAACAGACCTGGTCCGTGAAACCAGCGTTTCTCGACATGACCACTCCCCAGCGGGTTCCAGCGGTCGCCATGGAAGTCACGTAAAACCCTTCCCTCCACTTTTTGTTGATCCACTTGAACGGAAATGAATCGCTCACTTTGTACGATTGTTGCGTGTATGGTGTCCCTGCGGGGGAATCACGCGTCAGCAACAATGCCAGTGGCCATCAATAACAGCGACAATACCTTTTGACATGACAACCAGCGAGCTGCCGTTGTTGGCTCCTGCAATGGCACTAATGTAGAAGTTTTTCTCCCATTGTTCCATGATCCACTCCTGCCGAGGAGAATGAGCTATGAAGATTACTAAAGTTAAGCAAGATGTGCTAACCTTGTGAAGGAAGACGTTGGAGAGCTCGTACACTTGAGATTGAAAGCCTGTTCCCGCGTCCATAATCAGCGCCCAGAGATTTGAGCACGAAGCCACGCTACTGATGTAAAGCCCATCCTCGTTGCCTTTCTCCACATGTTGAGCTAAACGAGAATCGGCTACATTATAGTGGTACCTATAAAAGCAACAAAACCTCCAGCTTCAGAGGCATACCATTAAAAACAGTTTTTACCTCTGCTTCATCGCCCTGCGTGCATTGTAGACGGTAATCCATTGAGTTGCTGGAAGCCCAAGTCGGATTTTCTTTTTGGGCTGATCGTCGTCATCTTCTTCCACAGCCAGCCTATTCCGTTTCTGACCAACCTGAGAACGAAACAAACCTTATGACCAATACGATCAAAGTTAAAAACCGCATACCTTCAATGCACCTTCCGTGCTAATAGGCCTGACAGCAGGGTTAGGCCCCAAGACGCCGTCAAAAAGACTGATAAGCTTCGCGTAGTTTGGTGCTTCATCGAACTTCATATTTACAACGATTTCCAAAAACTGCTTGAATGGAGGCGGGCAGAAACAGCACAACATCTCCGGGGACGTGGCCATTTTCTTTTTGCAGACCAGAAATCCTTTATTGTCTCCCTATAAAAGCGCCCATGTAAAACAATAAAACTAAAATATTAAAACAGCCTGACCTGGTATCCTTGCCAAGGAAGCCGACCACGAAGGAGAAACACTAGCGTGTATCCAAGCGATTCCAGATCATCTCGTCTACTGCCAGTGCGACCCAAATGTGCATGCACGCTTGCATACCGCACAGTTCCACTGCAACAAAGAGAGAAACTTAGAACGTCTTTGACAAGCACCTGTACATACCGAAAAACATCGGGCCTCTGGTCATAATCGACATGACTCCCACTTTCTGACTCTCTCCATCTTGTTGCTGGAGCAGAACGAACAAAACGTTAACATGAAAACATGCAGTGGTAACTAGAAGGAAGTGCCTACCTAACCCTAGATCCACAAGGAACAACTTCTTCTCGTCAACAGTACCAGGTTGACCTAGCAAGAAGTTCTCTGGCTTCACATCTCCGTGAACATAGCCCCGCGAATGCATTTTATCAAGTATCGAAATAGCCTCCACCGCAATACAGGCAACCATTTCAGTAGACATGCTGTTAAAAAAATTGGCAGATTAGGACGAGGGAGGCGAAAGAGCTACTTACGCTTGTCCTGACGAGTTCCAAACATCCCACAAGCTAGGCCCAAGCATGTCCATAACCATTACGTAGTAATCTCCTTGACGCCCCTTATGGTGCACTCGAGGCACGCCATAGCTGCCACCAAGTGTGCTGCAAACATAAAACACGATAGCTTAGAAACAAAACACAAAGAAAAAAAAAGCCAAAACAATGCTACATACGTGTAAACTTGCCACTCATACGGAGGCCCATAGTTGCATCCTTTACTGCTTCTGTGTTCAAACTTCAAAGCAACCTGACAACATCTTTGATCAGCCGCTGAGAAAAGAGCAATCCAACTGAGAAAATCTTCGAACAGTCTACCTCAACAGCCTGAGGGCCTGTACGTTCCGAGCCGCCACTAAGCCTCCGTCCTACATATACTTGACCAAAGCCACCTTTTCCAAGCTTCCTCTCGATCTTATATACAGGAGAGCCTCCAACTTGGACCTGCAAGCCACAAACTCGTATTAGCTTTGCCCACATTTTGTATTTCGCGAAAGGACTTACTCTCTCCGGAAGCGGTGACGCGTTCTCTTCGCCTTCGGCAACCTTGTCCCCGCTTCTCCCAGCGCTCTCCTCCTCCATCTGGTGCTCTTCCCTTACGGCAGCAGCCCCACTCCCCTTTTCCAAGTCAGGAAGCTCCTCTTCCTCGCCCTGATCAGCGGCAGCGGGCTCCGGTGGTTGCACCAATACCTGCGGCCGAGCAGCGACTTGTTTACCCCTGCCTCTCCCACGACCCCTGGTAGCCTTGGGCGCTGCGGCACGCTTGCCTCGTGGCCTCACGGCGGCGCCTTGTTCCTCCTCTTCTTCTCGTCGAGCGGCAGTAGCCCTCTTCCTCGGAGTAGCAGCCGCTGCCGCGGCGGCAGCAGCCGCGCCCCGCCTCGTCGTCCTTCGTGTGGTGTTGGCCGCCTTGTCCTCTACACGCGTGCCAGCAGCTGGAGTGCGCGCCCCGCTACGCAGCTCTGGCATTCTCCCTCACCCATACACACACCTGAGCCCCAAAATCCTGCCCCTACTGCGCACATATCTCTCCGGAATCGTGCTCCAGCAGCATTACCAGCAGCGCTGCTCGATCTGCCACGCGCAAACCCTTGCGCGATTGGAATCTTTTCCCAGATCAATCGGTGGAACCAAACCCTCACCTCGGACGCTGCGATCTTTCTTTCTCGCCAGCCAGATCCTAGCCGAGGATTTCACGCCCGGTGCGACAGATCCCTCGCCGCCCCTCCCGATCGATCGCACTCCCGCAATGCCACGCCCCGGACGGAAACCCCCGTCCCTGTCTTGCCTCTCTCTCAAACCCTACCCTAGAGCCAGACTTTCTTTGGGTTTTCTCATTTGTGGCACACTGCTACCTATTATCCACATACATTGTGAAAACAGCGCGATTGCGCCCCACCCTCACACGCGTGGTCCGCCGCTGCTGTGCACCAATCGCGCGGTTTGGCACGGATTAACACTAACTTTTGTTACCGCCCTGACCCGGTTGACGGCGCGAAAAATGGGCGGCCAGGATCCGCTCTCGTCGACGTAACTTCCCGCCCGTGGATCACCGTTGTAACGGCCAGGATGCATCAATTCCCACGCGTGTGGCATCTTTTGCCCGTTCGATGCAGCGCTGACCTCTGTTGACTAGGGCTCTCAGTTCCACCGTCCAGAATAGAGTGTTTATCAGTCAATGGTCAATGGCTCTCGGGATTTAAACTTTGCTGCCTCAATCAATCTACCGAGAAGCTAGGGCATTTCTTTATTCATGAAGAGAGCGTCGAGCAATCTCGTGAGGAAAATCTCGTCGGCGGTGGAATGGAGCACTCTCGTCGATGGCCAGAATAGAGTGACCGGCGCCTCGCTCACTCTGATCCGCGAGCGGGCGCATCTCAAGGTAAGCATTGGATCTCGATTGAATCGATCGATATTTCGATATGTTGTGATCGATCGATCGATATTTTGCTCTCTCTTTCGTTCTACCAGGCCGAGCAAGTTCGTGCTGCCGGCGGTGCTAAAGCCACATCGTGCCTGCTGGGAGTCCCTCTTGGTCACAATTCTTCCTTCTTGCAAGGTCCCGCATTTGCCCCTCCTCGCATTCGCGAGGCTATCTGGTGTGGTAGTACAAACTCCACCACCGAGGCAGGTACTTTGTTTTGGGATTGAGCTCTCGCTCGAAACCCATATGTGCTCAACATCCCTTTTTCTTTCTGTACAGGCAAGGAGCTTGCGGACATTCGAATCTTGACGGATGTAGGGGACGTCCAAATCCAAGAGATGCGAAGTTGCGGTGTGGAAGACGAAGCTCTGATGCAAATCATCAGTGATTCTGTCAAGCTCGTCATGGACCAGGTATCTTCGCATATCTTTGCTCTCTTTGAAGTTTCCAACAAAGCACAGACTAGAGCACGACCATTAACTCTTTTTTTCCCTTGATTTTGGCAGCCCCCACTGACGCCTTTGATTCTGGGAGGCGATCATTCCATCTCGTATCCCGCGGTGCGTGCTGTTACAGAGCATCTCGGCGGTCCTGTCGACGTGTTACATTTGGATGCTCATCCGGATATCTATCACGCTTTCGAAGGAAACAAGTTCTCTCACGCATCCTCGTTTGCGAGAATCATGGAGGGTGGCCATGCAAGGCGGCTACTACAGGTGTGACGATGTTGGTTCTATCCTCTCTCCCGAGTATTAAAATCTGTGGATGGTGACTTTTTTTGTTCCAGGTTGGACTACGATCGATAAACAAAGAAGGGAGAGACCAGGGCCAAAAGTATGGAGTCGAGCAGTACGAAATGAGACACTTCAGCAAGGACAAAGAAAAGCTTCAAAATCTGGTAATATATGATAGCTTGCTCTAGCAAGTAGTGACTGTTTGCTGCTTTCTCAGAAACTTGGTGAGGGCGTGAAAGGAGTCTATATCTCGATCGACGTCGACTGCCTGGATCCGGCTTTTGCTCCCGGCGTCTCCCACATCGAGCCCGGCGGCCTTTCTTTCCGAGACGTGATGGACATCGTCCAGAACCTCGAAGGCAACATTGTTGGCGCGGACGTTGTCGAGTTTAATCCACAGCGGGACACTGTCGACGGGATGACGGCAATGGTCGCAGCCAAGCTCGTCCGCGAGCTCACAGCCAAGATGTCCAAGTAAAGCTCCTTACCAGTAATCTCCGCACGAGCAAGATCCATCTACGAAGTGGTGAAACCGGTGTGTGTCTCTCACCACGATCTCTTTGTTCACGATTTTGGATATAAACTTGGTTGCGTTGTGACAGTCCTCGCAGACTCGAAGGTTTTTCATCACTCTCACCGTGTCAGTGGAAGAGCTCATCACTCCCAGAGCGATGGCGAGCCTCTCGCTGTGCTGGCACAGCAGCCGCTCCTTCTCGGCCTCGTCCACCTTTCTCAGAACAAGCCTCGTGTCCGGGACGTAGCCGATCTCTCGAATCTCCGCGTGAAGCCGCTCGAGCTCCCGGTAAATCTCCTCGCTCCTGGGATGAGACCGATCACCTGCGACGAACTCGTGGACCCGGCTCTTGATCTCGATCCAGCTCTTCCCGGCCTGCTTCCTCAGTCCTCTCGACTCCATCTCGGTTCTAACTTCCGCGGCCTCGTCCCATTTTCCAGCTCCGGCAAGGATGTTGGACAGGACGACGTAGGCACTCTCGTCACCAGGATCCAGCTCTCGGACCATCGAGTTTGCAAGCCGGCCTCGATCGACATCGCGGTACTTCCGGCAAGCTCCGAGCAGCGTCTTCCACACCAGGACAGTGGGCTTCACGTCCATGCATCGTATCAACTCCTCGGCGTCCGCGAGCCAGCCAGCCCGTCCCAGCACGTCCACGGCACAGGCGTAGTGATCTTCGCTGGGGGCGATGCCATAGCTCTGCCTCATCGACCGGAAGATCTCCCAGCCTTCGTCCGCGAGACCTCCGTGGCTGCAAGCTGACAGCACGCTCACGAAGCTCTGCTCGTCCGGCCGGGATCCTTCCTGCTGCATCCTCCAGAAGAGCTTGAGCGCTTCTCCGGCGAGCCCGTTCTGGGAGTACGCAGCGATCATCGCGTTGAAGATCACCACATCCCGCTCCACCGCCACCTTTTCGAAGATCTCCCTGGCGGACTCGAGGCTCCCGCAGCGTCCATACATGCTGGCCAGCGCAGTGGCGACGAAGACGTTGGACTCCATGCCCGAGTGGCGGAGGTGGTCGTGGACGATCACTCCTTCCGTCAGTGCGGCAGCGCCAGCGCAGGCATCCAGCACCGCGACGCAGGTGATCTGGTTTGGAGCCACGCCGTGGAGATCCATCCTCCGGAAGAAGCCGAGCGCGCGCTTGCCGTGGCCGTGCTGGGACAAGCTCGAGATGATCGCGTTCCAGGACACAACGTCGTGACGATCCTCCATCGCTCCTCGCTGGAATGACGCTGCCGCCTCGTCGATCGCTCCACAGCTCGCATACATCTTCACCACCGCGGTTCCAATCGCAGGCTCCGAGGCGTAGCCGCAGGAGACGATCCGGGAGTGGAGCTTCCTCCCTTCGGCCATCGCTCGAGCTTCTTCCGGATTGCTGGCCACCGCCTCGAGCAAGTTGAGGTACGTCGCTCGCACCGGCGCCATTCCCTCGAGCTGCATCCTCTGGAACAGCTCGAGCGCTCGTTTCATCTGACCCTTTTGCGAGCTTCCAGCGATCATCGTGTTCCAGGACACCGCGTTGCCAGGGATCCCCTCGAAGAGATGGCGAGCTTCCTCCGGCGATCCACACCGCGTGTACATGTCCAGCAGCGCATTCCCGAGGACGATATCTCGATCCAGCCCCTTTTCCAGCGCGCAGGCGTGGATCATCCTTCCAAATCGCAAGCTCGAGCAGCCGGTGCTGGCATTGACGAGCGTGACTTTGCTCGGCGGGATCCCCTCGTGGAGCATCCTCGCGAAGAGAAGCGCTGCTTCGGACATATGCCCGTGCTGGGCATACGCCCCCAGCATCGCGTTCCACGACACCACGTCCCTCTCGGCGGCTCGATCGAAGACCTCCTTTGCTTGATCCAGATGCCCGAGCCGGGCATACGCGCTCGCGAGAGCCGTGCTCACCACCAACGTTTGTTCCAATCCACTCTCCCGGACAATGGAATGGATCGCCCGGGCTTGCCGAATCTTCGCACAGACGCTGAGGGTGATGACGAGAGTGATCCTCGCGGGCCTCACGCCCTCGAGCTGCATTCTCTGGAAGAGCTCCAGCGCCATGTCCAAATCCCCGCTCTGGGCATTTGCTGCGATTGCCGCGTTCCACGAGACTAAATCTCTCTCCATTCTCTCGAAGAGAAGCATCGCGCTCGCAACGCAGCCGCAAGAACCATAGATGTGGAGGAGGAGATTGGCGAGCACCGATTTGCCCTCTAGACCGCTTTCCACGATCCAGGCGTGGATGCTTCGCCCCTGCGAGAGATCCCCGAGCCTGGCACACGCCTTGAGCACCGCGAGGAACGTGACGGCGTCGCATCGCACGCCTTCCTGCTGCATCCGGTGGAACATCCAGATCGCGCGCTTGGCCTGGCCGTGCTCTGTGTAGGCGGTGATGATCGTCGTCCACGACGCCTCGTCCCTGACCTCCAATCTAGAAAAGACCTCCTCGACGTCGCCCAGGCTCTCGCATTTGAGATAGAGACGCAGGAGATGGTTGCCCAGCTCCTCCTCGAGGCCGAGGCTGACAATGCGCGCGTGGATCCTCCGGCCCTGCGAGAGCAATCGATCATCACCGGCGGCGCGAAGGAGGCGGACGAGATGCGCGGGCCTGGTCGCGCCGCTGCTACTGGAGGGCAAATCGGCCGCGGGCGCTGGCGCTGCTGCGCTAAGGCCCTGGCAGCACCGAGCCATAAACCCTAATTGGCGCCAAAAACTTTAAAATTTGAATTAGCCCTAAGCGTGGGGTTATATGTGGATATTGAGAATGCGGATATTCTCTCCATTGGCGATAGGACGATGCCTATCTTGCTACATTCCTCGCCTTGCTCGAGCAGAGGTAGTGGTGGCTCTCAAATTTCTTTGAGGGCTTTGGATGGCTTTCACAATCTCGCCAAGTTTGAGCCCAAAAGGAGCAGTGGCAAGCGCATTGTTTGCCAGGGCGAGCAGCAGACTAGGCGTGTGCTGGTTTTGGAAACAATCTCAATTGCGGGTAAGTTTGTGGTAAAATTCCAGTAAAATCTCTCTCAAATTCTTCCAGATTTGCCACTGTTTCCTCTCCAATGGTTTATATTTTGTGGTTTGTGTGATCAAATGTAGGAGCTACAATGTTGGCTGCGGGGAATGCCAATGCAATATCAAGCAGCCGGAGAGCAGTATTTATGCATTTGGAAAATTCGTAGAGTGCATTACAATTGTGTGTATATACAGTTGAGGTCGGAGCAAGTTCCTGAGAGCGATTATACAACACTTCCAAATGGACTCAAGTGAGCACTTTTCTCTATCTTTTTGCTGAAAAACCTGAAATTTTGCCAAAGGTATTATGATGTAAAAGTTGGAGGTGGGAATCCTGCGGTTAAAGGATCACGAGTTGCGGTAAAATGATAAAAAAAAATCGAGATTTTTATTTACTTTGTGTGATTATCTTTTCTCAGATCCATTATGTTGCCAAATGGAAGGGAATAACATTCATGACTAGTCGTCAAGGAATGGGTGTTACAGGTGGAACGGTACAGAGTATTATTTATCTAAGACCTTGATAACTCTCATGTTTTATATTTTCTTTTTGTGCAGCCCTATGGTTTTGATGTTGGATCATCTGACCAGGGACTAGTGCTTAAAGGCCTTGATTTGGGAGTCCAAGGAATGAGAGTTGGAGGAGTGGTACTAGTATTTTACCACAAATTTCTCAAATGATTTTACTTTGCCTTCTGTTGCTTAGCGCTTGCTTATTGTTCCACCTGAACTAGCCTATGGAGACAAAGGAATTCAGGAGATTCCTCCAAATGCAACACTCAAGGTAGAAAAACTTTTATCTTGCTTTTAATCTATATTCTTTTTAAATCATTTTTCTGATCCAGTTTAATGTTGAGCTTTTAAGCATTAAGCAATCTCCTTTTGGGTAAGTACTGTGAGTTTTTTAAAAAATTTAACTTTTTTTAATATACAGCACTGGTGTCAAAATTATTGAGGGGTGATTTTATAACAAATTATTTATTCATTAAGAACATTGAATTGTTTATATAAATATGTATTTTGTATCAATTTATATAATTTCAAGCTTCCGATTCAACAACCTTCACACAGTTAGCTTCTTGAGTAGAGTCATTATTTGCTTCGTCTTCACGTTCCACAATGCCAGCATTAACTTCTAGTTTATGTACGTAATTTTTTAATAGCACTGATGATTTGTTGAAATACCAAAGGTTATCAATGATAGTCTGGTGCAACGGTTTGTATACTTAATATAATATAAATATAGTTTTTATTTCTTTTTAAATAAGTATAATTTTGGGTTATTCCACACTTATTTAATGTCTTCCTTTTTTATATGATTAAGTCTTTTAAATACACAAAAACTATTATTTACTCAGTAGTAATAATCAACTAAATAACAATTAAATTATACAAAATGTATCAGATAAATATATTTCATAATGATATTTTCTTACTCTTATATAATTTCAATAAATTCTACCAAAAATAATAGATTTAGCAGCATTTGGGATTTTGGAATGATATTTATTTAATATATTTAATATATACTTATCAAAATCATAACATTCTATGAAAATTATAATGCCACCATTTGCAATGACTTGTAAAACAATGTTTGCTATAATTTTAACTTTGATAACATATTAATTTCTTTGGTTTTAGTATAATACAAAATATATATTTGGATGTACTTGATGAAGTACATACAAAAATCATGTTTGATAAGGTAAATTATAAACAAAATAATTTCCTATAGAATTTATTTTTGATTAATCAATAATTCTAATCAGTTTTAGAGAGCTTGAAATTTGGAAAAAGAATTCTAGTTATTATCATATTTTATAGTAATTTTATCACAAAGTTCTATAAGTTTCTAAACAAAACTTTATCATGTCTTTAAGCTCGTTGTCGGGGTTTCTGAAAAGATCTACCTGTCTTGTTTCGTTGTAGGTGATTAACATCATCCGCACCATTTCAAAATTAAACCTCTTGATGTTTTTAGGTAGATCATTCTCATGAGTGATGAAGTAGCTTTCATTGAGTTCCCTTTTGGTTTTCTCAAGCAAGCTTTGCAAATATACTAATGCATCTTCTTCAGTTGCACCTGGATGTTCTTTCATGTAGCAAGAAACTCCTTGTGTTGGTTGTCCAAGTTTCATCTCAATCTAAAAGAAAAAAAAACTTTTAATACTTACAACCCAAAATCTATGAAAGAGAACCTTATATGTTTGGATGTCATTGCAGAGCCTAGAGATGATTCGATCAAGCTTGAGAGGCCTACTATCATAAATAGTGTTTAATATTTCTTCCGTTAGAGGCTCCCCACAAAATAATATGCTCATAAGTACATGGACCCAAGTGGAGATGCTAACTTCAGCATTCTCCATGTACTCCTCAAAACTTGGTATGTATCCTTCAATTTTCCAACGAGCATCAGCAATCTCGGATTTTATAAGTTTTGTGTACTGCAAAGATTAATGTAAACAACAACCCATATAAAAAAAATGTGATACTTACAATTCCAGACAGGTATTTGCAAATAAATTCTGGAGACAGATTTTTATGTATTTTGGATGCTGCCTCGGTCATAACAAGAACGGTATTATAGAATTCTTGAAAGGGAATCCTATATTCTAGAGGAAGTTCATGCGACAAAGAGATATCCCACCTGAAAGACCAAAAGAGGAAGCAAAGAGTTATTAAAACTTCTAAAAATTGATGCATCTAACCTTTCAATCACATTTTGGAGACGATCTAGCTCTTCAATGCTTGTTGCACAGTCCATAAGATCATCAAATAAAGTGTTCAGACAACAAGCCTTTGAGAAGAAAACTCTCAACTGGGCAAATTCTTGCTCATGGAAAGTTGCACAGATCACATAGTAAATATAAGGGAGCATATCAATATTCGCTGTTAATCTGGTAGACGGTATATCTTCGAAGCGCGATGAATGCCACCAACTAAATGGAAAAACACACCAAGTCAAACATTAGAATTAGCCACTTGGCTAAGAAATTCTTTTTGCTTACTTGACCAATTTTGTCAGTTCCGCAGGTTGATACAATTGACATTGTTGAGCATACCGATTTGCAAGCTCTAGAAACACTTTGTTATTCACTAGAGGCAACCTGTAAAGAGATAAACAAAGTTATGGGATTTTAGAGGTTTATATGGATACTTGCCGATAAATAGTCTTAGCAATCCAAAGATCATCCATGCCATAGTGCTTGATATAAGCATTATTATAAATCCTCGGCAAGCAGTCATGGAATGGATTTGCTAGCTCAAATGCCACCTGTAGAAACAACAAACATATGAGTTTCCAAGCTATCTGAATCTCATTACCTCTCCCATGAGGTTTTTCTTCGTTGCCCATTTATCCATGTGAGCGCTGTCAACATTCAGTAGATAATCGTGGGAGTACTTGAAAGTCTTTGTAAGAATCGCTTCGTTCGGGAAATCGACCTGGGAAGCCCGATGCAAGTTGAGCATTTCAGAGACCCCATGTGATAATTCGCCAACAAAGCAGCAAAACTTGTCTCCAGGCAGCCAGAACTGGTTGAATGCATCTGTAGAGACTTTAGTGAATTACAGATTCTTCCACCACAAAACTATTTTACCTGGAGATACATTGTATCCATGCATCCGAAGGATACGGAATGCCATTGCTGTGTCGTCTATGTCATTGACTAAGCATGTAGATCCCCATCCGATTCCTTCGTTTGTCCAAAAGCTGATACAAACACAAAAAGAAGAGCTTCGTAAGTATTATAAGCACCAAGGCATTGTACCTGTACACATAGTCGAGGACGGCTTTGATCTCATCTCTGAAGAAGACGTCAATCCCCAGCCTCTCAATGGTGTCGACCACCCATAAACTTTCGAAAAGATCAATGGGGTAATGGCAAGGAACTGCAAAATAAAGTCGATTAGCGCAAAGGATTGAAGAAGACAGCCAATTTACCAGCATAGTTTTGATCTTCCATAGCATTTTGCAAGTATTGCAACGATTTCCTGTCCTTGGTCTTCAAGTAAACACATGCTGTTGACGAAGGCGAGCTCAAAAAGGATCCATCTTTAGACTGGAGCTTGAGGATCTTCTGCCAGTCGATCTCAAGGTCTTGAAGGCCTTCCAAGGAGTATAACAACGTCGTGGGAGCGGAATGGAGTTTATCCAAAGGGATCCTGGGCGAACACCAAACGTCTTCAACACATATGTTACATGTAGAGGAACTCACTTGGCCAATTTCTTCTTGGTGGAAATCTCCAGCAGCCTTGTGAACTCTGTCTCGTACGGAATATCAAGGCCCAGCTGCTTGGCTTCGTGGAGCATCATTGGGAACGTCACCTCGAAACCTGACAAGAGATCTCCATCGTCTTGCTTGAGCTTGATCATGTTTTCACGCAAAAACTTCGTGCCTGTGATCAAGAATCAGAGGCGAATAGATGTAATACCAGAAGATCAGAAAAGAAAAGTTGTAGAAGCACACCTTGCGCAATGCTGTTGTGCCCGATGTCCCAGGTCTTGAGCGTGACCAGGCATGAGAGCGTGGATAATACTCTGTCATAGAGTTGCAAGTGACGATCATCACCCCATGATCCATCCGGAAGTTGACTGTTGATGATCCACTCCAGGGCCTCCGGGAACTCGGGAAGAGAGGAGTCGGACTCGGACGCGATTCGAGCCACCCAGGCAGTGTCGTAAGCCGAAGGACTAATTTCCCCCTTGCCACTCGCGAGTTTCATGAGCCATCCCTTCACTTCCGCGACGAGCAGCGAGGTTTCTCTGGTATCAAGCTCCTCGACGCGATCGCCAGGGACGTGGAGAATGCCTTGGTATGGCAGCTGCTTCTTCTTTTGCCGCTTCTCCTGTGAACAAGTAGGAAGAAATCAGCTCCACTCAAGCTCGAAACGATGGTGCTTCGACTTACTGGAGCCCCAGCTAGCTTCGTGTTTTCCAATGTCGGTGAGTTGGAAGCACAACATCTAATAGTGATCGAGGAGGCTGCATTTAAGAGGCCGAGGTTAGTGCAAAACTTAAACGACAACTGCTCCGCTTACTTGAGTTTTTCCGGAATCGCTTCGCGTGTGCGTTGCTCTTGAGATTAGTGCCATTGATGAAAACTCCAGATAACTGGCCGGACTTGAGGCTTCCGCTGATGCCAGTCTGTTGAAAGCTGCTGAACAAAACCTTTGCCATCGCAAAAGCTTTGCCTTCCCCTGCCTAGGTGAGACTCTTCCTGTCTGTCCCCTAGATTATAAGCTCTTCCGGTCGTGCTCTCACTGCGGCCTTGATTCTGTCCCTTTAAAAGGAACGAGCCGTGCAGCTGATAACCACTACGGAAGTTTGACTGTCGGTTGCTGTTTCAAAGGCGTCTCCTGTAAGAACGGTCGTTACTGATCGAAGAACTACAGACTGAAGCACGGGCTGACTTTTGGAGAATAACGAGAGCCTCGATACGGAATCAAGCTGGTCTATCTTGACGAGTTCTTCCTTGATCATAAACAGTATCGCCGATGCTATACTCATGCCTCGGTAAAAGTTCCCCAATGCCTCCATGCTGAAGCATTTTCGCTGCAGCGTCCAGTGTGCCTGGGAAAGAGAAAAGAACACAGTCAAATTAGTGTGCCGCAAACTGTGTTTCATGTGTAAACGAAGGTTTGACGTGCCTAAATACTTGCGCGGCTGCGTGTTTGGTGGTGTCTTGTTTCGCTTGGAGCCGTGACTGAAAGAACGATATGAGGCGAAAAAAAGAGACCAAGAATAGGTCCCAGTTTCGACACGGCTCCAAGAATAAAAATCTGTGGTTCACGAATAAAATCTCAGCCACCCCTAGACTAAAATCTGGAAAATGAGAGAAAAAAAAAGCACCTCTGCTGTTCTTGGTTGGAACGAATTTGCTTAAGTAAAGTCTCAAAGATCATAAACTGAATGGACGGATTGCTGACCTACCTGTCAACTTTTCACGAAAAAGCTTACCATCATCAAAGTTGGCAAAACTCCTTTCCAGAACCCTGCTTCGCTGACCTGAAATTAAGAATTCGGTCATGAGAATTGGTGCGCTTCTTGTAGCTTACAGTATAAAATACTCCCGGCTGGATAGTAATCTTTGTGTCTAAAGAATACCATAGACTTGATGAGTTTTTAAGGGAAATTAAGAATTCGTTTGGTGCGCTTGTTGACAAAGCTCGTTGCAGTGTTAGCTTACAGTATAAAATACTCCCCTATGTTCGATGGATAGTACATTTTTGCCCACCTTGTTCACCTCCAACGCTTGCCTTTGTGTCTAATGAAAAGCATAGACTTGATGACTTTTTAAGGAGAAATCCACTTGCATTCTTGTAACGATCACCCAAATCGGATTCGCGAAAAGTTTTTATTTATGATGTTAACTTGATGACTTTTTAAGGAGAAATCCACTTGCATTCTTGTAACGATCACCCAAATCGGATTCGCGAAAAGTTTTTATTTATGATGTTAACTTGATGACTTTTTAAGGAGAAATCCACTTGCATTCTTGTAACGATCACCCAAATCGGATTCGCGAAAAGTTTTTATTTATGATGTTAGTAGCAAGGAAAACATTCTCACCCAGCAGCGGCTGCCACAGGAAAGAAACAATACCGACGGAACCATCGCCAACACCCATCCTTCCGTTCTCTGCTGCAGCAAGCTCTGCCGCATTCCGAAAGATCTCGTAAAAGTAGTAATACACACCCTGGAAGCCAAACTTGCCATGGATCCACAGTGTAAACTTGACGAAAGTAATCTACCTACGGCATGAGTCCTCCCCGGCCTTCATCACTCACAACCTGGAAGAATAGACGAGAAAAAATCAGAAAGTTTAGAGACCCAAAGAGAGTTGTAAAAACGAAGAATGTAAAACACAAACCAGAAAACATCCCCGGGACGAGTGCATTTGCAGCCTTTTCTTTCCAGTGCTGTTGTCTCGTGTTCACCTGGAAGAAGAAAAAAGTCATTTTTTTCCTTGTACAAATGGAGAAACCTACTTACAGCTTGAAGAGGGTATGTGAGGAGCTGGGCGACGAGACCACCGCCAGCTCCAGCCAGTCCATTGATCACAGCATCCGACATGATCAGTGCGATCGCCGACAGAACAAAAACGTCAACGGCTGACGGCCAGTGAAGGTTCCCGCCGGCCGTCAGTGACGGGGCCGCATCTTCGTGGATATACCCGTTGACTCTTTTTGACCGGCGCGACAAGCCAAAAGAAAATTCTGCCGCGTTCTTGGGCTGCAGTTGTCACGCTCCCTGGGAAGTAAAATATTGAGAGAATTTATTCCGCGAGCTTCGGAGAAGGAGCGCCATTTTTCTGCATTTCCTAGCTGCCATTTACAAGACTCCAACGCGATAAGTGACAAATGCGTCTACTACGTACCTTTGAGAAAAGAGAAACGCGCTTCTCGCAGGAGATCGCTCGCCACTCGCCAGGTGGATGATGCAGGCTGATCCTTCGAAGCGGCTTATAACTAGGCAATCACTCCGTCCATCATCAGCTGCACGCTCACAATCACGCAAGAGAGCTTAGAATTCACAGGAGAGGAAAAAAAGAGGGATTTTTCTTGCTTGTCCAAGCAAGAACTTAGCGTGTGTACCTGGAGTGATCGATTCTCTCCCTGGATGCCTTCTCGCAAAGTGAGCGTCGTCTCAACGTTGTATGACGTTCGCGTCCTGCACAGACTGATCGACAAGTTTAGCATGGATCCGCACCAGTACAGCAAGGCGAGCAGCAACTTATCATCATCACCCGAGATCGCGAATTTCCCACCGCAGCCACAATCGCAGTCGCAGTCGAGCGAGGACGACAGCTTCCCCTTCTACCGTTTGGACATCGGGAGGAAAACGCGGCAGCAGCGTCGATCAAAGCGCCTGTTTGAGTGCCAAGTTCTCCAGCAGCAGCCGCCGCCGCTGCAGGACCACCACCTCTACCAAGTCTCCAGCCCCGACGAGGAGGCAACCAACGACGACAGCTTCCAGAGTTCCAAGCGGCGGAAGAAGTTCGTGGGAGTGAGGCAAAGATCTTCCGGTAGGTGGGTTGCTGAAATCAAAGACACCGCTCAGAAAGTCCGACTGTGGCTTGGAACTTACGATAATGCAGAAGATGCCGCTCGCGCCTACGACGAGGCCGCCAGCTTGCTGCGCGGAGCGGACTCCAGGACCAACTTTGCGTCCTCCGGCACGCCTTTCTCTCCGTGCCAAGAGGAGGAGCTCGACGATCACACTCCGGCAATGCTGGAGGCGATTTCCATCTACAACAGCAACCAGGAGTTTACGGTCAGTTCAGGAAATCCTCCACTGACTTCACTGTCAATGACGAAAGTACCTGAGCTCGTCGTCGACTGCACAAAGTCGTCGTCGTCGTCGATGCTCGAGAATTGCATCAGCTCCATGAGCATCGCTCCTCAGGAGGAGGAGCTCATCCCGAGTCCGCTCCCGCCGGACGTGGTAGCAGCAGCAGCCTGCTTCCAAGGATTTTTCTCGGTGGCTCAGCAGGAAACTGGAAGCTTGGTGAGCAAGGACGCGGACGACGATGCGATGATACAGATCAGACGCAGGAAGTACGAGCGGCAGTCATCGGCTTCACTGTATGCAATGATCGGAGCACACGAACTGCAAGCGACACTGGCAGGAACGTCACCGCTGGTGGACAACAGCAGCATCGACACGACTTGGAGCGTGACTGACAGTAGCAATCTCAATCTTTTCGCTACTCTTCCGGACGAGGCTGACGAGGTAATGGTCAGGCACGAATTACCGGAGGACAGCCTTTGGGACTTTTGAGATTTCTATGACTGACTGATACCATTCTTTCACTCATTCTTTCAATCATTCTTTTTTCTGTTAGAATCAACAAGCAAGCAAGCAATGTGATAAAAACTTTGAGCATTGAAAGTTGCGAAGCATAACACGTACCTCAACGAGAGTGCGGAGCAAACAATCCTTGCTCCCTTATCTCCTTGAGCCACAGATTCCAGTGACAGCTCGACTCTAGTGTCGATGCATTGCCTACCACGACGAGCCCTCGCCTTGCTCGAGTTATAGCAACGTTCATCCGTCGAGGATTTGCAACAAATCCCAAGGCACCATGATCGTTAGAACGGACAGTGCAGAAGACAATCACCTAGAGAAACAAGAGTGTAAGCCCAGAGAACAAATTTTGAGGACCGCCTAGTCAATCACCTCTTTTTCCCTGCCTTGAAACCCATCCACGGATTTTATTTCCAGCTTGCTAAAGTCCTCTGACTGCGTAAGAAACAGGTCTTGCAGAAGTTTCACCTGGTGTCACTCATTGTCACATCCAAAGTTTTCCAATCTAAAAATTTATTTAGTACCTGAGCACTGTAAGGTGCTATGATTCCAATTCCTGCACATCCACCTTCAATATCACCACCCGAAACCAAATCTTTCACGGTCTTCACCACCTTTAGAAGATCGTCACTTTGAGAGAGAAGCATAGAGACATCCAACAAGAATGCCAAACCTGGAGTGCCTCTACTTCATTCTGCCATGAACTATCATGCCGCATAAGCTCCTTGCCATTAGAACAATTCACAAAAGCCAAGGGTTTCTCCACATTCGGCCAGTCGTAGCTATACATATTATCAACGTTGTCAAGAAGAGCAGACAAATGTCAAGAAGCACAAGCCATCTTACCCTTTGGGTGCCATGCGCTCAGCAGGTAATGGTTGTGAGAAAAGCTTCCCTTCGTAGAAATTCCTTGACGAGAATCTAGCCAGTACAGGATGCATTCTGTGCGAGACTTGAATATCAGTTTGGTTGAAATTATAGAAAACACGACGCTTGCCTGTATTGAGTGTCAAGCAACATTGGGCTCAGTCCACAAGCTTGCAAATGCTCGAACAAACTGACTTCAAGGCCACACTGTAAAGATAATCAAGTTTAGAGCAGTCTTGGAACAAACGCGCGAATCACCTCGACGGCCTCCTTCGAGACAACAGTAGGAGGAAGCTGTGCAGGATCTCCAACCAAAACGAAACAATCAGCGCCACTTTTCAACAGTGGAATGAGCGTTGCCGGTTCCGTTGCCTGTGTAAGAATATAAACGTAAAACCATTGAAATGTAATTCTTTCACAACGCACCTGGGTTGCTTCATCGATGACGCATGCAGTAAATCGCAGGCCATCCAGGACTGGATCACCTGCACCGATACATGTTGCTGCTACTACGTCAGCTCTATTCAGAAGAACAAGCTTAGTTCCTGACGAGAATGGCCAAAATTCACAAACCTGGAGATGACTTCTCGACAAGCTCGACCTTCCAACTCAGTTGCTTCCTCCCACAAGGAACCAGGGGTGTCTTTGTTTTTATTTTGCCTCCGAGTTTTCGCCATTTGTTTGATTTCAATAGCTCTCTTCAGAAGCGGATGCACAGATACCCGTGCTTCAAGAGTGACAGCTCTCAGCTCCTCTTTCACCTAAGTTCGACTTTAGAACTTGTTATGCAAGAACTAAAGAATGCTCATCACCTTAACGGGTTGGCCAATTCTTACAGCCACTAAGCCTTCAGACAAGAGACCTTCGAGCAGGTTGTCAACCGCAATGTTACTGTAACGCGTATGTAAGAATCAAAAATTAAAAAATTAAATAGGAATCATAAGCATAGGACGCACCTGTCGGCGCAAGCAAGAACTTTGCCTTGTCCAGATCGACAGTGAATCCTGACAAACTGGACCAGAGTTTTGGTTTTCCCTGTTCCTGGAGGCCCTTGCCACAACGTAACTTTTCGGCACAAGGCAGCTTCGACTGCGGCTTTCTGGCTGGTGTTGAGACCTGTCTCCTTGAGAAGTTTCCGGTACGAGCCTTTGAAAGTCCCCAGCCTGGTACCACTGATGCGATTTGGCAAACCATTTGCTACATGAACGTCGTGAGAAATGTCGTTGCTGCTGCTGGTCAGCGTGCCAAAAAGTGTCTCTGACCTTATTTCTACCTGTCCGGCACCCATTACCAAGCCTTTGACAGCACTGGCAGCCTCGTTCCAACTAAAAGCTTCCACTGCGCTCGGAATTTCCTTCTTCTTGGCCATTTCTGGAGGTCGTCCTCTCTCAATGTGGTAGGACGAGAAGTGCTCAACGGCCAAGACGCAGCGCTCGTGAGACACCGAGTTTGCTGAAATGTCTAAGCGCCATTGACCTCGAGAGCTGATATCCTGTCCAGCGTTCTTCAAAACTGCAACTCGTAGAAACCTGAAGAACGTATTATATTGTAAGTTTCAACACGACGGCTTGGATGTCTACCTTTGAGCTCTTTCCATAACCACGCCCTCTACAGGATCTTCATCACCTTCTAAAGGATCTTTCTGGCTAATAGTAACAATGTTTCCCTGTGATCGCAAAAGTCAACTAAAGCCAGACTTGATTGAGGCGACGCACCTGACTGAACTGATGGTGTCTTGGTAAAAATCCACTCCCGAAGTCTAGGAAGAAACGAAAAATCTGGTGCCTGAAACACATTTGACGGGGGTGTCATAAGAAAAAGTCGCGAGTTTTCGCACCTAAAAAGCATCTTCTCCTTACGCACCGATAGATTGAAAAGCGCGTAGCCTTCGTCTTGGAGCCTCTTCTTCGGCCATACTTTAAGTCTTTGTTTCATCTGCTGCATCTCTTCATTCTGAAAGTTTAAGCCAAAACGTGATTGTAATAAGAAAGTTTTACAGACAAAGCCCACCATTTCTGCATCTAATGCTTTGGTGAAGCGCGTGCGATAAGATTCCAGTACCAAATGCTTGCGCTGCTGTTTCTCAGCTCTCCGCCTTGTTCCTCCGTTACTAGAAATATTACTCACATGTTTGGTACTCCGCCCGGAATCAAAAGAAGCACTACAATACGAGTCGAGGCGAAGTAGCGACATTGCACACGAAAGCCGCTATACACCCTAGAACAGCGTGTGAGTTTTATGTTTTCCTGTACAAACACAAACATGAACACGATGTCTTTCGAAAATAATAATGGACGTACCTCAGTACTATTCCACAAAACTGAGCAGGAAGCCGCTCACAATTCTCCTGCCCAGCTCGTTCGGTATGTGCCGGCACAGTCTCCCATCGATGTAGGCAATTGCGCTTGATATAAAAAAGTTGCTTATCGTCCTTTTGAAGCTCGGTCTTGGCAGTTGAGGAGGTTCTTGAGTAACTACCGCTTTAGCGGGTTCAGAAGCTGCTTTCTCTGACCCTCCTTGCAGATGCAACAGCTTTCTTGTGTACTGTCTTAAGCCTCTGATTGCAAAAATCACCAGCAGCTGCTCGGATAATGAGATAACGGCGGGCACAACTTTTCTTTCACTTTCTCCACGCAAAAGTCGCATCGACCTCACTGCGGCTATGGATGCCTCTCCAGCAAGAAGGCCTTCACTGATCAAAAAGTTTTTCACGCACGCGACGATCTCGTTCAGAAGCATGCTGTTCGGTGGCAAATTTTTCAGTATCACCTGCAAAAACTATTACTTTCTCAACAGAGGAATGACTATGCATACCAGGTCTTCCATGACCTTTACTTTGAGATAGTCTTGTTTGAAAAGCGCGTCCAACATTGCTTGAATATATCCTTCAATATAAGCCTGGAAGCAACAACAAACCGTCACAATCCATTATACTCAATAGAAATTTCGGCACCTCATCTGTGCCAACGCTGCGATCTAGTTGGATACGTCTTGTAGAACCGCCTTTTATGACGGCTTTTTGAAGAACGAGTGGCTCCATCGCCACATTAAGAATCCCGCGTCGAAACCCGTTAACCTGCATGCATCGAAACAATGTCAAGTGTGTCTAAAAAGAAGCGTTTGTGTTTACCATGCCATCGAAGCCGTTTGTCTCAGCCCCCTTGAGGACGTTATCCGATAGCTCCGTCACTACAGCGAAAACAATGTTGGATCCTGCCTTTTTCACCTGAAAAGAAAGCTGTGGGTTAAGCAAGGCTGATTTTAAACACGCTTTCATACAGTATTCTCAAGATCCCCAAGGTAGCGGCTGGTCCCTCCCTGTCCTCTCTTTCTCAAGCCTCTACTTAGTAAATTGAACATGCCTGTCAAAATATGCAATTACACATGCAATCTAAGATCAAGATAACGTAGCGTACCCAAAGTAAGTCCCTGTAAATCAATTGATCCATTGGCAGGATCGAAAAACACATCAAGAGAAGAAGCTGCAGAGTCGTCAAAAAGTGATGAAAATCCAGGAGGGAGGAGTTTGCTCCCTCTTGCAATGTAGATGGCTCTCATGGCGTACCTGAAAACAAACATCTCCAGGTTATTCTTCCCATATATTGTTACATACCATGAATAATGCTGAAAACACTTCATCACGAGCTGCTTAAAAGTCAAAAGAGCATGAGAAAGCAGGACTCCGTTCAGTTCTACAGTAGCTCCTCGAACGGATGGCAACTGCAATACCCTGGATCAACACTAGTTCCTGGTTAAAAAGAAAACCAACCTTTATGACGGTATGGAGCAATGCACGAAATGTTTCTTGAGCTGAGGTATAGTCTGCACGAGGATGTCCAGGTACAAAACTTGCAACAATCTGGAAAGGCAAAAAAAAAATTGAATGTGAAACTGTTAAGTGAATTAGACCTTGATCGGATGTATTTCAAATCTCTCGAAGTAGATCTGCAAGCTACTGCCCGTTGTAGAGAGTGAGGTCCGATAGAAAGGCACGAACTTCATTAACGTGTCCTCGTCGATGTTCAAGTCAAAAGCCTGGATATCTACGTGAATAAACAAGTTATAGCCAGTGATGTGGGTTACCTGTATCAATATGGACGCATATTTCGCTTGGATGGGATTAGCTACCAAGTTCGAAAGTACAAAAGCAGCATGCAGCGCAGTCGTCGTACTGTTGAGGCGATCGTGATCGTGAATTCGAAGCATTGCGGCAAAAGGAGCTCCTTGCCATTTCATGTCAGCACCAAGGCTCTGCTTACACAAAAATGTACCAAAGTGGCAACTGAACTCGAAGCTGACACGAACCTGAACTCGAAGTTGACAAATAGCATGGTCCGATGTAACGAATGTTTCAATAGAAGAAGAGGCTAGAATGGCGCATAAAAACGGCGTAAAAGGAGAGCTGCCAGATAGCTCTTCTGCGGTTAAATCTTCGATCCTCTGCAAAAGAGCATTATCCATGGAGCGCTAGTTAAAAAGGACAAACCTGCTTTGACGCCTCTAACATGATAACTTTGAAGGTTGGGATTTTCAGTTCCACCTTGCAACGTGGAATGCTCAACTCTGATTCCCAATAGCTCTTCTTTGTGCTGTCCACCTTCTGACATACTCGCAGAACACGCGTTGGTCCATCCGCATACACTTCATACCCCATATCTAGTAAGTCGTCAGGGTCATTTCCTCCGGCATTTCCTTGAAATGGAAGCTGCAGCGAGAAACCTTTGCTACGATGAGAAGCGGCAAAAGATTTCCACGCTTTAACTTTGTCAAGGTTTATTTCGCTGCACGCTTGTGTTCCTATCAATGAAAAAACATGAACATTCTCCTACTGAAGCACAAATATCTGTTACCTGCTATAGAGACAACAAGCCTATGAGGCAAACTTAAGTCGTCCCACACGTAATCCGCAGATGCCATTGCTGGAAGAGTATCAGGCTCGGACATGTCCTGCATTGGCACGAGTTAGAATGCTCCTACTAAGAATAATCATGCATACCTTCTGGTGAAACGTAATGGAACTTGTATGAAGCCTGTTTTCAATGCGATATGGAACAGCTTCTCTCGAGTGCAATCGGAAATGAATAATCAGCGACGAGTCTTCCTCTTCCACATAAACCACTGCAAATATCCACTTCTTGTCTTCCACAAAACCGGGGCTTGAGCTCCGAAGCTTTAAGAAAAATGACCCAAGTGAGGCAGCACATATGCGACCGGACCATCGCCATCCTGCGTCTTTAAGTCGAAAACGCAAAGACAATGTTGAGCAGTCCAATGGCTTCTCTTCTTTGTCCGAGACGTCCATTTGCTGTGCATGAACAGCTGCGTTGCACATAGGATCGATAGAAACATAATGGCTCTCCTCTTCCTGTTCAACGTAGAAAGTTAAATGCAATTTCCAGAATTCACGCACCTCGAGCCCAGCTTGACAAACAAATATTGGCTTGGTAGACTCATTTGCCACGGTATATCTTGCCGCTAGCCTCACTATATGTGACGGGTCAGAATCTTTTTGGGATGGAACGTGTACTCGTATTCCCAGCTGAATCTTGTCCAGTAAGTACTCTGTACGTACACCTAAGCTCAATTCTGATGATCCTGAGAGGGCGTTCAAGTCGATCCAAGATGGTTGAGAACCCTCCTCTTGTCTTTTCATCAGAAGATCGCTTGACCTGAGTTATCGAATATTAACAGCCTCAGTATCGTGAGAGAAAATGAACGCAGAACATACTTGGGAAACCAGGATATGAATGAGCCTGGAATTAAGGTATGGGTCGACGCAGATGGTGGCCACTGTAAATTTTGTACCCGCCTTCCTTGCCTGCCTCAAATGTTAAAGGCTGAAGAGAGAAAGTTACACATACCATCTAGAGGGCGCTTTGGCAGCGCAAACAAGAATCGGAACTTGACTATCATTTTGCAACATATATTTGGTAAAAATAACCAGCTGCAAGGACAAGGATGAGATTCAAGACAAAGCGTCGAAGTTTTCAAACCTCCAAGACGCCATCCTCAGCTCTGTAGACTTTCAATGTAGCCAAATGTGAGCCATCTTTAAAAGCAAGCTCGATATCAATATCCTTGACGCTTCCTCCTTTCTTTGCAAGCTCTTGAAAGCGCTTATGACCAGAGCTAATGTCAATTGGATGGCTGACAAATCCGTGGTCATCGACCTTGATGACCAAAAATAACGCATTCAAGTCAGCATACAGCAGCGATTTCCCACCTCTCCCAGCAACTGAGACTTCGTTCGGGTTACCGTCAAGAGCTTCTTTAGTACCTACACCACCACATGTCAGACGAAATCACAACAATGAAGTGCTTACTATTAATCCGGACGTAGACTCCAGATGATAGAAAATTGTAGATTTTCAGTGTCGGCAAGAGCAGTAGTTCCTGTTGCTCTTGCCATGCAATAAGAGAGCGCTTTTGCTGTTGATCGCCACTTAATCTGGTCACCGGTACCTGTCTTCTTAGCGTTCGAATCAGGAAGTTTACTCCTGCCGTGCTGGTACCAGAAGCATTGACAGCTTTGCAAAATACAGAGCCGAAGGATGACTCCAGGCTTTTGCTTTTGAGAGTCTTCTTGAAATTATATTGCAGCTTGTCGAACAGTCCCGAAACTCGTACAGCTTTGGCTCCTTTGACGTCTTCTGACCAGTCATACGTTGTTCCATCTGCGACACTCTCTGGTCTTATAGACAACAGAAAATTACCTGCAAAAACTCTCACTAACATAGACAATAAGAATTGCAGTGGCACTTACCAACATTAAACGACAACAAAGCTTTTTTCATCTCCCCTTCCAGATTTAGCGCATCAAATGCACCCATGGAATCGTCAATGATATCTCCATCTTTAAGGCTTACTATCGCTCCACCTTCGCCTTGCTTCGGCCGACGACATCGTAGCTGAAGCACCAAACCCGTAGCGTTGTGAATTTTCACCATGGGAGATACAGTTAAGAAAATCCCGTCCTGAGAAGAACAGTTCAAAGCTTTTGAGCTCGGTTGATGGAAAACTCATGTACCTGGCTTTGTTTAGAAACGTCAATAACAACGATTGGACCAGGCGCATTCACACGAGATCCTGCAGTATATAAAGGTCAGCATGAAACGAAAATAACTCTAAACTTGCGGACCTTGAAAAGCCTCAAGGCGTGTTCGACCAGCAAAAACACCAGGCTCGCCCAGCGATACGTTCATACTTGAAGACAAACCGGTGCCAGCCTTTTCAAGACTAATAGAAACTGAATGAGAAACCTCCGCAGGAGTTGTACCCCGTCGAGAGCGTACATGTCTTTGAAGAGACAAAGTAAATTCAATAGAACGCTGACACAAACCCACGCATACCTCATCAAGTACGAACTTGTTTGCCAGGAATTCACTTTTCCTTCTTCCCCTGCGCCGCTTTCACGATCGAAACGGAACAGAACGTTAAGTCCAGTCTGATTCTCGATCTACAGTCAGTCATAAGGAAGTAAGGCATTGCTACAGTCTCCTGTATAATGTTACCTGGCACCTGTTCACCAACACAGGAGAATGCTTTATAGTGTAAGGTCCAGCCAAGTCCATGACACCGATCAGAAATAAGCAAGCATCCAACGAAAGCTCACTCAACAAAACTTCCACCTTCACACAGATGAAAATGTATCAACCGCAAAGACACAAAATCCATAGCCTATCTAGAGGCTTTGTACCTTTTTAAACCGGCAAAAGAAAGATACTGGAAACTTCCTTTCATTGCGTGCTAGACGAGAGCTTCCAATAATCTCCATCATGACAGGATTAACGATTGCTAGCCTGAAAAGTGGTGAGTGAGCGAGTATAATTTGCACAAAATATAATTACCATGAACTGGTTTGCGCCTCGTAGTGCTCAATAATAGAACTACATCCACCAATAATCCTAGCCTTTTGGGAAGAGGCTTGTGCCAACCCTTGTACTTCTTCCAGTCGAACTCGAACGAGAGGAAGCAAATGAATAGCTCCGGCTGCTTCATGCAGTAGCGTGACATAAATCGATCCTATGTCGAATCTTACTTCTGGTATAGCAGTAGCACTGGCGACGGCAGCTTTAGCTGTTACATTTTCTTGAACGGTGGTACGCTGTGAAAATAACACAGTCGGTTCAGCGACCACCTCTATTTTGAAAGCGTTTCCCGGATAACTGGCAACTACAGGAATTCCGTCAGCCAACGCCAATCCTTGCTTGCTTTTCTGGTTAATCAGATGAACCAAATGGCTGAAGATGCCATTATAAACGTTGATCTCCTCGTCGCTAGATCGATATGGTATACACTGCCAAAGTTCCCAAGGGCTATCATTCGTCGAGGATATCTGAAGCTGCCGTGACCCCTGTTCATAATGAACCCGAAGAGGTACGCCAGTAGAACTTTTGGCATAAAGAGAAACCAAGGAAAACCATTGTATATCCTTGTTCTTCTCGTGAAATTTAACCTGCGTGAAGAGAAAATCAAGATATGATGGAGTGTACAGTTCTAAAATACCTTAAATAAAGCTCTTTCCCCTGCCACTGAGTAATGCCAAGCACCGCCTAAATGAAACTGGCCTTGAGACGAAGAGTCCTCGACAGAAAGATAAAGATGTTCTTGAGCGTCCTTCAATGCGACAATTGCCCCTGAAATGAAGTATTGAAGCTTATGAGAACAAAACACTAAAGCTTACCATCAAGAATTGTATCACGTAATATCTTTTCAACGTTTTGTCCACTAGGCTTATGAATATTTGCCGTTTTACTTTTGGATAATGATATATGGCTTAACGGCTTCCCAATGCTTACTAGCATCTGAAAATAAAAGTTGTTAGTGCAAAAGCGGAGTTTCTGTACCTGTAGTTCATAGGTTGTCACTGCAATATTCAATCCACTGACAGCTATCTGTCCTCGCCAAGACTTTTCCCATTTGGGATCCACACCTTTCCTGCATTGTCTATTTAACGTAGCCGAGACCGTCAAGTTATCCAATAAACAGTTCATGTCGGAGGCCTTGTCGTCGTCCTTACATGAAGTATCGCGATGAAAGCTTTCCGTATCACTAGAGCTTTCACCAGTGTCGTTGAAACCAAACTGTGGGACCCGACCATGAGACCTCTCGTTTAGACGTTGCTTGTCAGACCTCAAACTGATCGCCGTGAACTGGCTTACGGCTGCTTTGATCTTGTAAGATCCTTTTGCAGATGTGATATCTGCGTGAGCACCAACCACAAAAAGTACGCCTTCCACGGTCTCTGCAACATAAAAATTTGACTTACAATCACCAGTAAGAAGAGACTTACGTGTGCCAGCTGCAGAAAGAACCACCGAGAGTCGAGAAACTTTGAAAGACATTAAGCCCTCCACACCAAAGTCCTCTTCCACTTGCAAAAACTCGGGAGGAGTTGATTGTGATCGAGAAGGGGCTACCACCAGCTGTCTTCCTTCAGGAAATGAATACGAACGTTCAAGCTCGCTAGCACTTGTACTTACGCCATCAACAGAAGTTATCACCGGTTCAAGCTTTTTCCCGACACATTCAGCATAGCTGGCTACAAAGTTGAGAACATCAACTGTAGCAATAGTCTCGAATATAGCTAGACCGGCCTGCATCAGAAAAGGTTAGCTCAGACAGTAAGATAAGTAGTTTACCCGTACCTCTACTTCAACCGACAAGCCGTCAGTGAATGTCAATACGACGTGCATGCTCTCTGCTGTCGATGGATGTTGCTTCGCTTTTGCAAGAATTTGCTCGAGATGACAACCTGCTGTGGATATTAATCCCACGTCAATTGTTGTTGAACAGCAAAACTTTTCAACTTCAGCAGCAGAAGCTTCGGATCCGTCGAAAGCAAGAGTAAAATGATCCGCACAAAAAGTTTTGAGAGAGGATTTGCACTGTCCCTTCAATACCTGCTCGAAGTTCATATTTGTGGGAACAATGGAGATCTGCATCTTCTGGAACTTCAAGGAAATACCTGTAGAAGACCAGCTACCGGCTGTAAAATCAAGGCATAAGCTGTTTACGGCCAAAATTCCAATTCCCAGGCTCGTTTCTGTATCCCCCGATTGTCGACTAGCTTCCAAGTCGCCAAAATAAACCTTGAAGCTTTGAAGGTTGAAGCTAAGATCGAGCGAAAAGGTTTCATCTGTAGAAATTGCATCATTGTCACTTTCACTCTCGGTAGTCGAATCGTACAGGTGCGAAGCAGCATTCTTAGCAGCCTCGAAGTAACAAATAAGGATCTGCAGAAAAAATACAGCTTTCTTTCACTTAGATGAGAAACAGGCTTAAAATAGGTACCTGGACAGCAGTTGTCGCTTTGCTGATGTCCAAGCAGACGTCAAAAGACGGTGCTGCCAAGCCAGCCGTCAATGCCACGGACTTGAGAGATTCGAAGAGCGACGTGCAGTTTTCCCTGGATAGAAGACAGTCTTAGCAGGATGGAATAACAGAGAGGAAAGGAAAAACCAGCATACCTTTGAAATGAAGACTCCACCGTTACGTTCAAAGGCCCAACAAAATTTTCCGACTGCGTGCTGAATCTACTGCCATTTATGTACACAAGTAGGTTGCTTGCAAAACTGTCACGGTCCAAGTCGTCTTTTCGCGTAGGCGGCTGTTCTTGTAAGCGAAGAGGCCTTATCCACTGGTTATGCTCGACCGCAGGCCAAAGTGCGAACTCGAAATAGCCGACGTCTAAAACCAACGGCTTCAATTTCACATTTTGGATTGGCAGCTCACTTTCCGATACTTCCAACGTCAGTCGAACGTTCTCAACAACGGCTGTGAGTTGCATTCGAGTCTCGGGAACAGCTGAAAAAACCAAGCTTCGGCACAACTCCATCTGTTCCCTATAAACACTATGTGCAGAGGTGCTAGCCTTGTGTATGTCTTTAGATGACGGTTGTCCAGAGTGCTCGAGTTTTCTGAGTTCCGTCAAGATCGGAAGAAGCTTGGAAAACATGGCATACCTGAAGCTCATGTCCACTTTTCCTACAGTAACGATCATACTTGTGTCTGGCAGTCGATTGTTTTCCGGCGCAGTTCCATAGAAGACCACCAGGAAAGGCCCCACCAAGCTATCCAAAGATCTCTGTATCTTCTTGTCATCGCTGTAGTGTTTCCACAACTTCGTTTGCCAGTTCCGAGTTTCCTCATAATTTCTGGAGGCGTGCTTCTCTTGAAGACCGACATTGTATTTCTGTAGCGTTCTAGCTGCTTGCTGATGTTCGAAGGGCGAACTTGAAAAGAAAAGAAACCCACTCGATGCTCTGTCATTCCAACGTAGCCTACATTCCGTACTTGTTTCGTATGAAAACTTCCCTCTGCCTTCGATGCTTTTGCTCAGTATTTCTCCGCGTAAGCTACCTAGAACAACTACTGTTTCTCTCCGATCCTTGTTTGAACGGTAGACCACGGACATTTTCTTCCATCTGAGGCAAACCGATACGTCTCCAGCACCTACGAATACCAGAGAACCACGGCTAAAGTCCAACGAAAAATCCTGGCTTTTTCTGTCACTTGTCTGTTGCTCTTCCCATTTTTTCTCAACTGCATCTCTGTCATATCCTACTGCCCTTAGAAACCCGGCCCATTTTCTTTTCAAAAAACCCTGCGAAACATCGTCTTGCTTCACTGCATTGGATTCCTTCAGAAAAACTCGTCTCCGTGCAATCCGACGAGCAAGAGCCACTGCTTCAACTGGTAGCTTCTTCTCAAGCTCAGCGACGGATGATGATAACTTCTTAAAATGTTCTGCCCGATCCAGACGTTGAGACTTACTGCACCAGCCAACATTTTGAAGCCAATCACCATAAAGAGAACAGTAACGCCGACGGAGGATACCAGCTTCAAAGCTAGCACTTAGTCTTCGTCTTGGAGACTCGCGTAAAACCTTTGACACTGCCCATGCCCAAAGCTCTTTCGCGTTTCTACAACCGGGAGACGATATTCCACCGCTGCTCGACGCGGACGTAAGCCTCCCTGACGGCCCTTCCAACTCAGCCAGCAGCAGCAAAACTAAATCCAGCTCGCTAGAGTCCAGTCCCCCTACTGCCTCTGGGATACTCACTGTGAGTCCACAGAAAGAATCCTCCCAAACACCAAACGAAAGCCAAACCATCACCATCAACACGGCATTTCCCTCGTCACCCCTGACTTGCTCTTGCCGGCGGCTGTCTCTGAAAGTAACGCTTACCCGTGACGCGCTGCAAGCTTTTGTAGCCTTTTTCCGACTGTATACCACCATGTTGCTCAATGACCCAAACATGCTTCCCTTGAAAAACCCGCTCGGCATTTCTTCTCCGACAACCAGCTGCGTAGACGAAATACAGGTTTCGTAGCCTTGACGAGACCTGAGAGAGATTTTCGCATCGTGTAGCTCGACTTTCACAGCTGAGAGCAAGAACGATATCAGCAAAAGTAGGAAGAAACCAGTGCGGTTTTCCTCCTTTAGTTTTGCTCTCGAGTGCTCGCTAGCACCCTGTGTTTGCCAAGCAGAAAATAGTCACTTTCGATAGAATTGAAAGGTGAAAAAATACCTCTGGATCAATTGACGCGAGCCTTTCCAATCGCTGGTGAGCGCCACGATCCGCAATTGTATTTTTCCAATATGAATCCTCAGCATCTCTGTAACTTCAATGATTTCTCTATAAAAAAAAACCTATAGCACTAACCGTGCAGAGCATTCGGCATCGAGGCCCTCGATGACAATGGCGATTGCCGGCGACCCGATGAGTGAGAATGCAAGCCTCGCAGACGCAATTGAGGCCCGGCGCAGGACGAGAGGCGAGGATAGCAGCGCCTCGGCATTGACAGCTTCCGGAATCAGCTCAAACTTACCGAGACGGAGCTCCACACCGGACAAGCTCCACGAAATATCGATCGCGCAGTCATCCGCGCCAACAATCCAGCGCCGGAGCGGCCTCAACGCCGCCCGCCGGAGGCGCTCGCGCCAGCGCCATCGCCCCATCACTCCAAAACCCTCACCGGGAGCCCATAAGCCCTAGAAAACGTGGCGCATTGTAAGCATTACATGTGGACTGGAGGAGTCGGACATAGATTTTGACGACAGAGAAGAAAAACAATTCTTGTTTGCTCGCTGGTACCAACGAGAAGAATAACAACCATACAAAAATCATAGACACTATCTCTCTGGTTTGATCATCCATCTAATTCGGCAGCCACGATCTTCCAGTTGCTGATAGCGAGCGTTGATGGAATCGTTCAGCAAGGCATTGCAGAATAGCTTTGCTTTCTTGAGGCAAACACACGAAAGGAGTGCTGCCGCGAGAACTTCGATGGAAACATCCCCGATCTGGACGAGCTTCACGTTTTGCAAGCAGCGAAGATTTCCCAGCATCACGAGTCCAGCGTTGGAGATCCGGCAATACGATAGATTTAGCTGGTAAGAGAAGAAAGACGACCGTATTAAGCTTTTGAAAAGAAAGATTTGGAAGAGCTTGAACCTGCTGGAGATTTGGAAAGCAGTAGACGATGGAGGTCATTCCCCGATCGCCAATCCCGCAGTGTTTGAGATCGAGCTCTACAAGGTTCTTGAATTCCGGGAGTTTTTTCTCCAGGCCAACTCGTTTGCAACCCCGGATCTCGAGCTGCTGGAGATGGCTGAGCTGCGAAATGGAGACGATGGAAGCGTCCGTGATGTTTGGACAGTACGAGAGGTTTAGAATTCTCAACTTGCGGCAGCCAGCGGCTATGGACGCAACTCCCGCATCACCAACATTCCCCGACCTGTACGTTGATAAACAAAAAAGTGAGACTTTTATGCTGGCACTCCGGGAAATCCACCTGTATAAATCGAGCTCGATCAAGTCGGAGCAATTCCTTCCAACATGCTCGATGCCATTGTCACTGACCTTGCAAAACCCGAGCTTGAGAGTCTTCAAAAACTTACATTTCGCAATACATTCCAGTCCTGCATAAAAAAAACCACCTCTTTACTGTCAGCTTTGAGCTACACTCTCGTACCTGCGTCATCGATGTTGCAATCGGTCACGTCCAGTTCTTCCAAGCAGCTACACCGCTCCATCAACAGTGGAATGTTGTTCTCCGTTAGAATGCGGCAAGCTTCGATCTTTAAGCTGACAAGTCCCGCGCTCGACCTTGCGATGTTGTAAGCAGTAATCTCCGTGAGGTCGAGGCAGCAAGTAAGATCAAGCTTCCGGAGGTTTTTGCAGCCATGGAAAATGGAAGCCATGCCAGAATCCGTGACCCCTCTACACTTGCTCAAACTTAAGTCGCTTAGCTGAAGACAGCAAGAGCCCACGAAGCGAAGCCCATCGCCGGCGATCTCGCAGCCAGCTAGCTTAAGTGTTTGGATCTGTGTGAGCTTTCCAACTGCTTCCAAGAGCTGGCCAGTTATCTGCGATCGTTTTTCTCACGAGTATAAGAACCAGACTCTACAGCGAACTTACAGGCGAGCAAAACCCGAGCTTTAGAAACTGCAAGCTTCGCTTCGAGAGAAACGAGATTCCCACATTGGTCACGCTTCTGCAGCAAGAGAGATCCAGTTCCTGAGAAAAAAAAAGCAGACTAAAACGACCGTCTTTTAGAATCGTCGTCGTACATACCAGCAATGATGTACTTGTACGGGTCAATCCCGCGTCTCCAACGTTGGAGCACGCAGCCAGATTCAACACTCTCAGAGACGGCAAGTTTGATAGACACCTGACGCCGTCATCCGTGATCTGAATGAAAGCACAGAAACAGTAAGCAAAAAAAAACGAACAGATTTTTTTATCAGATCAACCAAACTCGAAAGACACAAGAACCAAACCAGCAAACGAAAACAAGAAAAAAAAGTGAATTTTCTGGTTAGATCAACCACAGTCTATGCTAAAGGAACCAAAGATGACAACACAGGAAAAAAGAAATGAGAGAGAGCTTCCGATACAGACCTCTGTGTAGGAGACGTCGATGGTGGTGAGCTCTTTACAGTTGGAAGCAAGGAAGCAAAGCCCGGCATCCGAAATACCAACACAGCCTTTGAGCACGACGACTTGGAGCTTCTTGCAACCGGCTGCCAGGCATCCCAATCCAGCGTCCGAGATCATGTAACATCCCGTGAGATCGAGCTTTCGCAAGCTTCCCAGCTGACACACGGCCGCCAGCTCCAAGTCTCCAAGGCTGTTACAGCACCGCAAGTCGAGCTCCACCAGCGCGGAGCAGTTCCTCGCCAGAGCAACGATCCCGGCGACCGTGAATCCTCCCATGCGAGCCAGGCCGAGCGATCGTAGGCGCGTCCCAGCGAGCTCCCCGACAAGGGCGAGATCCTCGTCCGTGATCTTGATGCACGAGGACAAGTCGAGGCTCTCGATGCCGGTGTGGCGCGCGAGAGCTCTCGGGAGGAGCTCCGAGTTGAAGAGGCGCATGGTTTTCTGGGACTCGGCCCCGGCCGCGTAGAAGCGCTTGCAAGTGAGACGCCACGATTTCCTGTCCACCACCTCGTCCAGCTTCTCCAGGATCTTGACGAGGAGATGGTTGTTCAAGCTCCAGATGTCGGCCTCGAGTCTCATCTCGGGTTGAGAAAACTTTGGAGATGGAGCGATGCTGTTACAGATCTAGGAAGAACTAAGGAAGCAAATCCAGCTCCAGTTAGCTCGGGATCACGCGCGAGTAGAGAAACAGGAACTTACCCGATGGTTTAAAGAGTGTCTCGCCCAACTCGTCAACTTTCTACCGAGATGCTCCAAGAATCACTGAAACCATCTATTCCTTCTTTGATTTCTTGGAGAGAACTGCGAAGAAAGAAGAAACGTAAAGAACTACTTATACGAGTGCAACACACGCGAGAGAGAAGAAAAAAAAAGAGAAAACAACGAGAAAAAAAATCGGGAGAAGCACACAGCCTACATTTTATTTTAGCCCACGAACTTAAGAACCATCCGGCTAGGCCGAGCAAGAAGAAGAGCTAGCGGTGGATCGAATAGATGCCATGATCAAGGGATCCCATTTCGCCCACCTGAGACATCGATCGAAAGGGAAAGAGGAGAGCAAAGCAAATGGATTGATTGGTGAGTGAGCTCGTTGCTCGGCCAGGGCGCAACCGAGGAAGAAAGCATCCACAACCATCCCTAAAGCCCCAAACGCGGGCGACCGTCGGATGGGGCGCATCCCACGGCCGCGGCCCGCCTGCGCAGGCGCAAAGCTCGTACATGGTGGAGGCCTATGGCTCGCCTTCCTCGCTCGCGTCCTTCTTTCTCCAAAAGCAACTCGGGGGAGTAAACCACTCTTTAAAAATGGCTTAGTTAACTCAATGACTTGTGTTTCATGACAACGACCTACTTAAGAAGAGTATTCCTGCCCAGTACGTTGGCATTGGCATTTCTGCCAATTTGCCTTTACATTTGACTCTGGCTTTTTACACGTTTTTTAAATCTTTATATAAACACAAAAGGTGGTGCTTGCTACTGAAATTATCCAAAAAGATGTAAAGTATATCTTTGACTCTATGTTTCTCCAAGACACTAACACACCATCATGCTGGCCGCGTATGAAAGCCACAAGAAACCCGAGAAGGCACACCGGATATTTGAGCAGAGATGTGGTTCTCTGGAAAAGCATTATTCGCGCACTTGGCGGAAGCGGGCATCTGGATGGCGTAAAAGCCATGTTTGGGAAAATGCCTAGGCCTGACGTGGTGTCTTGATTCAAGTGTACGAGGCGAACGGGCGGCTGAAAGAAGCAAGGAGTACTTTCACAAGGTGCCCGACAGAAACGCTGTTTCCTGGTCGAGATCCCAATCCCTTCCTGTGGCAGCGGCAATGATCCGCCGCAGCAAAACCTCCCTTCGCTCTTCTTGATGGCGAGGAATGGGACTTCCTCTGCGGCAAAAGAAGATGTTTGATCGAATGCTTACGTCCAAGTAGCGAAGATTCATGAAGCAAAAGAAATGTTTGATGCGATGCCGGAGAAGACCGAGGCGAGCTGGAATTGTTTTCTCGCTAGCTTGTCATGTGGATCAAGGAAAGAACTTGTTCAGTAAAACTCTCGTGTCTCGGCTTTCGCTTTGGTCAGAGCAGCGAGGAGGAGGAAGCTAGAAAAGTACGCGAGCAAATCCCGGGCCGCAAACACGATGGTGACGGCCTACTCGATGAATGGAAACTTGTGAGAGGCTGCCGCTCCAGAGCTCTTCCAAGCCATGGCTCACAAGGCGGTGGTGGCTTTAACGCTGATGACACGGCCTACGAATGCTCGCATAGCCGGAAATGAAAGCATTCCACGATATCAAGTCCCTGTGGCAAACATTTTTTGGATTCTATCCTCAACCCCAGCACGATCCAGCCATGACATAAGGAGCATACCATTGAGCAAATACTTGATGCTCATTGGCTTGCCAGTAACCCAAGCGTTTGATCCTTCTCCAGGCCAAGAGGATGATCAAAGTTCCTACCACCGTTTGATAAAATGCCCAGCAAGGTCATCTGGAAGATGCAAACTCAATTCCTCTCAAGAGTTGCAGTGTTTCACGAGAACTTGTCAATCTCTGGAGAGCTCTGGAAGATATACTCTGTCTCTCCGAGACGACCGCCTTGGACGTAGCTGTTAGAACTAAGCTGAACATGTACAGAACCAAGGCAAGCACCTAGTGTAGGAGGTCTTGGGTTCAATCCCCGGCCTGTCCAGATCCATTTTCCAACAGTAGCATCATAATGTTTCTGGAAACCATGTCTGGCGGGAAAGTAAACTTTGCTTGTTCCAGCTCTCTGTTTCGTTTTGCGGGAGCGTGTAATTATCGCGGAAATCTCTGGCAACTTGTTTATTTGAGTAAGCTTTCACGGAGGCTTGCCAAAGATCTTTCGCGCGTTTTGGAGGGTGGGCGATATGGATCGAGCCAATCAGGCCTCTCCCAGATCATTAACGTATCCAACTTTGTCAAAAGCTCCGGAGTTGAAAATGCAGGTGCACTCCAGTCGATAGCATTGCTGATATTGAGGGAAGATTCCTAGTGACGCAGATGAAGTACGCAAGAGCACCAAAGTCGATAGCATTGGACACTGTCGAGGAAGAAAAAATGAAAGTGACAATTACCAGACGGTAGTTTTCACGGGAGAGGCCTTTGAAACACCGTTGCAGTTCAGGACTTCGCCAACAGGGAGAACGCAGTGCTACTTAATACACGAGAGGAAGAGCTTTGGGCCTGACGTGAAGTGTCTCAGGCAAGCAGGGAAGGCAAAGTTTCTGCGATGTCAAAGTTTCTGCTCTGCAGCTTTCAACACACTGGTATCAGTGGAAGTGTCAAGTCCGGCCAGTTATTTGGAAGCAATCAAAAGACCAACGCACAAATCCGGAAAGGAAGCTTAAGTAAATTGAGCCTTTGTCTTTCAAGTTTCGCACTAAACTGGCCTATTAATGCAGCTCCCTCGATTAGGATTACCTGCTGTGCTTCCAACCCAATGAACTTTGGAAACACGAAGCCTGCTGAGGCTCCCATAAGTCGAAGCACCATCTTTCCAAGTTTGTGGAGCTCATTTATTCCTACTTGTTCGCAGGAGAAGCAGCAAAGGAAGCAACAGCCATACCAAGGCATTCTTCACGTCCCTGACGATCGCATCGAGGAGCTAGAAACGTCGTTGCTCGTCGAGGAGGTAAAGGGATGGCTGATGAAACTCGCGAGTGGCAAGGGGGAAATCAGTCCTTCGGATTACGACACTGCCTGGGTGGCTCGAATAGCGTCCGAGTCCGACTCCTCTCTTCCCGAGTTCCCGGAGGCCCTGACGTGGATCATCAACAGTCAACTTCCGGATGGATCATGGGGTGATGATCGTCACTTGCAACTCTATGACGCTCTCTTGCCTGGTCACGCTCAAGATCTGGGACATCGGGCACAACAGCATTGCGCAAGGTGTGCTTCTACAACTTTTCTTTTCTGACCTTCTGGTTATTACATCTATTCGCCTCTGATTCTTGATCACAGCCACGAATTGGCCAAGTGAGTTCCTCTACATTAACATATGTGTTGAAGACGTTTGGTGTTCGCTCAGGATTCCTTTGGATAAACTCCATTCCGTTCCCAGGACGTTGCTATACTCTTTGGAAGGCCTTCAAGACCTTGAGATTGACTGGCAGAAGATCCTCAAGCTTCAGTCTAAAGATGGATCCTTTTTGAGCTCGCTTTCCTCAACAGCATGTGTTTACTTGAAGACCAAGGACAGGAAATCGTTGCAATACTTGCAAAATGCTATGGAAGATCAAAACTATGCTGGTAGATTGGCTGTCTTCTTCAATCCTTTACAGTTCCTTGTCATTACCCCATTGATCTTTTCGAAAGTTTATGGGTGATCGACACCATTGAGAGGCTGGGGATTGACGTCTTCTTCAGAGATGAGATCAAAGCTGTCCTCGACTATGTGTACAGGTACAATGCCTTGGTACTTATGATACTTACGAAGCTCTTCTACTTGTGTTTGTATCAGCTTTTGGACAAACGAAGGAATCGGATGGGGATCTACATGCTTAGTCAATGACATAGACGACACAGCAATGGCATTCCGTCCTTCGGATGCATGGATACAATGTATCTCCAGGTAAAAATAGTTTTGTGGTGGAAGAATCTGTAATTCACTAAAGTATGAAACTCCCTACAGATGCATTCAACCAGTTCTGGCTGCCTGGAGACAAGTTTTGCTGCTTTGTTGGCGAATTGTGACACGGGGTCTCTGAAATGCTCAACTTGCATCGGGCTTCCCAGGTCGATTTCCCGAACAAAGCCATTCTTACAAAGACTTTCAAGTACTCCCACGATTATCTACTGAATGTTGACAGCGCTCACATGCAACGAAGAAAAACCTCATGGAAGAGGTAATGAGATTCAGATAGCTTGGAAACTCATGTGTTTGGTTTTTCTACAGGTGGCATTCGAGCTAACAAATCCATTCCATGACTGCTTGCTGAGGATTTATAATAATACTGATATCAAGTACTATGCCATGGATGATCCTTGGATTGCTAAAACTATTTATCGGTAAGTTATATAAACCCTTCTTTATCTCTCCCTCACCACCTCTCTTTTGCCTCTAGTGAAAATAAAGTGTTACTAGAGCTTGCAAATCGGTATGCTCAACAATGTCAATCATATCAATCTTTTGAGCTGATAGACAAGCAAAAACAAATTTCCTAGACTAATGAGTGATTTTAATATATGAACTTGATGTGTTTTTTATTTAGCTGGTGGCATTTACCGCACTTTGAAGGTATCCTGTCTATCAGATCAAAAGAAAATATCAATATGCTTCCTTATATTTACAATTTAATTTGTGGAACTTTCCATGAGCAAGAATTTAGCCAATTGAGAGTCTTCTTCTCAAAGGCTTGTTGCTTGAACACTTTATTTGATCTTATGGACTGTGCAACAAGCATTGAAGAGCTAGATCGTCTCCAAAATGTGATTGAATCTATTTTTAGAAGTTTTTATAACGTTTTGCTTCCTCTTTTGGTCTTTCAGGTTTGTCACATGAACTTCTTTTAGAATATAAGATCCACTTTCAAGAATTGTATAATACCATTTTTGTTATGACTGAAACAGCTTCCAGAATACATCAAAATCTGTCGTCAAAATTCATCCACAATTATCTTTCAAGAACTGTAAGCATTTATACTTCACTTTTCTATGGCTTAATAGTGTTGTTGTTCATACTAGTACACAAAATTTATAAAATCTGGAATTACTGATGCTCGCTGGAAAATTCAAGGATATATTCCAAGTTTAAGGAATACATGCAAAATGCTGAAGTTAGCATCTCTACTGGGATCCATGTACTTATCAGCATATTATTTTGTGGCGAGCCTTTGACAGAAGAGCTATTAAACACCATTTATGATAGCAAGCCTCTCAAACTTAATAATATATTATCTAGGCTTTGCAATGACATCCAATGAGGTAATATCTATATTTAAATTTATATACAAAGCACTAAATGTGTCCCTCTTTCATTGTTTAGATTGAGATGAAGTTTGGACAACTAGCACAACGAGTTTTCTATTACATAAAAGATTATCCAGGTACAACTGAAGAAGATGCCTTATCATATTTACAAAGTTTACTTGAGAAAAACAAAAAAGAACTCAATGAAAGCTACTTTGTCACTCATGAAAAAGATCTACCCAAAAATATCAAAAGGGTTAATTTTGAAATGGTGCGGATGATGCTAATCAACTATAATAAAACAAGACAGGTGGATCTGTTTAGAAATGCAAACAAAGAATTTGAGAGCATGATTAAATTTTGTTTAGAATCTTATACACTTTTTCTAATTTAAAATGTGATTACAAAGTTGTATACATCATTTTTTTTTATAAAGTTTAGTAATGTTTTTCTTACAAATAGGATGTATCTTTGTCACATATATTTCCTTTAGAATATAAAACTCCCTTTCAAGAATTATTTATTATGACTGTAAAGTTTGTTTTTGAAATGTATAAATACCTCTTGAAGTTCATGAACGCTGGCAGATTTAAGGATATATTCCAAGTTTTGAGGATCACATGGAGAATGTTGAAGCTAGTATTGCCAGTGGAATCCATGTACTTATATAGGCATATTATTTTGTGGTGTGCTTTCTTTTAACAGAAGAACTATTAAACACAATTTATAATAGCAAACCATTATTACTAGGCTTTGGAATAATTAAGATTGTTCATTTTAAACACTAAAAGTTTCCCTCTTTTATTTTCTTTTTCTTTTTTTTATGATAAGGACATAAAAGACCATCCAAAAGTTTGCTGAGAAACAAAGTTATTTCATCAGTTATGGGAAAGATAAAAAACATTAAAAACATTAACAGGTTTGGTTGATTTATACAGTATCAAAGCACCTCCTGACGTTTCCTCTCCAAAATGTTGGACAGCAACACATATGGGGCTGTCGCGGATGGCTCCAGTTGGAAGCTCCGGAGAGCGGTGTCGCTCCCTCGCTCTACGTCGCCATGAACTTCACAAGCACCGAGCAATGTCGAACAAATCGCTGCATCAGGGACAAACGGCATGTTGTTCATCAGATCCTGAGCTCTCCCAAGCTGTCCTGCACGACTGAGATTATCCACCATTCCAGCGTAATGGTCTCTCGATGGGATCAATCCATGGTCGAAGCTCATAGACGTGAAGCACTGGTGGCTCTTCTCCAAGCAGCCAACGTGACTAGATGTGCTAAAGACTGCAGTGAAACTTATCTCGTCGTAGGAGAACCCCTCCATAGCCATCTCTTGAAAGAGCTCGAGAGAGCTTTCGTGGGTTTTCTTGGAGTATGACCCGATCATTGCATTCCATGCTGCTACGTCCAGCTCAGGCATTCGATCGAAGATAGCTTTGGCCTCCTTGAAGCAGTCTTTGAAAGCGTAAGCCTTGATCATCGAAGTCCAGGCAAGAACATCTCGATCGAAGCAAAGAGTGTAAAACGCTTCTTTTGCGTCACTCAAGAACCCTTGATCCGCATATCCATAGATCATAGTGTTCCACGAGAACTTGTCAATCTCTGGAGAGCTCTGGAAGATTTTCTCTGCCTCTTCAAGACGACCGTCTTGGACGTAGCCGAGCATCATAATGTTCCTGGAAACCATGTCCGGCTGCGGCATGGAATCAAAAGTAAACTTTGCTTGTTCCAGCTCTCCGTTTTCAACGAAGGCGAGGATCATCACGTTTCGCGAGAGCGTGTTCTGCTCGGGCATCTCGCGGAAAACTCTGGCAACCTCTCTGATCTGCCCGTGCTGCGCGTAAGCTTTCATCATGTGAACCCAGGATCCAAGGTCCCACTCGGGCATTCTCTCAAAGATCTTTCGCGCGTTTTCCACCTCTCCAATGCTCGCATAGCCGGACATGAAAGCGTTCCACGATATCAAGTCCCTGTAAGGCGCAGCATCAAACATTTTTTGGGCTCGATCCATATCGCCCACCCTCGCGTAGGCCGTGATCATCAGCGTCCAAGCCACCACCGTCTTGCGAGGCATGGCTTGGAAGAGCTCTCGAGCTTTCTCGACGAGAGCACCTTCGGCATACCCGTGGATCATTGCAGTCCACGACACTGCATCCTTGAGGGGCATCTCCTCGAATAATCTCCTTGCCTCACGCAAGTTCCCATTCATCGAGTAGGCCGTGATCATCGTGTTCCAGCTTGGTACGTCACGCCGCGGCATTCGCTCGAATAGTTTTCTAGCTTCCTCCACCTCGCTGCTCTGAGCAAAGCCGGAGATCATCGAGTTCCAAGACACGAGAGTTTTCCTCGGCATTCTATCAAACAAGCTCTTTGCCTGATCCACATGACCATACTGAACATAACCAGCGAGCAAACAATTCCAGCTCGCCTCGGTCTTCTCCGGCATCGCATCAAACATTTCTTTCGCTTCATGAATCTTCGCGACCTGGACGTAAGCCGAAACCATCGCGTTCCAGGAGATTACATGCCTCTCGGGCATTCGATCAAACATCTCCTTCGCCTCCGAGAAATTCCCACTCTTGGCAAAAGCTGCGAGCATAGTCGTCCAGGAAACAACGTTTCTGTCGGGCATCTTGTCAAAGTATTCCTTGGCTTCTTTCAGCCGCCCGTTCTCCGCGTAGGCTTGAATCACGGCTGTCCAAGACACCACGTCGGGCCTCGGCATATTCTCAAACATGGCTTTGGCATCTGCTAGACGCCCGTTCCCGGCAAGTGCGCGAATAATGCTGTTCCAGGAGACTACATCCGGGTTGGGTATCTCCTCGAATATCCGTTTCGCCTTGTCGGGTTGCCTGTGGCTTCCATACGCGGCTACCATGATGTTGTAAGAAATAGTGTCCTTGAGAGGTATAGTGTCAAAAATGCGTTTGGCATCTTCCAGATGCCCTTGCTGAGCATTTGCTGAGAGGAGCGTGTTCCAGCAGACAGTGCTGGGATCCTTGATCGAATCAAAGATCGTCTTGGCCTCTTCCAGATTCCCGTTCAATCCATACACCGAAACGAGCTTTCGGACAAGGATTGCGCTGGGGTCGGGGATGGAATCAAAGACGCGCTTGGCATCCCGCGGGCTGCCGCATTTGCCATACATCTCCAGCAGCAGAGTGGCGAGATGGGCGCTGTGGCAATGCGCGCTGCCGCGCACGACCGCGTGGATCCGCCGGGCCTCTCCCAGATCCTTGGAGCTCCCACACGCCCTGATCTCGTGGGCGAGCGAGTGGAGGTCGGTTCCCACCATTGGGGATCATAGCATGGTATAAAGAATATACACAAAATATTCATGTTGCTGTTAATTTTTCTGCACTAATATTTTCTTTGTTTTTAGAGGTTGGTTAACGCTATTTGAGAAAATAGCAGTGTCGGAAAAATATTTTGTTCAAAGACAAGCTCCAACTCCTTGAGCTCGGCAGCAGCATGATCTTGAAGTTCTTCCACTTGGATCTTGCACAGAGCCCAGAGCCTCCAAGGTTTTTCCAGCCCTTATTTCTCTGGGAGAACACCTCCAACCTTCACCTATTGGAAGATTCGACTTGATCCTCTAGCCACTGCAACAATGCTCATTAGGTTCCAAGTTAAGTGAGTCCGGTCCATGAGCAATCCAGCCACCTTGGCAATGAGCTCTTCATCCCCAAACCATGACACGCTCTCCACAAAATCCGTGGTCATGGGGATCACTTTGGAGTCACAGACACTTGCAAGCTGAACTCTCAGGAGGAATCAAAGTAATCTTCCCAAGTTTGAGCAATAAAGATCTTCTTGCAAGTAAGAAACACAAGTACCTTTCACAAGCCTAGTAAACTGGCCACTCCTGATCTGTGTTAGTGCATTCATCACGATTTCCTGATCCCACAGTGTAGACTTTACAGTGTTCATCAACAACTTTCCCCATGAACAATGACATCAGGCCTCTGTTCAGTTTTGAATTCGTCTTCCAAAATCTATCTCCAGCTGATTTTCCACCTTGCTTGCTTGTGAGCTGCATGCTTGTATTGAGCTCGTTATATGCTGCAATCTTGGAAATTAGCAGCTCTTTGCTGTTTGAAAACAAATAGTTTTTTAGCCTTTTCCAATTCAAAATTCTTATAAACAGTGTATTCGTCCTGAGCAAGCAAATTGAAATTCACGGTAGATGTGGTAACATCAAACACGCAGCTCAAATCTTCCATGGTATGCCCAAGAGGGACAAGTTCACCTGGGACCTTGCTGGTTGCCTACTGCAAAAACGGGCATTTTGATGAAGCGAGGAGATACCCAACCCGCACGATGATTGTGGTCACGGGCATCTGGAGTCTTCTCTCATGCTCTTCCACGCCATGCTTGTGAGGAACTTACACTGCAATCCTCTCCGGCTACGTCCACTGCGGTCTCCTGAAAGACTTGGAGCTCTTCTTCCTCAATCAGATGCCACAGCATGATCTTGTCGTCAAAACGCTGCTCCTCGCCTACACCCAAGGCCAACGCCTTGAGGAAACCAGATGCCTTCTTGATTATGGAGATGCCGTGTGTGGATATTCTCAGTGCCGCCTCCTGGACGAAACCGCGATAATCCTCGACAAAATGCCAGCCTGGAATCTTGCACATTCCATGCAAAGGACTCTGACCGCCTTTCACGAAATGGCAGACAAGAACTTGGTGTTGTAGAACGCCCATATCTCTTACACAAGGAGGTGTTTGAAACAATGCCCCTGTCTAATCCTTCACTGATATGCAAGAAACTAGGTATATTATATTATATATTAGTTTTCTAATTTTAAAGGTAAAACTGATGGTATATTTTTATTTGTTAGTATTTATTAATCTAATTAATCAAATGGAAGTTTATAATTTATAAATACAAGATTAATCTCATTAAATATCAACAATTAGATGGTAGAATAAACTAGAATATACTAGGAAGTGTTTAGGAAAGTTTATAAATTATAAACATATTTATAAATTATAAATACAGGATTAATTGGCCAACTTTGCCAAGACAGCAGAAAGTAGTGAGGATGATGACCAGGAGGACATAGACTACACCATGACACACCTAAAACCATTAATTAGTAGAATATTTTAGAATATTTAAATATATTTTAAGTATATCCCTACAGGTTTGCTTATGCAAACCAAAAAAGAGAGTCATTGTTCTTTAATTTTAAAATTATACTAAGAAAACAGTATTTAGTAATCTAAAATTTGATTATTTTATATTTATGGGGAAGTAATATTTAAAATCTAATAATTAATCAAATATATTCTAGTAAAGTTTTTAATATATATATGAACACTTTTAATTCCCGTAGAAGAAGCAAAGCAAGTGTTTGACTTTGATGCTAGAGGTCATGGAACACGCCACTCGCTGCATAAGAAAAAGGGATGTCTGCATGTTTCGTAATGCCCGCTCATGAAAGTGATCTTGGGCAATCAAAGCGTGTTGTTTGATTAGTCTCCTTAGCATGCAATGTTCAGTGAGTGCTCTATCCACCTGAAGCTGCGTGTTTGACACACAAGGGCAATGCCCTGCTTTCTACTTATTCAAGGATAACATTGTCAAGAGTTTAATTGCAGGAAGCTATTGAGAACAGGCTATTAATTATTGATTGTTCATCTGGTTGTCCAAGAATATTTCAAGTTGAACATCGTAAGCATCACATTAAAATATTATAGCTAGATTCTAGTTTTCTAGCGGCAGCACACGGCCAGTGCCATGGCTGATGGGCCAGGCCGCAGCGCTTAGGTCTGTCAACCAGATCTGAGTTTCAGGCACGAAGATAAACCAACAGCCACAACTAGTCACAGCCAAGTAAGTGCTTATATTGCAACCACACAGCTTGGGATGGATTGTGAGAGTTCTTTCAGGGCTAGGCGATGATCAAGATGTCCAGGTTCTTTATCACAAGTCTAGGCGTTGGAAATCCTTCACCCAAGAAAAGCAGCCTTTTATTATTATTTGATAGAACTGAGCAACAGTCTAGAGTTGGAAGGTCCCTGATTTTTCTCGAGGAGGGATCCACCCAATTCCATGATATCTAGCACTCAACCATCCCCATTCTGCGTTTGCGGCCATCCACACCTCTACCCCATTCACATAATCCATGACGCCTTGCTTCATGGCAAGCCCACTTGAAATGATCTCCTGCTTTGTCCCGATGAACTCCTTCTCCAAATCCTCCACCATGCTCGCCAACATGGCAATCGCCTCGTTCAAACCACACTTGTGAATGCTGGCGAGAATGGGCACGGCGTTGAGGTAGTTCCCTTTCGCCCACTCCTTCCTGAACGAGATCAAGTCATTGTGGAGCGCAATGTGATGCGTCCCAATCTCCTCAACCTTGCATATGAGAGGATGATCTAGCACGCCACGCTCTTCCAGCCCAAGTTGCAGTAAACCATCAAGCAGAGCAAAGCAAGGCGCAACACCAGATGTGATCTCTCTCAGCCACATGTACGTGTCCAGGTTGGGAACGATTTGCTTGTGAAGCCAGTTCGATTCAATCTCAAACATGTCGAGCACCTTGGTCATAGAATTCATGAATCGGCCGGATTTGTCCACTAGATGGAGGGACAGTTCTTTCAAAACCTCAGATAACATCTTCACTTGCCGCAGCAGCTCCTGATTCTTGACCAGAAGTGCGGCCTCGTCAAATCTTCCCTTGAAAACCATCTTGTATGCGGTTGCCACGTTCCTCATGTCCGACGAAGAGATCTCAGGGTTATCCAGAATGTCATCTGCAAGAAAGAGCCAAGCGATGAACTTTGCAACGGGAACAATCTTCTCGTATGAAATGCTCGGGTATGCATAAGCTGCGAGCAATCCAAGCCTGCTCTCTCGAATAAACACAGATTTCTCGCTTCCAGGTTGCAACTTCAGAAACTCGTCACACCACACATTGATCTCAGCGTCGGCCTTTGCATCATACAGCGGATTCAGCGCTGGAGAGGCCAGAAGTTTATTACTTGCTGGTGGAATGGAGTAGCTTTTCTCCGCTGCAAAAATGCTCACAATGGATAGAATAGCCATTAAGAAAACACAACACAGTTTCTAACCACGACTTCTCGGTATATATAGAGCTATTCTCGTTAGAAGCAAATTCCAAATCTATTACAGTTGCGATGTTGCCGAATTTTGCGAAAATACCTAGGAAACATCCAAAAGTCAGGTTTGAATTGCTGATTTTAAAATATTCAGTCATAAAATGTTAAGCACATAGTATTGACTTAAATGGTAGTGAATGAAGCTAGAGTATATTACCGTCTAACCACAACTTCTGGGTATATATAAAGTTATTCCTGTTAGAAGCAAATTCCAACTCTACTATAGTACGTTTGCGATGTTGTTGATTTTTGCAAAAATACTTAGTAATCTGCTTTTCTATATTGATATATATAATATACATTTAGATTAATCTATGTTAATGTATAAACGTTCTTAAACATGAATTCAATTTAGCCCAATGGTCTTATGTTTTGGCATGTGAAAGTTGATAAATAGGCTGCTCAAAATACTAAGCACTATGCAGAGATTTAAATTGCCCCATGCTTTTATGTAACAAAAAAGGTTGAAAAGAACTTTACTCTTTGCTAGCATCTCCACATTTTGTAACACTACCTTCTCAAGCTCAATTGTTACTGTGGACAAATACTATTTTGTTTTTAATCTAGTTTTCTATACAAATCTTTTGAACTACAATATATATTCCAGCAATTTGAAGAAGTGGGTGGTGTATGGAGGTAGTCCTACCAAACACTAGAGGAACCAACCCTCTCCCTCTCCCCTTGGACCAACCCTTTTTCATTTCGTGGAGGTAAGAATTACTAAGAGTTAGAGGTAAATGGAAAAGAAAATTACCAATTAGTGAAAATTCAGCGTTTACTGGGCTCTTGGGTGGAGTTTGTCGATCCGACCACTTGGGCGATGAATTCCTGGCCAATTCCCGCCCCATTCTTCCTCTGGGAGAAGATCCGGATTCGCCCAACATCCGGATTCGCGATGCGGGTGAAGGCTTCGTAAGAGAGATCGAAGGAATTAGCGTGACAGCCCGGGCAGAGATCCACGACCCGGACGGTGACTGTAGCGTCGTTCGACCGGCATCCTCCAGCGCCAGAGACCGCGCCCTTGCAAGTGATATCGAAGTAGGCGCCGCAGAGGCCATTGAAGATATCGGGGCTGGCTGCCGCGATCAAATTTCCGGCTGGAAAGGGCCCGCGATCGAAGCCATAGCAAGCCGATGCTGTGATCACACACAAGGGGCAATCAATCAGTTGGTCGAGAGGAAGAATTGATTGAACGCTTTGAATCGAGGAACTCACGAACGTATTCCGTGTAGAACGTTGCCTCGCCATTTCCTCCTCCGCCGCCACCACCACCACCACCGCCTCCGCCGCCGCCGCTACACCAGTTACACTGGCTTTGGCACCCATTGCCGCAGTAATCCGCGGAGCATCCACAGTAGCCCCATTGGCTGCAACACATGTTGTCTCCACAAGGGCGATTGCGATCACACTGCTGGGCGGTGGCCACCATAGCCGCCGCTACCAGCAGCGAGAGGAGGAAGATCAAACGAGGACTCATACTTTTTTAGCGAGGATAGACCGTGGATATGATTTATAATATGGATGTATGTAGCTAGGCTCGCAAAGTTGGAATAGAACTCTACAACCATATATATTAATCATTCCTCTTTGATCGAAAGTTTCTTTGGGCGGGAGTTCCGGCGATTCTACACCGTTGACAGTGTTGCCCACCGTTGGATCCCCGGATGTAAAAGCTCGAGGAGGAACGAGGGTTAGGGTTTATGCGCACCCAAGTTCTACTGCAGCGTCGTCGTGCTCGCTTTGCGGCCGCGCCGAGGTACGCTGTGAGTTTTTATCAGTGCGTAGATTCACCGTCGAGTCAGCTGCTTGAGGCTGCGCCTTAGATCCATGGCGCTTTCTCCAATGATCTGGCTCACATTTCTTGCCGTAGATGGCTTTTATTACGAAGTCTTTGCTCGATCCCTATGGATTGCTTCTGTCCGTGTTGTTTTCCTGCATTTCTTGCATTGCCCGTGACCGCAGCACTGCCTCCTGCTCGCTTTTTGGTAGGGCATTAAACATGAAGATAGATTTGTCCCCAATGTCATCCTGGCAGTGGTTTTTTCCTTTAGAAGATTTGAAAGGAAGCAGAGAAGGTCTACCTTTATTGGTTGTGTGAATTTCCTGCCAGCGAAAACCGCAAAGAGACCCATCCAGGCCGCCAGTAGACCTTGCTTTACGTTGTCATCCATCGCTCCCGACTGATATGCCGCAATGAGTTTTTCTTATAAGAACTTTGTGCAGGCATGAAAATGGGATGCGTACCAGGTGACCCAAGAGCAAGGATGGTATCACGAAGAAGAGGAGTGCCGCCTCTAGTTTTCCATAGCACAATCCTGACGAACGAGCCATAAGTGGTGGTGAGTTCCATTTTTTTTTTCTTTCTGAAAGGAGAGCTCAGTGTTACCTTCTTTGAAAACCAGGCCTGTGAGTGCTGCAAAGAGAGGCCCGACTGCCCAAACCGCAGCGGGATTCTCCACAACGAATTCCACCAGACCCCTGTCAGCTGGAGTGGCGAAGTTGGATGCTACAAGTATAGAACCAGCCACTCCGACTGTCCATAGGACTTGCAACGCTCGCTTCAGTGGAGTGACGTAGATGTGTATGAGCAGCAGGGACACCCCGAGTGACCCGGCTCCAATCGAAAAAAGTAAGTCTTGATAAGTTGAAATCACAGACTTGACAACATTGTCTTCCGGCAGGAACGCCGTAGACGCTACCGCGACAAATGTAGCTGCCGATGTTACTAGACCAGCTCTGTACAAGAAGACCTGGAGACACAAGGAAATCATGTCACAGTCCACAACGCGTAAAAGTCGGTGGTGATGGAAGTAAGTGACACCAATTCTCAAGAAAAAGGACGATGGTCGACGAAGATTCAGGCATTACCTCGCGCACGTCGGTCGAATCAATCGACCAGGGGCCGTAGACACCATTATAGACCTGAGCAGCATCGGTCTTGGACGACGAACTCTGGGCTCTACACAGGAGAATTCTGGGACCTCTCCTCCTGGCAGAGAAGGATCGTATGGAACGAGGAGCTGTTGCCGATAGGAGTAAAGGCAGAGAGGACAACAAGAGCGCCATAGCCAGTGAGATATTATATACCTACGCAACAAGAACGGCTCCAACTGGATGATTAAAGTAATCACTCCACGCAAGCGGCAAAGCGTAAGTTTCCTTCGTTTTTATCATTTTTCCTCCTTGTTTTGATTCCATTTTGCTTTTCCTGGTTTGACATAGGATCCATTCAATTTGGCTGTCAATATCTACATCTCTATTTTGCGATGTCTGGCATCTTCTGCAGCATTTACTCCTCCTTTTTAGCTAGGAGAAGCTCCCTCTTTTAAACCTCACTCACTCGCATTCTGTTTTTTTCCTTGGAGTTTTTTACTCGCAGGTTCGGATATGGATCCGTGATGCAGCAAGATGCGTCGCTGCGTGCAAGAGCATCGTCACGGTGGTACAACCAACAATGAAAAAAACACCAAGAAAAAGCGTGGCAGGAGAAAGAGGATGCTAGTGGGTCCTTGGCTTTGTGCTACAGCAAGAAACAACAACACAGCTCCTTCGGTTTCCCAGTCGCTTCCGTATGGCAAAGAAGCTCCTTTCCCTGCATCACCGACTAGGTGGAGACGCGAAAGCACCAATAAATGGATCCCTACTTGGGTAAGCAGGTTTCTCAACTCCCTTGGCTAGATTTTGGTGAATTCGTCGCGCTGTGCATCAGATTCAGCAGATAAGTTAAACGGAGTAGTAGGGAAAGATGAATTTGGGAGACCCCAAGAGGCAAGGAAGGCTCAGGTACTATAGAAGATAGGAATTTTGTGCGAGAAAACAGGAAGCTTTGTCGACCATGGGGTGTGCTACATCAAAGATCGAGAACGAAGAGGTCGTGGCACTTTGTAGCAGTCGTAAAAGGCACGTGAAAGAAGCTGTGAGCGCTCGTCACAATTTTGCAGCGGCTTTTTCGAACTACGTAATTGCTCTCAAGACAATCGGCTCCGCCTTCAGCCAGTTCAAGGAGGCTGAGTTCCAGGACACGGCCTCGCCAACGTTTGCTTCGTCCACTCCTATGACAACCGCAACGCCTATGAAGCCTGCAAAACCTCCTCCACTTCCTCCGCTGTACCGGCCTTCGGCAACGTCTCAGCAGAAGAATTCACCGTCACCCATGGTGCTGAATTCGATGAAGAGAACTGTCAGCTTGCCACCGATGAACTTCGAGAGGAAGAAAACCTCAGCAGCGGTGCCAAAGAACGCCGACAACTCGTCAACTCCACCGGTGAAGGCTGCTCGAAGCAGCAGCAGCAGCACGATTAAGAAAAAGGAGGTTTCTCCATCTCCATCACCATCGCCTGAGCCGGAACTTCGTGAGCAACAAGCAAGTTCCGTGATGGAAGAGGAGTTGACGGAGCCGCAGAAAGACGTGAAGGAGTCTTCAAGTGTGGAGAACAATGTTAAAGTGTCGAGTGAAGATGAAGATGACTGGGTTCCACCTCCGCCACCTCCTCCAGTTCCTTCGAGCAAGGCACCTCCGCCACCACCGCCACCTCCGAGCTCGTCCTGGATGATGTCTGATCTGTTTGAGTTTTCCCACTCAGCCGTGCCGTTGCCAAGATCAGACGACAACGAAGAAGAATTCGATGACGAAGATCGACGTAAGCAGCAGCAACTCGAAGAGGAGAAGCGTAGGAAGCTTCAAGAGGAGGAAGAAAAAGAAGCTCAGGTAATTAGTGCGAAGCATGCATGGCAAAGCTAACTAATGTCCGCTTTTTTGTTCTTTTTGTGACCAGCGAAAGGAAGAAGAGGAAAGAAAATTGAAGCTGCAACAGCAGCAGGAGATGGAACTGAAGCAAAAGCAGCAAGAACAAATGCACAGACGGCCCTCAACTGTGGATGAAGGGGACGAGGATGAAGACGAGGAGGAAGAAGAACAGGACGAGGACGAATTGGACGAAGAGGAGGAAGAAGAGGAAGATGGTGAAGAGGAGGAAGAAAACGAGGAGGCTGAGCCTGAGGAAGAACCAGCGAAAAAAACTGTGAGCTATGACCTGCCAAAGTCCGACTTGAGCATTGTGACTTCTTCAAAACGAGGAGGCAACGGTGAGCTAGTTGCTGTGCTCAAGCGCATTGTGGAACCTTTCGAGGTGGCTTACGAAAGTGGAAGGCATGTGGCTTCGATGCTCGAGGCGCAGCGTGTTTCCTTCCATCCAAATTTCATTGATGGCAGATGTAAGTTCTTCTCTTTCTTTTTTTTTGGTTCGTTTTGGTTCTGCTTTTCTAATAACACCGGTTTTGTGTTTGTAGCCGATGAAACTCATGCAAAGAAGGTTCTGAGAGCTATTTCTTGGAGCAGCAGCAATTCCTCTTTGGCCAGAGCGGCAGCAGAGCAGTCGGTATTCGATGATGAAAGTGGTGACGCGACTGGAACCCACGCCTCCACTTTAGATCGATTGCTTGCATGGGAGAAGAAGCTGTACGACGAAGTCAAGGTCTAGTTCTCCCTTTTCGAATTATGAAAGCGCGTCTCTTTAACTCTTTTCTTTCGTCTCCTTTAGAGAGCTGAAGGCCTGCGCGTAGAGCTCGAGAAGAAGAACACTTGGATACAAAAGGAGGAATCTAGAGGAGGAAATGCCGAAGCGATCGAAAAGGCAAAAGCAGCGGAGAAATTGCTGCACACCCGTCATGTCGTTGCAATGCAAGGCGTGGACACGGCTCGCAACGCCGTGCTCAGGCTCCGGGACTCGGAACTGTATCCACAACTTCTGGAGCTCCTCAAAGGGTACGCAAACTAGCTATAAAGTTTCGTAGAGCTAAGCTAACCTTCGAAAGAACCAAAACAGGCTGTACGAGATGTGGAAGAAAACTCACGAATGCCACGAAGAACAGTACAAGGCAGTGGCGGAGATGAAGAAGCTCGACTGCTCGGACGTGGTGGAGTCGACCAACAGCCTCCACAAGGTGGCGACCGAGCAGCTCAAGGTGGCGCTCAGCCGCTGGCACCAGTACTTCGGCTCGGTGGTGAGCAGCCACAAAGTCTTCATGCAACAGCTCAACGTTTACGTCAAGGTGAGCGTCAAGTCAGTGGAGCTGGACAAGGGGATCTTCCACGCCGCGTCACCCAAGCCCATCTCCACGCTGTGCCACGAGTGGCAAATGGCGCTGGACAGGCTCCCGGACAGGAGCGCGCTCGAGGCCATCAACACGTTCGTGGCGGACCTCCAGCTGATCGTGGACATGCAAAAGGAGGAGTCGCGGCACAGGAAGAAGGTGGAGGCGCTGGAGAAGGAGGTGAAGGCGCGGGAGATTTACGTGGAGAAGTATGAGAGGAAGCACGCCAGGAGCGCGGCGGTGAGCCGGACTGTGAGCACGGACGAGAACGGGGAGGTGCCGGTGGAGGTGGTCCGCGGGGGGAGCAACGCGCGGAGCGTCGCCATGACGGAGAAGAGAGCGCAGCTGGAGGTGCTCAAGAGGAGGCGGGACGAGGAGAGGGAGAAGGCCGAGGAGCTCGGGGAGAGATCCAAGGCCAAGACGATTAGCAGCCTGGAGCTTGGGCTGCCGAGCATCTTCTACGCGGCCAGGGCCTTCTCCAAGCAGTGCTTCGAGGCTCACGAGCGATTGCAGGGGCTGGCAAACAGTAGCATGATCATGGACAAGTGAGAGAGAGATTGACAAACAAAGAGATTGATTCTTCTTTCTTCTTTTTAGTCGTTCTTCTTTTCAGCGAGGCCTAATGCACGCCAGCAGATGCCAAGTCGGGGGAAATTTTGAGATCATTGTAGTTCTAAACTTTCATGTGTAGAAACTAATGCACTGTAATTTCTCGAGAATCTGGAAAGCTTACGTGAAATTAAAGTTCTTGAATCCTTTGCCTAGTGAAGAAATGCCAAGAAAATCTGCGGAGAATTTACGTGAAATTTACGAACAGTTTACAAGAAGAAATCGCCAAGGAAAAAGGAAAAAAAAAAATTTAATGGATCCAGTGTTTGTTCTTCAAAGGTCGCTTGAATCTGTGCGAAGAGAGCCTACTCGCTCCAGATGGTACTTCCTGGTGACATAGATGTAGGAGCCAGCGATGAGCAAGAGCACGGCGAGTATGCAAGCAAACACCACACCCGCGATTATCCCTTCTTGCTTCCCTCCCCCGTGTCTTCTCGCCGATATCGCTTGCATCAAAGGAGAGATTTCCTCCACACCATCGCCATCGCCGCTGCCATCGCCGTCTTCACTACCTCCTGGATCTGATCGAGCTCGCGGAGGCTTTGGACGAGAAGTCACGGGAGCTTGAGACTTTGGATGTGCTGGAGCTGGAGCTGGAGATGGAGATGAGAGAACTCTCAAGCCCGCGCTGGAAGGCGAGATAAGATGCCAGTGATTGCTGCTGCCAGCAACTGGCGAAATCAAGGACGAAAAAGACGAAGACGAAGAAGAAGTATATCGGTGGCCTGCTGCGGCTGCAATTACGCTCCATCGAGGCGAATCAATCAAGAGAGCCAGCACCAGCATGATCAAAGTTGTCATGATATATCCTCTCGCGCTCCCTGCTGGGACGATAAGATCTCGATCGGCCTATAAGAATGATCACTCGTATCGATCGGACAATGAAAGACGGGCGCTAGTCGCGTATCAAGATCAGCGCGATGGATACGAGATGGAGTGGGATGGAGTGCCAGCAAGAGCGACACAACCACAAAATCGCCGTAGAGCGGAAGCTCTAATCAGTCGAGTGACGGCAAAACGACTGTGAAGTGGTGGTAAAGAGACGCAAGACAATGTCTGCGTGGGTGCCTTCGTCAACGGTGGGTCAATGCGAGAAGATGCAATTGACACTTCTAGAATGAAGAACAAGTGTCCTGCTTTGCATTTCGTCAACACCGGTCGCATTCAAGAACTTAATTTCTCCCTCCTTTTTGGTTTTTGTCTATGGAAGACTGATCCAACGCTGCATGTATTTAAGTTTCAACTCGGAGATTTGAAGTTTGCTGCTATTGTCTTTAGATTACTGTATAGTAGGACTGACTAGAAAATCCACAAAGTCTGAGACTTGTCTATTATATACTTGTTTGACAAATGTTATGAAATTTTGAGCTGTGCTGCTGCTGCTCGTGATTGATGGCGCAACCTTCAGACCAAGAAAAAACAACTGAGAATCAAAAGAGAATGTTCAGCAAATTTCATTCTCCTGGCTATGCTATCAAGAGCATAGTAATTGCCTTCCACTTTGTTTTATTATCTCACCAGACATTCTGATTAGAGTATCCTGTCTTTCTGTACTCTTAAAACAATTTGTAAACAACTGAGATGAAGGTTCACTTTGTTTTATTATCTCTAAAGCATTAATACAGGTTTGTCCTAATATAATGTTATCAAGCGGAGTGATAATGCTTTGCTTACTGCATGAGTTTGTGCTCCCAAATTTATATTTCTAAAATACTCATTTTCTTTGGGGCAATTTGTTAAAAGAACATAAAAATAACCCATTAAATCTAGCCCAGACTGTTAAAACTTGTAAACAACTGACCCTGTGATTTTAAAAATGTTTTATTTTATTAGAAGAAAAGAATTTGTTCCTAGGCAGACAAAAAAGCGCGTTTCAAAGGCTGGGCAAGTATCTCCTTACAATGTGCTTCCCTGCCACAACACTCCCCGCCGCAATCCCCCCGAGCGCCCCAGCTATGGCTGCCGTCCTCGGCCCCGCCGCCGCCTTGTAGAGCGCCCCAGTCGCCAGCCCCGCCAGCACCGGGTTGAGTATATCATCCGCGCCTCGCAAGTACCACGTCCCACTCTCCACGCCCGCGTACAAGAGCCCCAGCACGCCAACCTTGTTCCCAATGCTCCTCCCCGTGTGCCCGGACGCGTTTAAAACCCGGTTGAGCCTCAGCTTGGTGGTATCGTCCACCTCCCTCGACCTTATTCCATCAAAGATCCCCTTGGCTCCGCCCAGCACAGCGCCGCCAAGGTATCCCACCCCCGTGTAGTACTGGATATTCTCGCCCAGGGACCGCCGCTGGAACGCCGCCTCCTCCGTGAAGAGGAACTCGGGCGCGCTGGGCAGCCGGTAGAGATCAGCGGCGCCGCTGCTGGCGCCGCCACTGGTGCCGTAGAAATCGTAGGGATTGTAGAGCCGGATTTCCTTCTCGGCGCCGAATTTCCTCTCCTGTGCGCTGGCGCTGCTGCTGCTGCTGCTGCTCATCATCTTGATTTCCTTTGAAACTTTTGATCGATCGTACCGATCGATCTGCCGCTCCTGCTGGGATTGTGGAGACTCACCTCCTTTCTCCTTGCGCCCCCGCGCCTCCGCCCTTGACAAACCCTAAACGTGGAAATAAAAGAAACGGATGGAATCTTCCTTTTGGGCATCATGCGGAGATTCGGATCCGACGGTTGGAATTCAAACGGGAGATCCAGCGGCTGTGAGCTGCAGAAAGTAAAGATCAAGCGATCATCTCGTGTTTTCTGGATGTTCTACCTCGTTGATTCTCACGAGCAGTGATTTTCTTTGCGCCTCTTCGGCCGAGAGCCGACGATACAGCGCCTGGATGAGCTCTTTATCGTTTCTTGACGAGGTAATGGCTCGTCTCTCCTCGTTTAATTGGTTTTTCTCGGCTGGACGCAGGAAGTTTTCTCGTTAATCCTCCAGATTCTTAGCAATTCTCCCTCTACAGATCGAAAATGTTTACCTTCCAGTGTCGAGCGTTCCATCAACAGCTTCTCGCGAAGGCTCTGGTATTCCTTTTCAAGTTGGTTTTTTCTCCTGAATAAAACCGACAGTGTTAAACTTGGAAGAGATAATAAAGTCTGCTTACATTGCAAGAACTTCTTCTGCCTGGGAGTGAAGAAACTCCTTGAGATGGTTTGCATCTTCTTCCCGGATCTTCACTTGCATTTCCCTCGCTTGCAAAGCCTCCTCTCTTCTCTGCCAGCCTCTCTCCTGCGATCCACGGCAGCCAGCGTAAGAAACCAGTGATCCATTCGTCACGCTACCTGAACTTCGGTGTCAAGTTTGAGCTTATCAGTGCGTGTACGAATATCTTCTGTGGTCTCTAGAGCTCGTTGGCGCTGTTGATAGGCCAAGAACTCAACTTCCTGGAGAGAACTTGGAAGAGGTAAGCGCTGGGAAGTCGAGTTTTGCAATTTACTCTCTGCTTGGCTTGAAACCTCTCCTCGAGCGTCGCCTCTTGTTGAGCCAATTGCTCCCGCAGCGTCCTTTGCATGTCATCCAAGTCCTTTCGAGCACTAGCTAGCTGCCTGAACAAGTCGAAGCAGTGAAACTTAAGTTGGAGTGGCGGAAAGAAGAATACCATACCGACGGTATGAAGCAGCTTCATCCATCCTGGCTTGCGCAACTTCGACCTCGCGAATTCTTTTCACCTGTGTGTGTAAAACGCCGAAGCTCGCAAGCCACCAACGGGAAAGGAAGAGAAGAAATTACCTGAGCATCAACTTCAGCTCGTACTTGTTTGTCAAAATCTCGGTGCAGTTTTGTCACTCGCTCCTCTGCTGTCCTTGACGAGCTAATCTCTTGTTCTTTCTCCAGCTTCTTTTTGAAAGCGTCGTCGATCTCCTTGAGCCAGGCATCTAAATTGTTTCATCAGAGGAATCAAAGAAGTTCTTTTGACAAACCGAGCTTCTTGGGACCAATCTCCTCAGTTTGGGTCGAGGAATCTCGAGTGCTTGCCGAGGAAAGAAAATGCTGGACAATGGCGATCAACTGCTGTGCAAGACAGCTGCGTTCCCCCGAGACCTGGAAGAAATCGCAACATAAACTCGAAAGCCAAGATCAAGCGCAAAGAGTTCTCAAAGCTAAAGAGGAAGTAAGCGAAACTCGCAAGAGAAGACGACCTCAAGGAGGCAAAGGACGTACCTCTTTTGTGATCCAGAATGGTGCTAGATCGAGACGAAGGATTTGCACCACTTCATCGCGCGAGAATGGTGGCCAAGAGTCCAATTGGCTCTCCGGGAAGAACACCGACTGGGTGAACTTAAAGCCGTAGGCCTCCAGATACTCCACAAACGTGCTCGCTAAGATCCGATCCTGGAGCGATGGCCTTGCCCGCATCGATGGATCAAACAGCGAATGGTCGTCTCCCCGGAGCTTGTGAATCAATGCCGATCGCAGCTGGCTCTAGAGAAAGAGAAAAGGAAAACCACAAAGAATGCGGGCATTTTAGCCATGGAAATCGTGGCGATCAGCGTGACAAGAACCTTGACACGCCCGAGAATCCCAGCGGATTGGAAGGACAAGAAGAGCTCCTCTTTGAGCTCTTCACCTGACAAGGGCTCCATTTTTAGGGTTGCGTTTTTAGGGTTCTTACAATTTCTCTGCGCGAGGAATGGACGCGACCAGGAAGGCGATGTTCCGGTCGCGGCTGCGGCAGGCGGAGGAGCGCAAGGAGAAGATCGATTCACCTCTGGCGAGGTACGAAATCATTGAGAAAGAGCGAGTATCTGAGTGATTTTCTTTCTTTCTCAGGTACAATGATCTCGGGCAGCTTGTTTGTAAAGTCTGTAACATATCGATCAAGACGGAGGCTCTTTGGGGAGCTCATCTCGCATCTCAACAGCACAAAGAAGTAAGCCGAGAGAGAAATTTCTTTCGCGTTTTAGCGTAAGTAAGTTTCTCACTGTGCAGGGTGGCTGAGAGTGGGAAAAAAAATCCTTTTCTTCTGCAGGCTGCCGATGAGTTGAAAGAGCGAGCAAAGCGATTGAAAGCCGCTGCCGCTACTGCCGAGCCAACTCGATCGACCTCAGTAGCGCAAAAAGCCGAGCAAAATGGGAATAAATCGGAGGCAGTAAAAGGTGACTCTCAGCGAGGTGAGACAAGCCTAGTTGTGATCTTTTGATGCCGTGACTGAGAGATAGCTAACTTTGCAGCCGATTCTAACCGGAAACCAAGCAATGGTGAAGCTCCTCCTGCTCAAAGCAAGGATACGACTGGACCCTTGCCTGAAGGCTTCTTTGACAATGCGGCCGCGGACATGAAGGCTCGAGGAGTAGAAGCGCCTAAGATCAACATGCAGTACGTATTTGCCAGGTTTTGGGTGTGAAGCTAAAAGGTTTCTGCGTCTAGGGAGGAGCTGGACCATTTCCACAAGCTTATAGAGGAGGATGTCAAGGCAGTCGATGATAGGCACCGGGAAGAGGAGGTACGTATTCTTTTGTGTGGATTTCTCTTTCGCTCATAGATTTATCCAGGTTGAAGCAGCAGAAATCCGACACGAGGAAGAAGAAATTGAGCAAAGGTAGAGCTAGACTCTTGCTCTGGGTTTTCACAACTCTGATTTTCTTTCTCTCTGTTTTTTTCCAGCGTTTGTATGGAACGCGTTGAGATGCTTAAGAAACGAAAGCTCGAGTTACGCGACGAGACCAAGTCGGGAGGCTCAAAGCCAAAGAAGCCAGAGAACTTACTTGACGAATTATCAAGCGATGACGAGAGCGACGAAGACACGGTTTTGGATTGGCGAGGTAGACGCTAAGCCCCAAGATCAAACTCGTTAGCAAGTATAGACGCTATGCTCCAAGATCAAACTCGTTACCAAGTAACTTACAAATTGCTTTAGACTCTCTCGAGCTCATGAATGTGCTTGAGCTTTTGCGCTTTGAGAATGTCACGCCATCCCTGGAGCAGCCTCTTCTGCCGTTTAATCAGCTCGTCTTTCGCCCTGAGCTCGCTTTCGAGCCCAGCAATTTCCTGGAGACTAAAGTTCTAAGACAAGAAAAATCACATGGAGTAAAAGACGAACCTTTTTCAAGAGCTCCTCTTTGGGAGGCTGGTGTTCATGCTGTACCCGAATGAAAAATACTTGCAGCTGCTTCGCCGCTTCCATGAACTCCCGGGCGTGGCGCTCCACATCCACTAGAAGCGAAAAACCAAAATCCTTTGACACCGAAGAGAAAGATGTTATGTTACCGTGGTGGGAGGGATGAGTGGAACGATCGGCTGCCTGGAGCTCTCGAGCAGGGAGGCACGGCAACAATGTCGCGTCCAAAGACGCGACCCACGACTGGACTTCGTTTAGGCTGCTCATGCCAAACACAACCCTAAAAAGAAAGATGCAATAAAAAAGGTACTTTGCGATAGCTGTGTTGATTTGTGATTTTTGTGGTTTTATCACAGAGTAGCAAGATCTACTTCCGATTTTTTTCCGCATTACCCAGTTTTGGCACAGCACCTCTTGCGTCTACCGATAAAGCTCCCGTGTTCAGTTATTGTTTTGGTTTGAGAAAAATATTTCAAAATAAAATGACAGTTCTTTAAATTAGTATTACTTTTGGTTTTCTTAAGACACAATTCACCAAGATAAAACTTTAAGTGGATATATTTAAATATTCTAAGATAATGTACCATCTAACGGTTGTTATTCATTTAGATTATATTTAAAATTATAAACATATTTGTAATTTATAAACTTTTATAAACATGTTCTAGTATATTCTAGTTTATTCTACCATCTAATGGTTGAAAAATTAATAAATTATAAACATACTTATAATTAGAAACTTCTCTTTGATTAATTGGATTAATAAAAGGCTATTAAGTAAACCAAGCATTGTTTCATGCAACATACAGAAAATTATTATGAACTTGAACTTCAGTGACAATGATAAAATTTACTAGGAACATTTATACTTTAAAATTATGTGAAGGATTTTATTCTTTATTTAAACATTACATATAGCTTAGAAAATAAGCTTTCAAGCCTGTTATTACAAAAACTAAATATCATTAAAGCATGTATATGATACAACAAATAACTTTTTATACAAAAATACTATGTATTCATTGCTAAAATATATAATTTCAGTTTTTAGGAATAAAAATAATCTTGTTTAATTAAATAAGAATAGAAATTATGTCATTTTTTCTGATATTAAATGTAATGCACCCTATTTTTCCCTCTTGGAGCCAATTAAAAAACATTCTTATTAAAAAATCTTTTAATGACTATTTATCCCCATACATCCCCCAAGGTTCTATGAATCTATTATAATAGTATATTTAAATCTCATCCTATAATAGCATATATTACAGTTATGGTAATTCCACTAAAACTAAAGTGTATAATAGTGAATTTGTATAGAAAATGCAAGATCTTCAAAATAACTGTATGTTGTGAAAGCATGGAGGTGGTTCTTTGGGTATTTTAATTATATTTCTTTTTTTCATTATAAAGTTTTAATGGGTAAATTTTTGCCACACAAAATAGATAAAAAATGTAAGGTGAAAATAAATTATTTTGACCAAAATTAATCAAAGATTTATTAACCTCAATAAAAAATATACTCTGGTGGTTCTTGGATTTATGTATAAGTTTATGAAAAGATAAATGAGTACATGATTAGAATTTTCTTGCTAATATTTAAGAAATTATTATATAGCAAGATAAAGGTATAAAACACTAAATACGGGAATTAATATTAATGCATAAGTTAAATTTCGTCCATTTATTTTAATAAGGAGACAATTTTAAAAATATTTGTTTACAGAAACGTTTAATTTATGTTTAGTTATATAAATTTTACATGCTGCTTAGTAAAATATATAACATTTATACTAACACTAGGTTTAAGATTATAAAGAACTTTTACTCCATATATCACACAGACAGACAGACAGACAGATATATATATATATATCACCAAAATTTATCTAAATTATGATAGTTATTTTATTAAATATAACTTAGTTCCTTTTGGAGTGGATGTAAAGTATATACCTATAATATCCAGGCATATTTTAAAATTTTATACTCTTAAACTATCTGCAAGAAACTGCAAAAATTCTCAATCCCCACTTTCCAAACAATCTCGCCAGCCTCTATGTCATCTGCCTCATCCTTTATGGCTGTCCTTGTCAGCCTTCTTCCCTGTGCATCAATTGGGGTGGCCATGTTTTGTCACTCAGATCAAATCCAAAAGTCCTAGGCTAAAGTCGCTATTTGTAAAGGTGAATTAGTACTACGTTGAATAAGAGTGAAAACAGCCTCTACAAATTTTCAACTGTTTTAATGCAAGCAAGAGTCAAGTTGACGAAGCACCATGTACGAGAGCCTTGGCTGTGGGATGCACCCAATCCGCCGGTCGGCCACGTTTGACGCTGGAGGGATGCCTGGTAGCCGGTTGCAAGAAGCTCCAAGTCGTCGTCCTCAACGGCTGTGTTGGTATTTCGGATGCGGGGCTTTGCTTCCTTGCTTCCAACACTAAAGAGCCCACCACCATGGACGCCTCATACACAGAGGTTTCTATCGAAAGGTCTCTCTTTGCTTTTCATTTCTTTTTCCTGTGTTGCCATCTTTGGTTCATTTAGCATAGACCGTGGTTGATCTAACCAGAAACTTCTCTTTTTGGTCCTTGTGTCTTTCAAGTTTGATAAAAAAATCTGTTTTTGTTTTTGCTTACTGTTTCCCAGATCACGGATGACGGCGTCATCAAACTTGCCGTCTCTCAGAGTGTTGAATCTGGCTGCGTGCTCCAACGTTGGAGACGCGGGATTCTCGTACAAGTACATCATTGCTGGTATGTACGACAACGATTCTAAAATACGGTCGTTCTAGTCTTCGTTCTTCTCAGGAACTGGATCTGTCTTGACCAATGTGGGAATCTCGTTTCTCTCGAAGTGAAGCTTGCAATTTCTAAAGCTTTCGTCTGTAAGTTCCTTGTGGAGTATCAATTAGTCTGGTTCTTATACTCGTGAGAAAAACGATCGCAGATCACTGGCCAGCTGTTGGAAGCAGTTGGAAAGCTCACGCAGATCCAAACACTTAAGCTGGCTGGCTGCGAAATCGCCGGCGATGGGCTTCGCTTCGTGGGCTCTTGCTGTCTTCAGCTAAGCGACTTAAGTTTGAGCAAGTGTAGAGACGGATTCTGGCATGGCTTCCATTTTACATGGCTGCAAAAACCCCTGGAAGCTTGATCTTACTTGCTGCCACCACCTCACGGAGATCACTGCTTGCAACATCGCAAGGTCGAGCGCGGGCCTTGTCAGCTTAAAGATCGAAGCTTGTTGATTCCACTGTTGATAGATCGTTGTAGCTGCTTGGAAGAACTGGACGTGACCGATTGCAACATCGATGACGCAGGTATGAGAGTGTAGCTCAAAGCTGACAGTAAAGAGGTGGTTTTCTATGCAGGACTGGAATGTATTGCGAAATGTAGGTTTTTGAAGACTCTCAAGCTCGGGTTTTGCAAGGTCAGCGACAATGGCACCGACCATGTTGGAAGACAACTTGATCAAGCTCGATTTATACAGGTCAGTTTTGTGGACTTTCCGAAGTGCCAGCATAAAAGTCTCACTTTTTTGTTTAGCAACGTACAGGTCGGGGAATGTTGGTGATGCGGGAGTTGCGTCCATAGCCGCTGGCTGTCGCAAGTTGAGAATTCTAATCCTCTCGTACTGTCCAAACATCACGGACGCTTCCATCGTCTTCAATTCGCAGCTCAGCTATCTCCAGCAGCTCGAGATCCGGGGTTGCAAAGGAGTTGGCCTGGAGAAAAAACTTCTTTCTTCTCAAAAGCTTACGGTCGTTTTTCTTCTCTTACCAGCTAAATCTATCGTATTGCCGGATCTCCAACGCTGGACTCGTGATGCTGGGAAATCTTCGCTGCTTGCAAAATGTGAAGCTCGTCCAGATCGGGAATGTTTCCGTCGAAGTTCTCGTGGCAGCACTCCTTTCGTGTGTTTACTTCAAGAAAGCATGCCATGGCCTGGAGAATAGTGGACAATATGGATCAAGCCCAAAGAGCTTCGTGGAAAGCTTTCATGTCCGTTAAAAAACGCGCGAAAGATTCGTGAGAAAGTGGCCCTGGAGCCTGAATCCTCATGATCAAAGCTTACACCCAGGAGCAGAGTTTTCCGTGAGATGCCTGGCCTTTAACATTGATGTTCTTGCCTGCGGTGTTTAGCACATCTAGTCACATTGGCTGCTTGGAGAAAAGCCACCTGTGTGTGCTTCACGTCGATTACCATCGACCATGGATTGATCTCAGTCGCTCAGGACAGTTTGGGAGAGCTCAAGATCTGATGAACAACATGCTGTTTCTCCCTCATGAGGCTCCAGCCAGAAGCTCCGTCGCTTCCTCGCCTACGTTGCCATATCCTTAGAGCAATGTTGTGCAAATTGCTGCATCATCTAACTTCATAGGTGTTGGTAGAGAAAGTAGGTGACACAGGAGAGGGCGGTGCTCGATCGGCTAGTTTTCAGCGCGTAAAGGATGGCAAGGACAATGACGCATCAAAGAAAATGCCAAGAACAAACAAAGAATGTGCAGGCAAGCGACAGACTTACATACGCAGCGGCCAAACAAATATTTCTTCTGCCTTGCAGCCGGACCGATCGACGAAGACTCCGTCAAATCCTGGAGCGAGAAAACCCCGATTCGCTACGAACCTGTGAAGCCAGAGAAGAGAACGGATGGAACGCCGCTCATCAAAGATTCATGATCGGAGAAAGAAATGGATGCCTGAATCATGAGCGGCCATAAATTTCCAAGCGCTCGCGCGATTAATGTCCATTACGATCCGGCGCAGCTCTTACCTAACAGAGAGGAGAAAGCGAGTGAGAAATCGGATACTATCCGTACGTAGATCTGGCCCACCTATATCTCAAACTTATTTTTAACGAAGAATATTATTCCAATAAGAATGTTACATTTGCATAGATAATTTTTTTTAACAAACTCAAGTTTTAAATAAATCTGAATAGAAATATTTAACAATTTCTATATAGTTTCTTAACACATATTTTTTGTTTTACAAAAACTTATAATCAATAACATCCATTATAGTATTGTGTAGCAATTGTTAATTTAAATACATCCAGAAAAAAAATTGAAAAATTTAAACAAAATTTTTAGATTGGTTTAATGAATAATTTAATATTATTTTATTAAGTTGAGTATTTTACTCCTTTTAATTACAATTGTAAAAGTCAATTATTGAGTTAAGAGAATATATTGGACCTCATATATGTAAATTGTATAAATATTTTTACAAAATTTGAACATATATTGTTGGTAAAGAAAATGAACACGAAGATTTAGCAACAAAAGAGTTTTTATGTTTACTTCAACTTACTTGCTTAGCTAAACATAAGTATATTTCTAACTTTAAAATAGTTATTTTATTATTTCATTTTTTATTCTAAATTTTTTTTCAAACTTGAACAACATTTATCCATACTCTTTTTCATATTTAATTATAGTTAGAAAATAAATGAAAAAACTGCTCTCCACAATTTAAAAGAAAAGTCAACATATTTATTTATTGAATTGGATGAGTATGCATTAGTAAATATTAACACTAAATGTAATTATTTATTAATTCTATTACTAACCAAATATAAATAATAAGAGTAAATATAAATTCAATAAAAAAATAATTTTGATAAATTAAGATTCTCCTATCTCCTCTTTCTTTTTGCTTAGATTGTTGTTTCACAAAACTCAAGTCCACTAAAACGTTAGAAATGAAAGAAAATGAAAAAACCAATGCACGACACAGTTCGTATTACAAGGTGGCCTCGGTCGGGTCGTTGTGGTTGTAGGTGGCCTTTTGTCACAAGAAAACAAGCTTCTCAGAGCTTCAAGGAAGTGATATCCGGGCTTCAAAGTTCCACCGTATGATGATGGAGAAGAATTAAAAAAGCAAGAGGAGGAGATATAGACGATTAAAGGCTTCTCAAATAGCTCGGCTCTTCCTGAGTGTGTTTTAAAGGTTGAGAGGCTTCAGCATGGGGAAATGTGGCTCCTTGAAGTAGCAGTAGTAGTAGTAACACAAGTAGTAGTAGCAGTAGTAGTAGCAGTAGTGATAGTAGTATAGCTCGCAGCTGTGTGGAAGATGGTATAAGGCAAAGGGTAAGGATGTGAAACAGGCAAGCTAAGTGCCTAAGTTTCTCGCCCAAAACGCCTAAAGACTGAATGCAAAGTAGCATGCAAGCAGCGAAGGGAAAGGACCACAGTACCTCAGTAGAGTCCAGTTGCTTGGGTCTGTGCCGTGAACATAAACGCTTCCAGCAGGCTTTGAGCAGCTTGCGCCTGATCGGGCGCGCCAGATATCTCGATTATGCGCTTGTCGGACCCGGGCTTGGGGTCATGAAGTTTCACTTTAGCTCCGGAGATCTATAAACAAGAAACATATAAGTTGCTCGGAGCAAAGCTTGTGAAATACCTGGCGTATCTGAGCTATATTGCTCCCCCCTTTCCCGATAATAGAGCCAATTACCGTTCCTGGAATGGTTATCTCGATCGTAGTACCTGCAACACTTGCCACCAGTCCAGATCCTGCTCTGCCACTGCCAACGAAAAAAGGAGTGTCAAAAACTTGAAGCAACTAAGAATGAAGAACATACGTTCCAAAACTGGCAGCTGTTGGTGTTGATCCAACATATGAGAGAGCGCCAAGTCCACCAGCAGCACCCTGTCAAATGAAGATGGAATGAAGAGTCAGTGAAAAACTGGAGATACCTGTAGACCCCAGTTTCTTGGGGTGGCGGGTATGGAAGAACGTAGACCCTGAGAACCTAGACCGGGTAGAGAAAACATTCCTGGAGATGGTTCATGCCTTGGTTCATACGTCGATGAGACAGGCACGCTCCCTTGGACCCCAAGACCCGGATTACTCGAGACATTTTTCATGTGCTCTGAAAATATGTTTGCTCTTAACCTGGTTATGATTTCAATAACAGCATCCCTGGCCACAGTAATATCCCCTACAACCTGCACGTAGATTTGTTAGCTACTTTCTTGGAAGATCACACAGTAGTTGTTACCTGAACAAGTTCGTCGTCTTCATGAGCACACTTGGGTAAAGCTTCTTTGGACAAAACTCTAATATTCGCCCGAGTGTTCCTTCTCATGTCAGCAATAATACTACCTTTCTTCCCAAGTAAACAGCCAATATTTGCGGATGGAACCAAGAACCGGGTTGTCATAGCTCCATCCTTCTCGGCACTTGGATCAGAAATCCGGCTTTGGAGTTGTAGTACAGCTTCCAGAGCTGGAGATACCTGCTCATGAAGTACCTGGAAAAATACAAGTTGCGGATAGAAAAAGAACGTAAAAGAGTTACCTCATTAGAAGTAATGTGTATGACTCGTTCCTCTGCATTGGCCACCGCGTCCGCAATCTTGATCCGAGCACAAGTTTCCTCCCGGATCGATCTGATGATCATACCACCCTTGCCGATCACGCTGCCAATCTTCTCATTCGGACATAGCAACCTTACGGCAAATTCTCCCTCGACTGTCTCGTCTTTTACCCGACCACCACCAGGGAGTCCGTGTGCCAAAGGAAACGCTGAGGCTCCGTAAGACCAAGTCGAGCCGCCAAGACCACCTAGGTGAGGAGCGATACCGACCAAGTGCCCCCCTAGCTGACCCGGAGCAATGGAAGCATTCCCCTGGGGGAAAAACGCTCCCGGAGGAAGTAACGTACCCGGTAGAATAGTAGACTCTTGAAAAGGTCCTAAATGCCCTGCTTGAGGAGGCTTGTCTCTGGGAGGATTGTCATAGAGCCGAGTCGAGATCGTCGTGAGAGCTTTCTTCACGAGAGCCAACTCTCCAGTCAACTAAAACATGGAAAAAAAAAAAAACCAATGTGAGAACCGAGGAACGAGACAAACCAAGAGAAAGATAAGATCGTTCTTACCTGGACGAGCTCGTCAGTGTGATATGCACACTTTGGAAGCTGCTCCCTGGGAAGAACACGAATTTGTGCCCCGGATTCCACCCTCATTTGCTCGATGATCTTCCCGGCTTTGCCGAGCAAGCAGCCAATCTGGTTGCTCGGCACCAGCAGCCGCGCAGTGACATTCCTGGAAGAATCCTCGTCCTCATCAAACTCCTCGCCCTCTACAATCCTAGCAAAAACCTTGAACAGCGCCTCCTGTGACGCTGGAAGAGGTGTGCTCTCCTCGCCATTTTGCTCCTTGTCCTTGTCCATTTCCTTGCTCCCACCCCGAGGCTTACCTTCCCGCCTCTCCCTTGGCGACGCGGAGATGAAAATCACCCTCTCATCCGACCCTGGAATCCCATCCGCGACCTTAATCTTGGCGCCCGTCTCGTTCCTCAGCGATTTGATGATGCTGCCGCCCTTGCCAATGACGCTGCCGATCTTGGCCCCGGGGCAGAGAATCCTGTACACCACATCGTCGACGGGAGGAGCGGCAGCCTCGGGAGTCCGCTCGAAACCTCCTCGCCGCCTCTGCCGGACGCTGCGATCGACGGAATCCTCCTCAAACTGGGAATGCGATCGCTTGTGCGCGTAGCGCGCGCCCTCCATCCCTCGCTTTCCTTAGCCGCGATAAACCCTATCCGCCATAGCCAAAGATTAGGGCAAATCCGGGTAGTTAAATTCGATTCAGCTGATCGAGTTAGGGCGTAGCAAAAAAACTTAAATTTCATAAAATGCAATCCGCATCGCTCGAAAAGTGTGCCATGGATTGACAAGATATTTCCAAAATATCTCCACGTCGGTGTCCTTGTGGCTCAGGTTTAGGGTTCTTGAGGACGGCATGGCGATCGCGCAGCAGCAGCGCCAAATGCAGGAGAGCGATGCCGCCAGGAAGATCCGCAAGCCCTACACCATCACCAAGTCGCGCGAGAACTGGGCGGATGAAGAGCACGACAAATTCCTCGAGGCGCTTCATCTGTGAGTTCTTCTTTTTCTCAGCACAGTTCTCGATGTTTTACTTCTCCGCGTAGCTTCGATCGAGATTGGAAGAAGATTGAGGCCTTCGTGGGCTCTAAAACCGTGATACAGGTGAGAGCTCTCTTTGTTTTTTCTTTCTCTGATCCTTCTTTTCGTTGCTAGATTCGCAGCCACGCGCAGAAGTATTTCTTGAAGGTACAGAGAAACGGCACTGGAGAACACGTACCGCCTCCAAGGCCAAAGAGGAAAGCCGCACTACCATATCCTCAAAAAGCTCCGAAAGCCGGTATAATCGTTCAAAGAAAGGAAACCCTTAGCGATTCTAATCTCTTCCGTTTTGCAGTACCTTCGACTGTTGCGGTGGTCGAAAGATCTCCGGAAAGTCCCAGCAGCAGCGGTAGTGATGATGCTTCTCCTGGTAAGACAAGACAATTTATCCATATGGTTTAGCAAAGAGATTTTTCTTTTCCTTCTTAGCTTTTCCTTGTTCTTTCCAGCGACACCGGCACCAAATTTCGCAGCAGTCTATCAATTCCTTGGGAACGTCTTTGATCCAAATGCGTCTGGCCATCTCAACGCTTTAGGTGGAATGACTCCGATCGATCGCGAGACGGTAAGCATCTCAAAGTCCATCCAAAAAAGACCAGGCAAGTGAAAAAAACACAAAAAAACAGGTCTTACTTCTCATGAGGAACTTGACTGTCAACTTATCCACCAACGATATGACTGATCACGTAAGAGGTTCAAAGAACTCGTCACAAGCTCAAAGTTGAAAACTTTTGTGCTGCAGCTAAATTATCTTTGTCCTCCCGTTGGAGTCTAAATGGCTCGCTTTTAAATTGGATCCAGCAAGGTAAAAGGAAAAGTCTGAGCCCATTTCTCGAGGCTTGCAACACAGGGTCTGGTGTACATATAATCCGTTTTGCATGGTTTATGTAAATCCCTAAACTATGCCATGGTAAATATTCTAATTGATGGTTAAAGCTTATTTTTCAAATGGTAAAGAAATAATCTGAGATTTGTTTTCGGATAAACAGAAAAATTTGATTAATTATCAGCCACCATGCCTTTTGGTAAAGGCAAGGTTGTCTCTGTAACAAGTCTTGTTCATTTCATTTTTCCACATCATCATCTCTTGCTCTTTTCTTACTGCAAATTGCTCTTGCTGTGAATCCAGCTCCAGAGTTTTGATTTCCATTTCCACAGCACCATCGTTCCTCTTCTCTTTAAGCTGTGGATTCCCGAACTGCTCAAAGCCCAACACCAGATCTCTCTCATCTATATCCTCCACCTTGAAATCCTTGAGAAATTTCCGTCCAAACTCCTCGTCCTGGCGTCCTTGGATCATCTCCACCCCACAATCCCGCACCCCTTGGAGAATGTCCCTGCACCATTCTGGCCACTCTGCCTCGTCTACTTCCAGGGACTCGTCCTCCATGAGAGACATGATCAGGCAGTGGAGCTCATGGTTGACCGGCAGTGACTGGGTAGCTAGTGCGTTGCCCCCATCTGTCTCGCCACCTTTTGTTTTGGTCCTCTTTCTGGGGGTCCGTTTTGCCCTCGTTGTTCCACCCACGGTGTGTTGGTTCTTGATGCTCATTGTCAATTTAAAACCAAAGGGTAAAACTATGACAAAACCTAAGGTCCTATTATATAGCACGATATGGATATTCACAGTTACCTTTGTGCATGGCTTCGTACGTGATTGGACGAGATCAAGCCAATTAGAGGGAGCTCCGTCATCGACGAGCCATCCCTTCATCCATGAAGAGGAACGATCCTGTTGCTTCCACTGGCGGATCAAACGCGAGCGTTTGAGGTGGTGTTTCCCAGGTTGACCTGAGGTCCTGTTCGCGAGCATGCATTGTTGCTTGGCATACGACTAGCAGCTTTGAGACCTTCATGCCTGGACACCACCTCAATCGGCATGCGTAATGTCCTGCCAAAAGGGCGTTTGAGAAGACAACTTAAAAGCCTTTTGGTACCTATCCCGATTTTCCATCAAGTCCAGAAGTGCCATTACCGGATAAATCAAGTGGTGTATCTCCATCCTGAAAGAAAAGAATATTAAAGAGCGGGAGATGGAAGAGAGCCCACCTCGTTAGCAATTGTCCAGTCGGCTCCACGATTGAGCAAGACGCGAAGTATATCTCTCTGTTGGCAGCAAACCGCGACATGGAGCGGTGTCCAGCCGGCCTACAATCCACGAATTGAAGAACATCACATCCGGAAAAAAGAAAACCACCAGATCGGACCTTGTCAACAGAGTTTACATGCACTCCATATTTTAGCAGCAGTCTCACGACACTGGGACTCCCACTGGCGACTGCATGGTGTAAGAGCGTTGAGCCATCCTGCAAGGAATAGCAAGATATTTAGACACGACAGTGGCCCCCCAGAGAAAAGGAAGAGACAAAAGCCCAGACCTTGTCCCGGTAGAAAACGTTGGCTCCACCATGGATTAAATGTTTGACGATGTGAAGTCTGCCAGCTTGAACAGCTTTACGCAAAACCGTAACTCCTTCCTGCACGTCACTCCCTTGAGTGGGACACAGCACAAAGACTTCCTATCCCTTTTTCTCTCTTTTTCTTCTCGCACTCTCAAGTACCTCGTTCACATTGTCTTCGTGATCATCCTGTTGCATCAGCTCCGCAACAAGAAATGGCTGCTGTGGCGAGGCCAGCGTGTGTAAAGGCATCCATTTCTCCTGCATGATCCACACCCAGTCAGTCGCGTTGCCTTCACGGTCGTCCTGGATGAACTTACACAACTTCTTTTCTCGATAGTTCGGCGGTCGCACTCCTGGAAGAGCTTCCTCTCATTTCCTTTGAGATTTTCTCCCTACAGTAACAGTAAGTAGATCATCTGTCACTTTAAAGGACGAACAAAAGAAGGAGGAGGAAGAATGGAATCGAAAAAGTAAGAAATAGTGACTTACTTTGGAATAGTTTGGTGGAGCTGGCTCGGTCACCTTCTTCGCCTGTTTCGAATTTTTCCGCGTGGCCTTGCCACAGTTGTCTAGATTTTGCGAACGCTCGGCCGAAACAAGCTCGCCACCATTGTCATCTCCGAGCTCCAAATCATCACTGAGTTCTTCGTGGCGATAAGAAGCTCGATGAAGTTGACGACCACCTTCAAAGACAGTGTGTGCGACTTCTTCTTCTTCTTCTTCTTCTTCTTCTTCGATCTTCTCCTGTTGGATGGCCTCGTCAATGATTTCGCCAAGCTTCTCCCGTAGCTTAGCCTTTTCCTCCTTGCTCCTCGACCTTCTCCCCTTGAGAACCTCTCTCCTCTTCTGCCGCTTGGTCCTGTTGAGATCATCTTGCAAATCCCTCCATCTCTCGGGGACCAAGCCTCTAACTGGTACCTGAGCCACAAATCTCGTCCTTGCGCCCAGTGGAGGCGCCGCCGCTGGACGCTTCACAACCGACTCGAAAATCCCCTCCTCCACCTCCGCATCCTTCCCATCCGCCGCCTCCTCGTCCCTCCACAGCGAAATCTCCGCCAGCATTCTCATCGCCCGGCCGCATTTCTTGCGATCCACGCTCTGCCTGTCCGCAATCCCAATTCAATCATCGAGCGCTTCAAATCAATATCAAAATCTTACGCACTGCTGCCGGATCACAGCAGCATCGCTCCCAGGGAGCCACACCCCGCACGCCACGAGCGGCATAGCCCAAGAACCCTAAATCTCAAAAACGCCAGGTCACCACTGCCACGTCGGCAGAATGTTAGGTCTTTGCCGCTAAAGTTAGCTACCACTACAATTTTAGCGAGGCTAGAAAAATGCGGGTTTCTAGATTTGGTGGAGTAGTCAAGCCATAGTGGCCCCTGTCCATTTGATGTGCTTGTTCATTCATTGGGCTAGTCAAGGGAGACCCTTCTTCGATTTTTCTCCCCTCTTGCGGCCTTCCACCGTCGCGGCGCCCGCGGCGTGAATGGATTCCAGCTGCTTGGCGGTGCTTCGCGCCAAAGATCAGGTCAGTAGACATCGCCTGGCGCCAGCACCGACGACTCATCGATGATCGGAGCTCCGGATTACCTAGATTTCGCAGGAGGCGGCGCCGATCCACTCGGCATTGCGATAGAATCGTCGACACGGGCAAGAAATAGTTCTCATCTTCCCAGGAAATAGTGTCGCAGCTACAGTCCTTCTGGAGGATTCTTAGTTCCAGCTCTAGCACTAGCTCCCATGATTTGGACAGGATAGGGGAAGGGATAGGGGGATGGAGCAGCAGCAGCAGGGATTGGTAGTGTGGCTGGGATTGGTGGTCGTGTTGCGGGCGGCATGGTGCCTGGACGAATGCAACGCGACGTGTGTACAAATCCACACGAGAGCCTGCGAGTCTTGCAAGGGCGCTATAGGACCGTTCCAGGCGTTTAGAAACGAGGCCTTCCTCTTCATTGACGCTCCTGACGCTTTAAATTCTCCGACCAGCGTCGATTCTCCCAGTGGCAGGCCTTGCGCTGTCAACGATATCCTTTGCCAGGGGCCGCCATCGTCAGAGGAGAAGCACTGCTGCGCAAGCTGCGAGGGCGAGACGGTCAAGTGTAAGCTCTTTACGTTCTCGCCGTCATTCAACAAGTCCAACCAAAACACCGTCCAAGTTTTCTTCTGGAACGAGGCGGATGGTCCGTCGACCAGGGCGGTCAGCACCACCGCTACTCCTCCACCACCGCACTCGTGTTCTTCGGCCGGTTGCAACTCAACGCTTGGATCTTGCTCGAGAAAAGCTTGCCCGCCAGGTACTTTGATACGTCGTGTTTTTTTCCTTGGTTTATACTTTCTCTTTTGTTTGTTTGTATGTCGTTCTTACATGCTTTTGATCATGTCCTACCAGGCTGCCGGTGTAAGAAGTCCTCCAAAAAGACCATGTTCATCATAGGTGGCTTACATTTTGATTTATTTTTTTTTTGTTTTTCGCGACTGAATTCCACTTTTGTGAATCAGGTGGAGCATCTGGTGCCGGGCTTCTCTTCGTGCTTGTCTGCTTGATCGTCTTCGTTGCAAGGAGGAGGCATCTCTCTGCGAGAAGGCGATGCCGCAGCGACCGAGCACAGATCCTCACCGACGCAACCTGCGCCTACACTCCCATGGTATTCACGTTCAGGGAGCTTAAAACAGCAACTAAATCCTTCGCCGAGAGCAGGCTTCTAGGAGGCGGAGGATTCAGCACGGTCTACCAGGGCAAACTCCCCGACGGTCGCATCGTAGCGGTCAAGAAACTCAACCAGGGAAACAAGCAGGGAATCCAGCAGTTTCAGAACGAAGTCAACATTCTTTCACAGGTCCGGCATCCAAACTTGGTCCAGCTTCTCGGCTACTGCCTCGAAGGCCGGGACTTACTGCTGGTCTACGAATTCGTCCTCAATGGAACTCTAGCCGACCACCTACACGGCGAGAAAGGAAACGGGCTCTCTCTCGAGACTCGGATCACAATCGCACTGGAAACCGCTCAAGCACTGGCCTACCTGCACTTCTACGTCAAGCCACCGATCTACCACAGGGACGTGAAGACTTCCAACATTCTGCTGGACAAGGATTTCAAGGCCAAGGTGGCGGACTTTGGGCTCTCCCGGCTCACGCACCTGGACGCAACGCACATATCCACGGCTCCCCAGGGAACTCCCGGCTACCTCGATCCGGACTACCACGAGAGCTACCAGCTGACGGACAAGAGCGACGTCTACAGCTTTGGCGTCGTCCTCCTCGAGCTCATCTCCAGGAAGAAGGCCGTGGACATGACGCGGGACAAGAAGGAGATCAACCTGGCATCCATGGCCCTCGCTCGGATCCACTCGGGCGCGTTACACGAGCTCTTCGATCCGGACCTGAGCGTCAAGTACTGGAAGCTCTTGACGAGGCTGGTGGAGGTGGCGTTTCGGTGCTTGGCGGCGGAGAAGGACGATAGGCCAAGCATGGTGGAGGTCGTCCGGGAGCTGGAGCAGCTTAGCAGCATGACGATCAGCGCCAGCAGCTCCAAGAAATCGTCGAGATTCAAGCTGGAGCACCAAAGTTCGGGCGAGCTCCGGAAGCAGAGGAGTGTGGCCAGCACTAACATGGAGGAGGATTCTCCCACGTCGGTGCAAGTCAAGTGGCCCAGCACTCACACGTCTCCCAGTAACAGCAGATCAGAGATTTATAACTGATCCAAAAACTTTGGAAAAATCTTTTTTTCTCTCTCTCTTTTCTCTTCACAAAGCCTGGAATCTGTGTTTTGTACATTATATATTTATTATTCCAGAGAACTTTTCTATTTGAGAGTTTTTTACCTACCTAGAGAACGAAGAACCAGCAGCGGTGGTGTGGAAACACGAGGAAAACAACACTGACTAGGAAGCTCGAAATTCGAGACATCAGCTGTGATGAAATAGCGAAGCAGCTGCTACATCCGTGGAGACCTGGAGGAAGTTATGGCGTGCAATTCGTAAAGCAAGCTAAAAGCGAGTTACAAATGAAGACAAACCAAAGTGAATTCCAAAGAATTAAAACGAAATCAAACGAAATTAAATGAAGACAAACAAATCAAAACGAATTAAAATGAAACAACCGAAGACAAACTAAAACAAACGTCGTGATTACTTTGAGCAGTGTTTTAAGGTTCTAAAATATTGCATCTTAATGGCGGCATAAATCGCCAACCCACCTTTATATCATGTTATAATAAACCAAAAAGTTCAAATAAAACACTTTAAGAATAAATTTTAAGCAAATCTCCGATCAAACAAGATAAACTGCCACTTGGAGGCAAATGCAAAGATATCCACTCATGAACTTCCATTGATCCACGAAACGAACAATTTCCCTCCAAAGTAGATTGGTCAAAGAAGATTCCAAACCGTTTAAAAGCACTCCCGGCTTGATCGCCTCGATCTCGCTACTCTATTCTAGCTCGAGTACTTTGGATTTGCTTGCACGGCGCGCCATTTTGAGGCGCTTGTGGCCAGATCAAGAATCTGCTGCTCTCGGCGGATCCACGGAACCGGCTTTGCATGCACAGCACAAATCAGGTGCTCTACTTCCCACCCTTCACAATTGGAAAGGTATTCTTATTCCTCTTCTTATTCTTAATCTTCTTAATTTTGCTCAGCCTGTTCCTGTCTTCTCGCACATTTTTCCTGTTGTAAGGTTCTCCCGGTATCGAGAGTGATTTCCTCAGACAATGTGGACTACAAAGCTGGGGATATCGTGACGTGCTTGGTGAATATTCGCTCGCTGTTTGCGAAAACTATCTCTCCTTTCTGGTCATAGAATACATTGACAATGTTGCGAGAACTATGATACAGGATCCAGGCATCCCCGGATTCACTGCTAGGATTAATCATCCCGCTAATTGGGATTCGAGCGTGGCTATTGAGATGGTTGAGGGTGGCTTCCAGCATCTTGCCACCAACATTGTCGAAGTAGACGTCAGTCAACAGCCTAGAACTTTATAGAAGCACTCAAGAAACTTGAGAATGGACAAGAAGATGTTCGGTTACCTTAGCATTCCAGTCCTTTCTTGTAAATGAACGCATCATCAAACCCAAACTCCTTCAATCGGACCTGTCATGTCATTCAATCAAGAAAGTCAAAATCTGAGAGAGACAGACAAACACAGAGACGGAAACATAGCACTGAAAGTCTGGACAGTGAAACCTTAACTTCTCGTCAGTGCCTACAACCTCAACAGCCTCGTGTTTTCGCGATTAGACCCGCGGCAAGCCATGGAGAATTGGAGCTGGAGAAGCTGGTGTCAAGTCGTCATCTTAAAAAAGTTGCTTCCACTGCAAGATTGTCTCCAAGCATAATGTATTGTCCCTGTTTTACTTATAAACGCATGAAAAGAGCTTAATATAATAATTATAATAAACCAAATTTGAAAACACAAAAGTGAATATATATAGTTGCTTTCTATGGATCTGAGAGATCGACGAGAGCTTTACCAATGTTTTCCCCTCGCATCATTCCAATAAACGCCAATGGGAAATTCTCAATACCTTTGGTGATGGTGTGCTTTGAGACAATCTTGGATTCGGCAACCAACGGAAGCATCTCACTCACAAACTCATCGTAGTGAGTAATGTGATCATACGCAAGAAATCCCTCCATTTTAGCACACCTCCCAACGAGGTTCATCAAGTTCCTCACACCATCGGCAAGCTTCCAGTCCTGCACGAAAATAAAGACCAACGAACTAAACAGCGAGAACACAAAGTGGTGTCGTCACCTTGTCATACTGTGAAATCATCCCGCTAATTGGGATTCGAGCGTGGAGATTGAGATGGTTGAGGGCGGCTTCCAGCATCTTGCCACCAACATTCTCAAAGTAGATGTCAATCCCATTTGGAAACAGCCTACACAATTTATAAAAACACTATGAGAATGGATCCAAAGACAAGAAAGTGTTTGTTTACCTTGCCAAGGTAGCGTTCCAGTCCTTCTCCTTTTTGTAGTTGAACGCATCATCAAATCCAAACTCCTCCTTGAGAAATCGGACCTGTCAATCAAGAAAATCAAAGTCTTAGTTAAAACCAGCCAATCCATCCAGATTTGCTTACCTTCTCGTCAGTGCTGACGCTTCCCACCACTCGGCAGCCTCGCATTTTGGCAATCTGGCCCGCGGCAAGCCCGACGCCGCCCGAGGCCGCTGAGACAAAAACTTGCTCGCCAGATTTGGCCTCTCCAATCCGGACGATTCCAATCCAAGCAGTGAATCCGGGCAAGCCTGGATCGTATCATAGTTCTCGCGAGATTGTCAGTGCAAGAGCGCCTTCTGATCATATACTCACCCAGAAAGGAGAGATAGTTTTCCAATGGAACGCTCGGATCGATCTTCTTGAGCGGAAGTCCAGCTCTATCTTTCCCGCCGCGAATCAGCGAGTATTCACTCGCGGTGGCCAAGCAGGTCAAGAAATCTCCGGCTTTATAGTCCGCATTGTCCGAGGAGATTACTCTCGACACCGAGAGGACAGGAACAGGCTGAGAACAACAAAAAGGGATAGAATCTCTCAAACTTCCCAAACCCTCTAGAAATCTTCCTCGAAGTGGAATTCATGGAAATCAAATCACGAGGAGAAAGAATACCTTTCCAATGCTGAAGGGCGGGAAGTAGAGCCCCTGATTTGTGCTGTGCATGCAAAGCCGGTTCCATGGATCCAGCGAGAGCAGCACATTCTTGATCAAAACATCGCCACTCCCGGCTTGAATCGCCTCGATCTCGCCCTCGCTCACCTCAAAGTTCTCATCACTCAGCTCCTCACTCGAGTACTTTGCGAGGAGGATTTGCTTGCACGGCGTCGCCATTGAGAGACTCTTGTCGCCAGGGAAACTCCGAGCGATGGCCGGACCTAAGCACGATCAATCAAGTTGGAGACAAATTTTGTGTTTTCTTGCGGTTTGGAATCTAGTTTGACAAAGGAGGGCACATTCTTTTGTTCGGTCAGATTGTTCGTTTTGCGGGTCAACGAGTTCCAAGCTCGAATCTCTTCGTTGTGAAGTAAGTGGCCATGGAATCTGGAAGTTCATGATTGAGCACGATAGCTTTTAAGCTGTCGACATATTGAATATATATCTGCGCATTTGCCTCAAGTTATCTGTGTGGCAGCCTATCTTGTTTGCTTGGTGTGTGGAGATCGAGAATGGCGGTGGAGCAGAGGAAGAGCGCGGCGGTGATTTGGGCATTTGCATTTGCGATGGTTTTGATGATTGGAGCGGTTGCTGCTAAAGGAGGTGATGGGCATGGAACTGGAGGGCGGCCCCAAATTGGTAAATCTTCGAAGAGCGCTGCTGTTGCTGCTGCGAAACTCATGCCGCAAGATATGATTCTTGGTTTCCTGGGTTTGATGTTTAGCTGGGTCTGGATGTAACTTTGGATATATCTTTGGATTTCAATTGGCCTTTTTAAGAACAGCTCGCTCAGAGTTATAAGACAATTTTTCTTTAATCAAGTCTTAACCATCTTAGGCTGATTCACGCCTCCTCTGTAGCTCCAGCAAAAATCCCTGCCATACATAAGTAGCTTGAGATGTTCTTTGGAGCTTCTAAGCAATAGGTGACAAGAGCAACTAGAAAGAAACTCCCAAACATGAGATTGTTTTTGTGGCTTGACCCAGCAGCTGCGATTTCAAACAAAAACAAGCTGTAAACTTGATATACAATGATGAAAAAAATAATTGAATCTGAGAAGATATCAAGAGAACTTCCCGATGCAATATTCACTATTTGAAACATTTGACGAATATACCATTTTATATAAAATTATATATTGTGGCTAAAAGGTTCTTTTTATAAATGCAAGGAAGAATCCAGAGTCCTTTTTAGCGACAGATGGAGTCTTATGCAATGGTGACGATGGTCATGATCGCCCTAGCCAATTGCACGGTCGAATAGTGAATGGCATGGAACTGATTGTCTATGGGGAAGTGCATTGCAGCAGATCACGTTTTTGTCAATCTAAAAACCGAGCTAAAATATCTTTTTATGTATATTATCTTTGGATTTCGCTTAGAATTATAAGACAATTAAGTCTTAAACATCTTAGGCAGAATTATTGATTGATGCAAAGAGTTATAAAGCATTAGAGATTTGTGAAACACAAAAAACTTTTTGGGATTGGTTGAAGATGATGAACTCCCTGCTAGTTAGACTTCTTCAAATCTAATGAATCACTAAACTGATTCTTCCAGGAAATCTTAAGCCTCATCTGTATCTCATTAACAAAAATAAAAACCAGGTATTGTATTTGATATTTATTAATATATAATTACATATTTTTAAAACTAACTTCATAAATATTCATGATGCCCTAAAGTTGGATTTTAGACCTGGTTGGACACATCCTGGGCTGGAGCATCGGTCCACATTAAAGCGATCATGGCCATCATCCATGAGAATATCAATTCATGGAGTTAAGATTTGAGAAAATCTTTATTTTGATAAATAGCAAAATCTTAACAATCCAAAAAAACTATAAATCGATTTCTGAATATTATTTATGTACAGAAAAAGCCCCATTTCACAATTACCACTGGTAATTTACCAGTCTCGGAGGAGTTTTGCATCCCTCCATTTTATGTTGGCTAAGTTACTATTTGCAAAACACGTACAACCCGTGAATCTTCCTGATAGTAAATACCATAACCATATATGTTCCATCTTATGGCATTGTTTGAGTTGCACAGCTCCTTGTCCCTCCTGTCAAAGACGGTAAAAGTGGCAGTCTTACCATTCCATTTAGCCGTGCACCAAAACCCAAGTATCCCATCTCATTTGGAATTCCCAGCGCGTGAAAGCATTGTCGTGTAGAACAATAGGGCCAATCTTATCGTCATTGGATTCACACAAGAGATTCATGTCACTGCCACACCAGTTCACAACAAACACCTGAAAGTCTTGGTAGAAATTTTTTCTGCAGCAATCATAACCATGGGTTGTAGAAGAGCTATATAGAATCAAAACTAAGAATGCCAATACTCTGCTCCTTCACATGATCATGTCTGTGATCTCATTGCTTGTATTAAATCAAGATTGCCAATACTTTGCTTCTCATGATCTCTGTTTATAAGGATAAAATCATAGCATTGTTTAGATTTGAGAAAGACAATGGTAGAGAAAGCTATTCTATGACAAATGGCTTTCTTCTGTTCTTTTGGAACTTGGGAAAAAGGCCTTTTCTTTGTCTTGATAAAATAAGAAATTAATTATTATTAGTATCCTTTAGCGTTTATAAACAGGACTGTAAATCATACTTAATTATATTTTTAAGTTAAATCACATTTAAACAAACCAGTTCCAGTTTGAATTGCGCTAGGGCTTTGGGAAATGGTGGGGTCTTGTGGCGGCAACTATGCCGCCACTGCGACGCTCTTTCGCGGCGTGCGATTCTTCCTGTCCGGCTTCGATCGCGCCGAGGAGTGCCAGGTGAGTGAGATTTTTGGCGACCGCCACGATTTCTCGCCCCGCCGCTGTGGTGCAGTTCATCGATGCCCTGGAGCAGCATGGATCGAGCAATGCAGGCCAATACTCGAGCTCTTGCAGCCATGTCATCGTTTCGCAGCATACCTATGTAGGCATTTTATCATTCCATCTCTATGATTCATCCATCGCGCTTGGCAGGACGATCCGATTTGTGCTGCTGCTAGAAAAGATGGGAAGGTTCTTGTTACCAAGAGCTGGGTCCTGGACTCTCTGGAGCAATGCGAGTTAAAGAATGCAAACAGCGTAAGTTTTTCTTCGTCATTCGCTGCCTTGTGGTCTCTAAAAAATCTTCTCACCTTGCGTAGGTTCTTTACATGCCCGTCAGGGATCTGGCTGGGATCCCAGGTGCTAAGAAAGTCTGCGTTTGTTTGACTGGATATCAAAGCGCGTCTCGGCGAGAGATTGAGGTGGAGTTCTTTGTTCTTTGTGCACGGGCATGAAACACTTTTCTTGTCCTTTTGATTTAACAGGCAATGGTAGCTATGATGGGCGCATCTTTCACGAAACCGTTAGATGCTAGGAAGGTGACTCACCTGGTCTGCTACAAGTTTGAAGGTGAAACGTTTCTAGCGTTTTGGCACTTAATCTAACTTCTGCGTTCGTAACCAGGTGACAAGTACGAGCTTGCGGAGCATATGAAATTAAAGCTTGTGAACCATCGCTGGCTTGAGGATTGGTAAGCTCGGCGATATTAGTCTGCCTGTGCATATAACTTTCTGGTAGTAACTTTCTGTAGTTTAAGGACGTGGTCCTTAGTGGACGAGGCGAATTACAGGATAAGGTGGGGCATTGTGGAAGCTTTATTATGGGGCAACTAATTGGAGTGCTACTGCAGTGGCCACGACCTGGAAATTGCTGAGGCACAAGCTAAAGACGCTCAAGTTTCTGAGCAACCAAACGAGACGAATGCTGCACCTCCCGAAATCGCTCCGGATCCACCTGACGTCGATTCAGAGGCTACAACGCAACTGTGTGAGGCTGAAGACGACTGCGTTGTGGAGGGTGAAAACGTCACCAGTAAGTTCATGGGCTCACCTATGGATACCGGCAACGACAGTGCTACTAAACAAAGGGTGATGGATACCGTCAACGACAGTGCTGCTAAACTAGCAGAGCAAAGGGTGATGGATACCGGCAACGACCGTGCTACTAAATCAGCAGAGCACAGGGTGATGCCGAGTAATGCAAGGAACGAGTCGCTGTCAGGAGGGGAAAGCGAATCTCCTAGTTTGAAGAAGAGGAAAAGTTTTGAGGCGTCCAGCGACCATAAAAAAACTGGCGAGGATTCAATCAGGAAGAGAGGCAGGCCTTTAAGTAATCTTTCGCCGCGGCCTCGTCACTCGGACCGGACTATGGATGGCCAGAGTCCTGATGCAGTGAAACAATCCCCGTCAAAAAGCAGTAACGGTATGAATCTGTCTCTCTTGGTCTTTTCCAACGTCGAGAAATGTTAATGCAGGATCAGGCAAAAGGATCTACATTGAGCCGGAGAGAAGCTCATCTCACTCCAAGTCAGGTACACATTTGCTGGCGTAAATTTTCTCGCTGACGGAATGTAACTTCAGGATCGGCTGCCAAAAAAAGTGGCAAACACAATGCAGCGGGTATGGGCATGGACAACAAAAAGAACGGGAGCTTCAAAAGCCGGAGGCTGACCAGAAGCGGTTCGAAGGACAGTATCACGGACGCAAACGGACATGGAACTCGAAGAAAGTCCTTATCGGGATCAGCTGAGAAATTAACTAGCAAGGACGATGCAGTGGAGTCGAGGCATCAGCCTGCAAACGAGCCCAAGGCACAAAAGCAAACGGACGTCATAAATCTTGATGATGAGGAAGAGAAAAAAGACGAAGCTGCAAAAGAAGCTGCCGAAGTACCTGTAAAGCGGGGAAGAGGACGACCGAAGAAGTCGAAGCCGATAATCCCAGAAACAACAAAAGACTATCGGTTCGCTTTGAGTGGACATACCGAGGAGAAGAGGAAGCACAGGCTTGTCATTCGGAGCCTCCACGGCCACCTCTGCAGGGACGACCACATCTGGAAAGAGCAGACGACTCACTGCGTGATGGGCTCGCCGCTTCGGCGAACCGAAAAACTCTTCGCTGCTCTGGCTTCCGGACGGTACGTTGGTATACTCGATTCTCCCGGCTTTCTAACCTCACTCTTCCAGATGGATACTCAAGTTCGACTATCTGGAAGCTTGTGCAAAGGCCAGAAGATTCGTCGACGAGGAACCATACGAGTGGTTCGAGCCAGGAGATGCAAAAGACGGAACGATCGACCTGAGAGCTCCAAGGAAATGGCGGCTGTCTAAGCAGGAAACCGGCTGTGGTGCCTTCGAAGGACTGAGAGTGATCGTGTATGGAGAATGCA